TTGGATCTTCAAGTTCTTTATACGGTTGAGCTTGTAGATTGTCCTCGTATATTTCTCTAGTTGAAATCACGATCAAACAAGCTCTGGATCAACCGGATCGAGGCCTTGGATGGATCTAACATTGATCTCATCGGAGGATCGCCGCCGACGGAGTTTGACCGGTGGATTTGAGTGGAAGAAGGTGAGAGAATTTGGAAGAGCTCTCACACCAAGAAGTGAGGGTTGAGAGTGGCTATGTAGAGAATAGAAGACAACCCCTCTCATGAAGCCCTAAAAGAGTATTTAAATGATCAAGGCATTAGATCTACAGCTAGAATTCATCCTAAGGCTAATTAGAAGGGAATTGAGATGATTTAGCCGTCGATTTGATTGCTTGATTTAAGAACAAATTTGAGCTCATAAAAAAATAATTAAACATATTAAATTAAAATCAAGCTCAAAATTAGATCTGATTTGAGTCAATTTAGAATTCAACTTGATTTGCTCAAATTAACCCAAATAAATTTAAATAAAATGACGACTCAAATCATAACAAACTCGACGTGGCCAAGGCGGACTAATCGAGTTTAATCAAACCCGATCGAGCCTAATTCGACTCAACTCGAGCTAATTCGTGCTCGAATTGAACCCGACGGGGCTTGATTAAATCAATCAAAGACCCTCAATGACACTCGAACAAAAATCGAGGTCAACAAGCATCACATCCCCTTCTCCAATTTCCTTCGAATCTTTGGATGTAAGTTTTTGTAATCCTAATTTTTATAGGGTTTTTTTTTTCTTTGTTTAAATGTTTGTGAAGGAAGTTTAAATCAATTTCTTTACTATGTTAATAGCTCATGCTTTAAATCTTCCTGAACTCAAAAACTTTTGTTCTTAAGAATTGGAAGCTTCAGTTTTTCCTGTATCTCAAGCCTTATTTTCTTGCTAAAATCATACTCATGATTTTGATGATGTATGCTTTTTCTACCTGTAGTCTTTAATATCATATAAATATAAGATTTACATTACAATATTCTTATGCTCATGATTTTGTTATTGTATGTTTTTTCTACCTATAGTATTTAATTTCATCTTAAAATAAGATCTGAAATCATCTAAAAATAAGATTTACGCATTGCACTGATCTACATATGACCCTTATTATGACACTTGAAAGTTGAAACATATGATCTCGCAAGTGTCGGTTAAATTCCTTATAATATGAACCCTAAAAATTTTGGTTCTATAAGGGGTGTTGGTAGGCCTAGTAGTAAGCCTTTAGAAGTAGTTGTGGTTTAATTCTTAGGCCTAAGAAAGGAACTTTTATTTGGTCTGGTGAACGGACATAGAGCTACGTTCGGCCGGCACTGAGATCGCGCCACGTAGCAGGCACAAAACCGCATACCCGACCCGACGAATAGTGGGTGTATGTTGCACGTGCATTTTTTAAATCCATGACAACCCGGTATTGCTAGGTATTGCTCGGTATTGCTAGATATTTGTCGATTTTTCTCGGCAATAACAAGAAATACAATTATGTGAAGATAAATAACGAGCAATACCAAACTTTTCTAGAAAAACTCTGTATTGCTCGGTATTGGTCTTCATAGAACGGTATTTCTCGTTATTGTCAAGCAATACCGAGCAAATAACGAGTAATACCTAGCAATATGCGAACATAGCATTCCCGGGTTCCGGTCCGGGTCAAGTCGTCGAGCCGCACAGTAAAGAGTAAGAGCACGTGCCGCGATCTCATTGGTGACCGATCGTAGAGCTACGTCCGGTCACCGGACCTAATAATTATTCCTAAGAAAGGAGATAACCTTCTTCTAATATCATAGTGGGAAACACACTCTAATATGTAAGAGTTGAGCATCTCAACTTCATTCCTAAAACCATTTAAGGCTACTATAAAATATATCATCCAATTTTTAATCATGATTAATATAGTTGGTCTTAGAAACTAAGTCCTTATCTACATATGATATGACCATTACTAAGACTTTTATTCATTTTATCTTTTAACAGTTTCAGATGCTACACATGCTAGATAAAGAGAACTAAAGATGATATACATTTCTCAATACCAAATGCATAATAGAGATTTGATAAAAGGTATGCATTCCTCCCCCGATGATATGTCTTATGGTCATCCTGTGCGGGAACCGAGAGCCACGGGATGACCAGACCATCTCGTGTGTGAACCTGCAGCCGCAAGGTGTGTCGTTTGATGATGATTTTTTAATTACAATTACTCTCCATTTGTTAGCTTATTTATAAGTCTTGCTTAAGTTATTTTTGACTTGATGTCACCTTCTTATTATGTATTATTTATATTTTATAAACTTAGTTTATGTCATATTTATGTGCTTTGATTAGTTTGCTATGAAAATAGAATTTAGAGTGAATGAAGTAGAGAAAAACTTCTCATTTATTTTATAATTTTTAATAATATTATTATTTATTCCATAATCCAATTTAACTCTAATTCCATTGGTCGAACCAATCGATTGAAATATTCAAAACCTCAGAAAAAATGATTTTCTTTGCTGGATTTTAACTAAATTTAGATTCCAGACAGGCAAGCATTAAGCTTTACCTCACGCAATCCGAATCTGCTGCCATAAATTCCTTCCAGACAGACGCAGCGGTTGCCGTCCTTATCTGGAATTCCCGATTTATATCTTGTTGAAAGTCTTCGGATTGTTCATTCAATCGGTTGATTTTGATTTTGTTTTCTTCTCAGCTGAGCTCTTTTCCTCTTATCCGTTCCTTACACGCGAACATTTCGATTTCGTTTGCTATCAAGTGCCAATAGCTCAGACGCCTGCAATATTACAAAGAAACCCTAGCTTTGAATCCTTTGATCGTTCCTACCCGCTCATTTGACCTTAAAACGTCCTAAAGCTCGAATCTTGGCATCGGGTTTGCGAAAATTAGTTGCCTTTGGACGAGAAATAGCTAAAAGGAGGAAAAGCCCGCGGATTGGCGATGGATATTGGCAATGAAGCTCGGGTTGAGGCTTTTTCAATCGGCCCGTCGTCGATCATTGGCCGAACACTCGCGTTGCGAGTCCTCTTTTCCATGTCCTTCACGCAGATCCGGCGTCAAATATCCAAATTCTTACGGAGAATCTTCTATCGGGTTGCGTCCTGGTTCCACCCAGGGAACACGCAAGGTATTCTTTTGATGGTGACCGTCGCTACTCTCTTTCTGAGAAAGTTCGCCGGCGGACGATCGGCGGCGGACGCTTCATTGCGCCGACGATTTTGGCGGAACTTGATGAAGTGCGCGCTGACGTACGAGGAATGGGCCCATGCCGCTAAGATGCTCGACAAGGAAATGCCATTAAGAGCGAATGATTCTGAGTTTTATGATGAGGAGCTGGTGAAATATAAGCTCCGGGAGCTACTGAAACGCCGGAAAGAGGGGTCATTGCGGGATATAGTCTTTTGCATGAGGGCTGATCTAATGAGGAATTTGGGAAATATGTGCAACCCACAACTTCACCAGGGAAGGCTTCAGGTGTGATCTCAACTTTATTTTTATTGGTTTTTAATTCTAAAGTATTGTTTCTGCAAGAGGGATTCTTTGTCAGAACAGCAAATGTTTTTGAATTTAGATTCTGAAAATTGTTTGTCTCAACTATTGTAAGCAATTGAATTTCCAAATTTTATATTTAAGAATGAATATTAGTTCTTGTATGTCACCACACAAACCTTTGAATTCAGCAATTTCATTAAATTGTCCAAAATGCTATATTCCATAATATTATTGTATTGCTACTCTGATTAATTGACATTAACAGAACATATGTTATGGAGAGAGGGTTTAGGGTTTAGGAATGCCACATAACTCCACCTATGCAAGTTTAAAGCCATATTTTTTAGTTCTCTTACCTATTGTAGGATAGGTGAGTCAATATATAGAAAAATGGATCTTACAATCTTGCCCTATAGGCAAGATGCTTCAACATGCTTATGATGCTTGCAATGTTAGCCTGGTCTATATGCAGGCTTGTCTCGGGCTTATTGATGATTATGCATTTTTAGACACATGCTTACTATTCCTATACCTATCCCCATAATGCATAGGTCACATTAATGTATCATAACATAAGGGCCTTTGGCAACTTTATCTACTCATCTTGTTTATATAGTGTATAAATATTCAAATATATAATTTTTTAAATAGAAAAGTGGCCTAGCGGTGGTGGAATTAAAAATAAATTTTTATCCCGTTTTTAACTTATAGTAGCAAATATACTTTGTGAGCTTACTCAAATATTCAACCATGCAGAAAACATTACAAATAGTTTATAGAAAAAAAAGGTTAATCTCAAGTTTTGATAGGAAACCAATAAAAGGAGATTATGCAATTGGGTGGAAGGAAGAAGCAATAAACACTTAATATTCTCGCTGCTCAATCTTCTATCTCAGCATCTCATAGGCCTTACTGCAATATATTGTAGTAAATGAAACAGAATATCAAAAGATATTTATTAAAAAAAGGAAGGTCACCTCATTAACCAATTGATACACTTTTTATTACAAACTTTGAGACAAATCCCTAGATATCCATACATCAATGATGCAATACAATGTAGTTCCTAAGCAAAACCTACAAGGTGTATAAGAAGCAAGCGCTTATGTATAATTTTATATCCTTAAAATAGCACCCAACATGAATGAATGATAAATATTGATTCATAAAGCGGACCCCAAATAATTGGGGTAAGTTAATGATAATGATGACATTCACCTCATACTTAGCAGAGACTAGGTGCATTTGATTGCAACAGATTTGTTTGAATGTATGGATAGTTGATGATGAACTGGTAAACAAATGCTTTTTATTACATATTACAACTGATATTGAAATTATATGAATTGGAATTAAATCTTTTTGATGTAATCAAAACTCTACTAGTTGGGATTTCTGAATTCTACTTGTTGTTGGGGTTGTGATTAAAAAGATCAATTTTTGTAGGTTCCCAAGCTTATAAAAGATTACATTGATGAAGTATCAACACAGCTGAAAATGGTATGCAATTCTGAATCTGATGAGTTTCCTTTTGAAGAACGGCTCCAGTTCATGCATGAGACTAGGCATGCCTTTGGTAGAACGGCCTTGCTCCTAAGTGGTGGAGCTTCTCTGGGAGCATTCCATGTTGGTGTGGTGAAAACCCTGGTGGAGCATAAGCTTCTACCTCGAATAATTGCGGGGTCGAGTGTAGGATCAATAATGTGTGCAGTTGTGGCAACACGTTTGTGGCCTGAGATCGAGGCGTTCTTTGAGGATTCATTGCATGCCCTCAAGTTTTTTGATCAGATGGGCGGGCTCTTCGCTGTGTTCAAGAGAGTAACGACGCAAGGTGCAGTTCATGACATGCGCCATTTGCAAATGATGCTACGCCATCTTACAAGCAATCTAACATTCCAGGAAGCCTTCGACATGACCGGACGAATTCTCGGGATCACTGTTTGCTCTCCCAGGAAGCATGAACCACCAAGATGCCTTAACTACCTTACTTCCCCACATGTGGTCATTTGGAGTGCGGTGACGGCTTCGTGTGCTTTTCCTGGTCTATTTGAGGCTCAGGAGCTGATGGCTAAAGATAGATTTGGCAACCTTGTTCCTTTCCATGCACCGTTCTTGGAGGGACCAGAGGAAGATTCAGGTGGTGTAGCCCGCCGTTGGCGTGATGGTAGTTTGGAGATGGATTTGCCAATGCTGCAGCTGAAAGAGTTATTCAATGTCAATCATTTCATTGTTAGCCAGGCCAATCCTCATATAGTACCTTTGCTAAGACTGAAGGAGCTTGTGAGATCTTATGGAGGCAACTTTGCTGCCAAGGTGATCTTTTAGTTACTGAAAGTTCTAATATTTCCCTTTTTTGTGTTTCTTTGCATATATCTGTGAGCTCTTTTAATCTATTATTGGTGATACACCTTATCTACAGCTTGCACATCTTGCTGAAATGGAGGTTAAACATATATGTGAACAGATCCTGGAACTCGGGATTCCACTGGGAGGGATTGCGAAGTTGTTTGCTCAAGAATGGGAAGGAGATATCACAGTTGTAATGCCTGCTACACTTGCTCAGGTACACAAATCTCTTCCATTTTATTTGTTGTGAGTTTGGATGCCATAAATTTTCTTCATCTGAAACTGATTCTGTTTATATTCCTTCATTAGTATTCCAAGATCATACAGAACCCAACTTATGCAGAGCTTCAGAAATCTGTCAACCAAGGCAGGAGATGTACCTGGGAGAAGCTTTCTGTCATGAAGGCTAACTGTGCTATTGAACTCACACTTGATGAATGTGTTGCACTTCTCAACCATCTTCGTCGGCTAAAGAGGAGTGCTGCAAGGACTGCTACTTCTTCACATGGAGTCAGCAATACTTCTCAGGTCGGTAATATACTCAGGATAAGCCCTTCAAAAAGAATCCCTTCTTGGAATTCTCTAGCAAGAGAGAACTCTGCAAGTTCCATTGAAGAGGACATGCTTGCAGATATTGCAACTCAAATTAATCCAGAGCGAAACAATCAACTAGGAGAATCTTCATGTAAGGGCAATCAGATCCACTCAACCTTGCATGAGGAAAGTGACAGTGAATCAGAAACACTCGAACTAAATTCCTGGACAAGGGCTGGTGGTCCTTTGATGAGGACAAGTTCTGCTATCAAATTCATTAATTTTGTTCAGGAAATTGAGCTTGATTCTGAAACAAACAGAAGATGTGTAAGTCAGAACCAAGCTGAGAGCGGAACAAGCCCTGGAAGCATTATGGTATCTGAGGGAGACTTATTACAACCAGAGAAGATTGACAACGGAATTGTATTAAATGTTGTGAGGAGAGAAATTTTAAGCTCGGGGAGAAGCATCAGCTCGGAACAGCAACAAGATTCTTCTCAGAAAGAGGTCATTATAGATTGTACAGTTGAAAATTTCTTGCAAGCTGTGCCAGAAACTGAAAGCTACACTGTTACCTCGGCTTCAGACTCTGGTGAGGATGAAGAATCTGGTTTGAGTTGCTTCGAAAAATTAACAGAGTGATATCTGCAATGAGGCTGAGTAATGAAATTGATGAAGTGAATTCCTTGATTTGAATAGTTTCCAGTTATTTACATGCTTTTGTATCTGTTAGAAATATCCACAATATTTAGAGATGGAAGATGCATATTTCCTTTTGGGAGGCACAGAGAGGCCTCAATACTGCATCTTCACGCCTAAAGGGTATGATTCTCCATGGAACTTTATATCCTTTCAGTTTCCATTTCAAATTTGAAAATTTTCATAGTTACAGAATTCCTTGAAATGATTCTTGGAAAATTCATTTCAAAGATGTCTTCTTTTTTATTGTTCAAACTTTCTGAAATTCAAATGAACTTTAGTTTGCAGGGGAAACCTATGTTGCAACATTGAGACTTCTTGAAAAGTATTTTTGGCTTTCATTGGAAAGAAGACTTGTGCAACTCCTTTCGCCTTCATATTTTTGTTTGCTAAGGCAAGAGGAATGTGGTTTTGCTTTCGTATGAAGGTATGCTCATACTTCCTAAAGTTCTTTCATTCAGTCATTAAATTAATTATGCACAACAATGGCTGGATTAAAGTTTAACACAGTTATGAGCAGTTGACCTGATTTTTCTTGAAAAAGAAAGGCAAATATATACATTTAAATGTAAATCATTCTAGGATATTGCAGTTTCACCCTTTTGAAAGATTTGTAAAAAAATTTAGCTAGTCATTAGAAGGCAACTCTTTCTTATGACTCAGAATACTGTTGAATGTCATTAAAGTTTGCTCTCAATTAAGAAAATAGGGGTGTTGTTGCATTTGGATTTATACCTGGTTTGGTTTTATTCAGTATTTTGAAAAGTAGAAATGTTGTTTTTGTGTATGGATTTGAAGGAATTGTGGTTTTTGGGAGTTTCAGCGATAAATAAATTTGAAATGTTACTTTTGCAATGAGATCATTGAAGATTCTTAAACTAAACTCTCTTAGTTTATATTTGATTTGAGAATTGATATCATGAAACAACAACAATATATCAGGCCTTTATCCCACTACGTGTGATTGGTTACATGAATCATTTTTCTCCACTGTATTATGTTAAAAGTCAAATTCTCATTTAAATCTAAGAAAAAAAAGTCATTTCTAATATTTCCTAACTAAGTCTTGTTAGGTCTAATTCTATCTTTCTTAACATAGGTCAAATCTAATGCATCTACCCTCCTAACTGAATCATTAGAAGGCAAACATTCCTATTTGCCACCAGAGCTACTCCAACCTTTTCATGTATTTAATTGTTTCACATTATGTCTATAAGAGTGAATCTACTCATCTACCTGAGCATCCTCTTATTTGCTTCATTCTTTTCTTTTAATGCCCAACATTCTACGCCATAAAGCATTGCAGTCTTGTAGGTTTCACCATCATCTTATAGAATTTTCACTTGAGTTTAAGGGGTACGTTCCTATCACACAACAGGCTCGCCTTAATTTATGGCGCAGAATTGATATCATGAGAGAGATGAAAAATATTGTGACTTTGCTTTATGATTTTAAACCAGTGTTGGTTGATTTTAAACATTATTTATCCTAGGAAATATTCTAATGAGTTAAAAGCAATTGATTTAGTTTCCAGATTATTATTGCATATTTTGTAGCATTAGAAGATTAAACCGACAAAATATGTTGAGCTTAAGAAATAAGTTGATTTTTTACTTAATGAGAGATTTATTAGGGAAAAACAGTAGTTCATATTCTGTTCCTATTTTGCTTACACCTAAGAAAGATGATAATTGGCAAACATAAATATAAAAAGTTGGAGGTAGATAGTTTTTGATAAATTAAAAAGAGATATAACATTTATTGTTTCGCTATATATTATCCAACTCTGAAATTCACAAAATGAGAGTTATTATGATGTAGGCAGGTACATTTTTTTTCATAAAGAATATACGTTTTACCGGTTCATAAAGCTATCTAATATTGCAAAATTATAATTCAATGAAGTGGTTAAATTCCATGTTTTGTCTAAAATAATTATTTATAATCAAGCTATAAAATTCATAAGTGATTTTTGAAGAAACAAATGAGAAGAAAATGGAAGCATAACTTCGATCCACAATTACTTATTATCCACGAATTAATAGAAAAATTAAAGTGGTAAGTAGGGATTTGAGAGATCTGTTATGTTGTCTGATAGAAGGTTATACATTTGAGTAGAATTTAATAGAGAAAGACATCAAAATTGTCTCTCAACAATTTATGAAGTACCAAAATGATCCTCAACTATATTAAATGATCATTTTGGTCTCTCGAGTCTTTAAAATGAATCAAAATAACCTCATGGTACGACTATTTTGAAGTTGACTCGACTCAAACTCCATTGTTTGATCCTGAATCATTTGTTATACGTGTCAAAATATCTGACTTGAACCTGAGTGGAACCAAACCCGCCAAACATGAAATCAACTCGCCTAACTTGCAATACAACCAAAATTATCCTGCTTATGATCTATTTAATGCAATTACTCTTAAGTTGAATAATAATAAAGTTAAATTTGAGTTGATTTTGGGTTATTCAGGACAACTTGAATTCATTCTAAATAATAATCAAGTCTATCATTTATAACTAATATCTACCTGTCAATTAGAACTATGATTTTCGAGACAATTTCGTATTGACACCTCTAATTTAACTAGAGTGACTATAGGAATATTTAAAATATGATTTATATTTATTAAAAATGAATAAATAGTGATAGAGATTGCATTAAAAAAACTTCACAAATCAACACAATCGATTTACCTCAAAAAAAAAAAAAAAAAAACTAGGCATTAATTTATTATGTTCAAAGGATGCAATCGATACAACTCATCAATTTATATTAAAATTTCTAATTTATGCCTCAAGGCTTTATAGTGTTGGGGGCCTTAACTCCTATCATCGAGGCAAGAATTTCAGCATATTGACTGTTAACTTCTGATAATTACAATCAAATTTACTCAACATAAAAGAAAAAAAAAAGAATATATAGTTTATACATACTACAAAATATTTTCGCATGAAGGTGAGTATTTAATTTTTTAGAATATTGAAGGGGGGATTTTTGTTTTTATCACAAATGTTTGCATCAATTAAATTTATGTCAAAAGTCACCCCAAAGAATTTAAAATTCTAAATTAGTGAAATGTTTTACATTATAAGCAAAACAAAAACATTTTGATGATCAACATTGAACTCCAAGGATTAATTTGTATGGTAGAAAAATTATAGGGAGCTAAGCTGAGGGTTTTTTAAAACTTGATTAATGTGAAGTGTGATTTATAACTCAAGAATTTGAATATTTACCTTTTTTGCCATTTTGATAAAATTAATACAATGACAACAAGTTATTAGGAAAAGTGCAAAACAATATGTGATACATGGAGGATATACAAATTATTAAGAAAAAAAATAAAGCATGGCCATACTTGGGGTAGATTTATAATTAAATGTTTTAGGATTATTAAAACAAATCAAGACATCTTAAGTAGAAATGTAAGATAACATGGGGCATTTTGCAATAAACTTTTAATTAATTTTGCAAAATTACATAATTTTTTATGATAAAAAAGTGTTTGAATATTAGCAAATGTGCAGTTGTTGAGAATGAGAATGTGATAATAATAAACAAATTATTATCCAGGGGTGTCATTAAATAATTTGTCATGACCTAACTCAAAGGCTCGAATTAACAAGGTGGAAACAGACGGTCGGACGGTTGTTTAAATTTTCATTTGCTAAAACTATCTAAAAAAAAGCTGAAATGACAAAAGACTAAACGACATCGACGCTTCTTTCTCTCAGTCAGTCTCCTCTCATTCAAAGTCTCTTCTATGCATATGGTTCAAAAGGAGTAAGCGAATCAAGGATATCTCACATGAGGAGTCACTACTTTTCACAGTCCAACGTGTTTTCTTGCTCAATCGCACGGTTAGGTCCCGCCAGCTGCCCCCGCATATGAGATTTTGCTGCTCGACTCGCCTGCTTTGTTCGCTACTTCACCCATTATTTGATTAGGGCTGGTTCAAGCCCAGTTCTTACATAATTCGACCTGATAATTCAACATGATCCCACCTGAGAAATCTAGATTTGAGTTTACTGTTTAATTGGCGGGTTAGGTTTAGGTGAACCTATGAACCCAATAGTGACCCATTTATTTTTTTCCCTTTAAATTCTTTTATTGTTCGTAAGCTCTTCTTACTTTTGAGCCATTAACCTATCTTTATAGTTAATAAGTTATATTTTTTTAAAATCAAAATGGTTTAATGGGTCGGGTTTGACTTATTCGAGTTGTCGATAAATCATATTCGGGTTTATATTTTTTGGCCTGTATACTAAATAGGTCAATTCAAGTGGACTGAGTTTAGATCGGGTGAATTTTGGTTATGTCACAAACCTAACCAGTTTAACCATTGTGACCCCCCAACTTTTACCAACACTACGATATGAGTAAAACATTCATCTTCTTCTTCTTTTCATAAATCCTATTGCAACATTAAAAATAACATACAAAGAACATTTATTTATATATGCTTGATATACATCATTTTATTCCTCTAAACATTCTATCCCACATTCCATACATAGAGAATTGAACAAGGATTCAAATTTACTTATGAAACATTACCTAAGGACATTTAGGCCCTCCTCTCTTAGTCTTCCAATTGTTATAACAAGGGCAGAATTGCTTGTTCCCGTAAGTCCCAGGAGGCACACAAAGGCAAGTGGCACAGCACTTCTGGCAGAAGAACAAGCATGGCTTCTTGTAAGCCGTCGCCGAGCATCTGTCGCCGCATCTCCCCGCACATTCTGCAATAATTTTCAGAACATTTATAGAGTTACTATATTTAAGGATGTTATCATATCAATACTATCACGTGTTTAATATTTCATAGTAATATGTCATCTTTGTTATTATTATTATTTTCTTTTTGGAACGGGGGTATCTACCCGCTGTCACTACTCCAAAGAAATCGTTTGGCAGCGGAACCTAGCGAGGCCACCCATCGGCATCAGGCTCACACTTGTGTTGCCCTACTGAATAGGTGAGACCGTAGTAGAGGGGATTCGAACCTGAGATGGGGGTTTCCAACTGTTCTCGCCCACTAACCACCCTAAACCTCGGTGGGTTTTGTTATTATTTTCTTCGCTCATCTTTATATACTCATGTTTGTACTGACATCATAACGATATCAAAGCAAAGATGCAAACCTTTTATGATTTCTAGCAATAGAATCATATACATGTTCATATATCCGTATATCTATTCGCAAGTATAAAATATTAAGGTTTCTTTTGGGATGATTTTTTTATTGCTTCTTAAAGCAGCTTTTTAGTATAAAATTTAAAAATTTTGTATTAAAAAGCTGTTTTAAGAAGTAGTAAGAAATCACTTCAAAACGAAGCTTAATTTTTTGAGATTATAAGGCTTGAGATAGTGTTTACATACCCTGAGGATGGAGGCTTCCAGGGGTGGCTCCATACTGCAATCAAGTGAAGTAAATTTGATTGTTACACATCCAAATGGATCATTTGATCGAGCAATATAGAACAAAAGCCAAATTATTTTTTAATCCAAAGACTTGAGCCTGATACTCTCGTAATTACATTACCATTGGAAGAGCAGCAATAGGCTGAGATGCTATGGGGCCTGGAGCCTTCTTTGGGCCATGAGCCGCCGGCGCCGGAGCTGGAGAGTAGTGATGATCAGCCTACCATGTACAGAGCAAAAATGGTAGTCGATTGAGAATCACTTAGAACTTCAAGTAATCATTTAAAGAGTGAGAGATAGAAAGAGAGGAACCTGAGTTTCCTGAGAGTGAATGGTGAGGGACATGAGAAGGAAGAAGAAGAGGAAGAAGACATTAACAGAGCTTCTTAACATTGCAAGCTTTCTTCTTCTTCTCCTTTCCTGGAGAGTTCTAGAGGAGATAGGATGAAGGAGATTAAGAAGACGGTTCTTCTCCTTTTATAAGGAGGAAATGTGATTTGTTTTTTACGGTTTGTGGATGAGGATTTTCAACTGAAAAGCTCATTTGTTCTTTTCTAGCTGTCTCTGTGGTCTTTAGGGGCTATGTAATTGAGTTAATTAATACTTTTTTATGCTTCCAACTTTCACTGCATTGATTTTGTGCAGTACAATCACTTTTTTTTGTTGGAAAAGGTGGTTAGTCACATACTTTTAAAATTGTTAATAAAAGTAAGATCTTTGATAATATTTTTATATTCTAATCTTATTTTTTTAATATAAATATGACTAAAATTTGTAATAATTAATTTATAAAAAATATTACTAGTCTTCATAAGGGGCAAATATTTTTACCACAAAATCAATAATCATCCCTTAGAAAAGTTATTAATATTTAAAATTTATTAAAAGATTAGGGGGTTTAATATCATGATCTTTATTCCTTAACCACATTTTGAGAGAAATAAGATTATAACTCAAAATTATTATCATGATCAATTAGAACATTTGTGACAATGGAGTATGTTTTAATCAACATTGAGCATTATATAAGGCTTTGGAGTTGTTTAGACCTTCAAGTTCTTTTAAAATTTAGGTCTCTTTCATGTAGAGAAAGACAAAACACTCAATCAAATAATCCATATTGATTCGCCAGATCATAAACCATTCTTTCAGCATTTTACTGCCCCCAAATCCTCAATGACCTCAAGATTGCGTGATCTTATAGTAGGGGTGTAAACGAGTCAAGCCGGCTCGAGCTTGACTAATTAACGAGCTCGTGAGTCAAGTTTATCGAGTTTCCAGCTCAAGTTCAATCCTAAGGGTGCTCTGCTTGATTACTTGTCTAGCAGCTTGAGTGTAGGATCAGAAACGCGAAAGGCGTAATCGTGGGGGCGGGCTTGGAGGCGGATGTCGTATCAACTAGAACGGAAATTTAGGAAAATGTTCATCATATCTTTAGCAACTGTCATCTGATGCATTCAGCATACAACTTTGGGGTCCATCCACATGAATTCTGAATATGCGACAAAAAATTTTTTTTTTTGCTGGATAGGGTCCTTAGGGATGAGGATGCATGAGATCCATCCATCAAAGCCATCCATGATTCTTGTGATTTGCTTCAACAACATTTCATATTTACATGGGATGATGAAGAAAGCAGAGCTTTGGTAGTTAGATGTTGATGAAAGGCATATGCTATTATGATGATTACACATGAAATATGCTTAAAGACTTTATATAGAGTAAATATTTGATGAATATTATACATAAATCATATTTAGAATATTTTTTAAAGAAAAAAAATTATCCAAAAATATAATGCAAGAAAAGCATATTGATTAATTCTTAATATTCCTCCACTTAGGTTTTGTTTGGGATTATAATTTTTTTGTGAAGGTGGTTGTACAGTTATTGTGCAGAAAGTAATTTTTTAAACACTGCTGTAAAATGTAGCTCTCTAATATTTTTTTTTTTTTTTTTTTTAAAATAGTAGCCAAACGGAACTATGGTTGTTATTTGAAAAAACAAACATAAAAAACTATCTTAAATAGGAGAAATTACTTTGTGCGGACGTCGAACACAGTTTTCCGTCCGTATGACAACCAGAATGCGCTATGTCAGTAATGCCAAGCTGGGTACCGAGCAGTACTAAGCTGGGTACCGAGCAGTACTAAGCCGGGTACCAAGCAGGGGCTGACGTGGAGCATTCTAGTTGATCTCTGTACGATGTTCAGCATCCACACAAAATAATTTCTCCCTAATTAAATAGACCCTTATTTAGCCATGCATTTTTTTTTCAACTGTATTTGCTTCTTCAAAACACATAACTTTTGGGTGTTTAAGACAACAATCTCTCTCTACTTATATTTTTTTATTAAAAAGCTTTGTTTGTAATGATTTTCTTCCTGCATTTTATAATAACTTTAAAATTCTTAAATGTAGCAAAAAAATAATAGTAAAAAAGCCGTCCCAAATGAAGCTTAATTAGCTTTCTTACTGTTTTTAAAGCAGTTTATTAGTATAAGAAATTTTTGAAATAAAATTTTTTGTACTAAAAAATTGCTTTAGAAAGCAGTGAGATCAAAATTAATGCTTTGTGTACATATACCTGCTTAACTCACACAAGCTCAGAAGAACCAATGCAATGATGTATGAGATGAATTATGAATATTTATTTGATCAATTATCCATATATTTATTTGATCGGATATGGATTTTAATATAATTTTAACATTTAAAAAATTATGGAATTAAATTTAGGATTGCTGGAACTTCTCGATGAGACGAACCTAATGACATAAAAAATGATTCGAGTTGAGTTCAAATGGACTCAAATCAAGAAATTGATGTGCGGTTTAAAATTTAGGATTTTAATTCGAAGAGCAAGAGATTTTCGATTTTGCAAGCTTATATTCAAAACGATTATTTCAAAGAGAGGAATCCAATGAGTCCAAGATCACTTAATTCTAAGAGCATTAAGGCACTTGAATTTAAAAGAACGGTCTATGATTAAAGGAATCAAAACGAGTCATTTAATCGAGTGTTTAGATATTAGGGCTAAAATTATCTAAATACTACTCAGTAAAATTATAAATAAACTCTTATTCTTGATAGCTTGGAGATTTGAATAATCCTAAAAAATTTTGCTCAACAATTAATGCTAATGAACATTGCCAACAATCATCACAACCTGATTAGGTTATCTGACCACCATTATCTGGCAATTGATACTCAACTATCATCGTTCGACCCCCATTACTCATCCGCCGTCATTCATCTAAATGCTATCATCTAATTGTTATAGTTTGACTACCGTCATCACCATTCATCACTTATCCAGTAGCTATAACTATAAGAGACCAAATTAGTGTTTTGTCCATACATTGTAATTAGGTGTTCTCCAATTAAGCAGATGGATGGCTTCTGTAATCCCTTATATAGTGAATTATTTCAACTTAAGTATATCTCATCAGTTTTCCCCTTTCCAGGTCTTTCATATAAAACTCTGATGTTTCGAGTGCCCTTTCTTTTTTATGTTTGTTTGTGAAATATTTATGCAAAACTAAGACGTGAGTAGGGGTGTCAATTTCAGGTCACGGGTCAAGTTCGGGTCGAAACCGGAACTGACCCGGGTTCAAACGGGTCGACCTTACAAACAGGTTTGAAATTCGAACCCGGACCCGACCCGGCGGGTTGTCGGGTTCACCTGACCCGACCCGATTTAGGGTTCTGCCGGCGCCGGAACGTCGGAATGGCGGCGGGCGGACGACGGGCGAGGGGGTGGACGACGGGCGACATGCGAGGGCGGTGGCAGCAGCTATAGTTGATGATATCCGACATACATTTCAAATATAATTCACTTTTAGCTTTTTTTTTTTTCTTCTAATTTTTATATTCTTAAATATATAACTTAAAAAAATTAAATATTTCACTTTTATTATTGAGCACTGTCGCTGTTATACAGCTATAGAAGCCTGGTAACAAACGATGGATCCAAAGTTCAATTCAACAGTCCTTTGATCCACTCTACAAGCCTATAATATAACCTTTTGTTACTTTCCTGATGTGGCTTTGATTCTCTCTTTCAAATGGAAAAATGGTGAAATCAGTGGTAAAGCAATAATTAAGGCTTCGTTTGAGACGGCATTTTTACTGCTTCTTGAAGCAGATTTCTAGTATAAAAATTAAAATTTTTGTACTAAAAAACTGTTTTAAGAAGCAGTAAGAAAGCCGTCTCAAACGAAGCCTAAAAGCCCAACATTGTTATCCATATTATTATGGAGATAGAAGTAGCCTCCTTGATTTCATTTGGGAAAGCTTTCTTACTACTTTTTAGTATAAAAATTAAAAAATTTGTACTGAAAAGCTCATCTCAAACAAAGCCTTTATCGATTTTGCCATTACTTGAGCAAATATCCTTTGAGGACTTGTTGTATTTGTAGCTTTTAAGGGATGAAATTAGGGTAATTTCAACAAAAAGAATGGACGTCATATGTGAAGGTCTTAATGGATTTTCTTTGATCGATGTAGATGATTATCTTTTTTTAGTTTGAAATAAAATGAATGCAATATAAAGTCCAACGATAATCGTGTTTGGTAGCCGGCGGCGAGGGACAATTAGCAAGACAATACATGCCGCGGCGACTATGCTGGCCAACGATTGGCAATATCAGTCGGAATGCAGTGATGGCAGCCTGGCAGGCAGTAGTTGGTGAAAAATTTTTTTGCCGAAAAGGAATTATTTTAGAAAATATAAAAAATCAAATAAAATTTTACTTTCTCATCAAATTTAATATCAAAATTTTAAATATCTCATATTTAAAATATTTTATATTTCATTTTCAACCAATCAAATAACTTATAAGAAAGTGGTGCATTTCCATGTGCGCTCACATGCATCCCTCTTCGCAGTCCGATCAATTTGTAACCGGAATCTCTGGTTTATGTCCCCACTTATTACCTGTATTGTTAGAACAGCAAACACCATAGCCTCCCAACCAAATTAGTAGAATTTTGTAAAAGTACACGTGGAACCTTATGATAGGATATCAATCACTGTGTACGATTTGGGTACTGGATTACTGGGAAAGGAAAAGGACACGTCAGCTTTCGCTGCCACGTGCCAAACCAAGCCCGAAATTGCGGGGCCCGCGGCTTCCACCCGTGATATCTCCTGGTTGCAGCGGTCCATTTGGCTAAAACAATGCGCTGCAGGGATGGCTACACGAAACTATTGGGTATGGCGTGGACGGTAGTTAAGACCGGTAGTACACGTGGCGAACAAATAAACCAGCTGTACGCTCTTTCGTCGGATTATTCACGAGGAGATTATTTGCAATTTGCCAATTATTAGATGAGATAAAAAAATAAAATAGCTCAGATATATTGTGATTCAAAATTGAGGGATATATTTCTATTTATATTTATTTATATAATGTTAAAATTACTAAATTACATCAAAATATTATTATTATTTATTTATTTTAAACAAAACAGTATCACAAATGATTATTTGGCTCATTCTTAATTTATCATTTTGTCAAATGCCATCAATTTTATTTGGAACAATTTTCTTACTATTTTATAAAGTTAATTTTTAATATATAAATTTATTGGCTTAAAAATTATGATCTACCATCCTTTACAATAGCCAACTATTTAAAGAGGAAAATAGAACTATCTAGACTAAGGAATGTAAACTAATCCCTAAGCATAATATAAGCAAAGATGTTCCTACATCATTCTCCCATTGCGTAAAAAAAAGGCTCGACTCCGTCGAGACGCATTATTGAAAGAGAGGTTGTTGCAGAAGACAGATTCCCGGATCGAAGATTTTGTTCTCAATATTTTCAAAATTAGCAACTTTTCTCTCCATTGAAGCCTCGGGTACAACAGATGCAAACTTTGCCATATTGCAATTTGAATGCTGCCTAGTAGCACTGAGCAGAGCCCCCCGCGTTTCTGAATGGGGGCCATCCGGAATGGAGTTGATCAAGTTCAATGCCTCTTGCAGGAGATCAGCACGGCCAAACAGATCAACCATGCAGGTGTAGTGATCAGGCCCCGGTTCAATGCCATGAACAGACCTCATAGAATTTAAGTAATGATTCCCTTCTTCAACTTTGGTACAGTAACCATATATGAGAGAACTGAGGGTGAGGCCATCTGGTTCCAAGGAGCACCCAGCCAAATCTTTGAATAGTTTTATGCCTTCCTCTAAAAGACCAAATCTTATATGTATAGAGGCTTCTTTTGCTGCTCGAAGGCTAGAATCCTCTGGTGGAAGTAGCTTACACAAAGCTAATGCCCCCACGAAATTCCCAGATGCTGTCAACTGTACAATCTGGGCACCAACAGGAACATGTAAGAGACCATAAATTGAACTTCCTACTGCAGCAATAGCACAGTTATTACTTTGTTGAAGGAGATGAACATCCCTGAGAACAATTGTCTGAACCAAAGGATATGGAGCATAAAGAGAGCATATCTCAACATGCCTAGGTAGGCGAGCTAATCCATATGGCTTGTGGTTGACAATAGAGCTGGGGGCCTCAGACCAACATATCCTGCCATCTTGTATAAGTTTTCCATTTTGGTCAACAAAAACTCCAACGTCATCCTTTCCTAAGATAAGCTCCCCAGAGGGAAGAGGAACAACTAAGGGAATGCTCCTTCCAGAAGAGAATACTTTTGACGTTGCTCCAGTCGTACTGTTCAGTATTATGTATTCCTTCCCAATCCCCAAGCAAATGTTTTCACCACACCATGCCATAGACTTCACCTGATCGGATACACCAAACTCCTTAACCTCCACAAATTCACGACCACCTAACAATCATAATTAAAATCAAGTCGACCTTTTGCTAAGGTGAGAAAAAGACGAAAAACCAGCCGCGCACCATAATTTTGAATCTAAAAACGTGTTATTCATCAACCCACGATTAGTTGCATGTATTAAAAAATAAATATTTAAAAAAATAACATTCTTGTGCATGCATACTATTTCACTTCCATGGCATTCACAATTTACAAAAGCATACCCGTTCCCTTCAAACATATGCAGCAGTTTATCTTAACAGGACACATTGCCCTGAATCAGAAAAGGATACAAATAAATAACAACATTTATCGCAGAACCAAACTTACAGCAACCTGCACAGTTCATCTCTTACTCTAAAGCTATGTGACTATGTCACCTAAATATTAACGCTCAGTCAAAATGGCGAATAAACCCTTTCGTCGATTCAAAAATGGTGGTCGGGCAAGGAAAGGTTCCATGTGGGGGTCGAGTGGTGGAGGTTTCTATGGTGGAAATCAGGCGATAGAGGTCCGACAATAATAGTCAAACAGTGACGGTTTCTGAGTTTCTGTGACACCTCCAAAATCAAAGTGTTATTTTAAACCAGTCTATCCAGACTTAAGTCAGATATTCCATTGAATTTTTGTGTTTGAACTCCTTTGCATGTGTTCGAAAATAATCTATGTGCATTAAAAAAGGTCTTCATGTGTTTTGGAGTGAATTTAGGGGGTTATGAATGCATGTTTGTGAAATTTAGAATTTTCTCCTATAGCGCTCGTCGTGGTGCTTTAAGGAATTTGGAAATTAATTCAAAGTTATGAAATTTTGAATGTGCACCTTGGCGCCAACCCAATTTTTTATATTAAAATTAACATTTTTTTGCTATTTTGTCTCGTTTATTTCATTGATTTTGGAGAGAGAAAAGATGATTTGAGCAACTTTGGGTATTTTTTAGTCGTTAGCCCCGTTCTGAAAGTTGTTCAAATCGAGGTAGTTCACATTATGCTAATATAAGTTTTCAAAAATATGAAAATTTTCTAATTTTTTTTTATTAAATTTATATTTTTGTTATTAAAAAACAAGAACTTTGCACTGATAAAACTTTCAACACGCAATTTTTTTTATGTTATACAAAGTGAGATTTTGGATATTTTCTAGAAATTTTACAATTTTAAAATATATGCAATTTTTATTTAATAAAAATAATCTAAATTCTTAAACTAGTATAATTAAAATCTTATTAATGTTTTACACAATCTCTAATCATTTGATTTTTTTTTAAAGTGATATTTTTGCTTAGTAAAGGTTTTTGTTGCTTGCCATCAAGGTATGTTAGCAAATTCTAGAATATATTTATTTACACATTAATCACTGCAATGCATTAAAATATGTGCCTAATTGATTGAAATGAATAATTATGTGGAGATTTGAAAGGAGTGAGGAAAGTTTTGTTCTGATAATATATGTGTATTCTGCTTTAGAGTTGTTGAACTCTGTATATTACTCAAAGTTGTTAAACTCTATATTATTGAACTTTAGTCATTGGTTCAATGTTATTGAACTCTATATGTTGGAAGGCATAAGTGTCAGAGTTATTTAACTCTGTTAGTTTAGAATGATATATAAAGTACTGGTGTATTTTGCCTAAATTTTTTATAATTGCTTTTATTTTTTTGCTCAGTTTTGATTTTAATACTTAGTTAATATTTAATAAAAGAAATATTTAAAAATTTAGATCGGTATTGTGGCTTGTTGAGTTGTTTTAGCTCACAATGATTTTGCGTTTTAATTTTAGGGTCTAGAATTTGGTTGGGTAGATGTTTAGGATTTGATTTAAGTGTGTATATGTATTATTCTATTTTAATTTTTGTATACTCATAACTAGCTTTTATTATGTTCTGCTCAGTATTCTCCTTTCCATAACATATGATATAGCATTATTATTATATATACATTTTGATGTGAAATTAAAGAAATTTTATGGATAAGTGCGTATTAACACTTTGGATTTTTTTTAATAGCTATGTAGTTTGTTTGTTGTTTTAAAACTTTAAATAAGAAGAAGAAATCTAAAAAATATTTAAACCTGGACATTGGGATTTGCTTGTTACAACTCAATAAAATAAAATATTTCCTATCAGTGGGTCTTGGCGGTTGGATTGTGATAATTGGGTGGTGGAGGTCCAATAGCAGCGATCAACTAATAAAGGTCCAATGATGATGGTATGGCAATCAACCAGTGAGAGTTCACTAGCTGTGGTGCTTGGGTGGAGGTCCTAGGTTCTTTATGCCTTTAAGTTTTCTTAAATCTTTAGTGAATGATCCTCCTCATGTAGAGAGTGAGTTTTGGGATTGACATGCCCTATAAATATGAAGAAAATTCATAACACTCTATTAGATGATATGCATTGTGTCCTTCTATCATAGATTGTTTCTTCAATATTTAATGTCTTAATGACATGAAAATTAAGCGATTCTGAGCTTTTTTGGATTTATCTCATTAGGTTGTACGATTCAATCATAAGTATATTAAATTTAGAGATCATTTGGTCAACTAATTAATGTTCTAAAGATTTCATTTTACTTGAGGCCATTGATTTGGATATGTCAGACTCTGATTGGACAACATTTAGTATTATTGAGTTCATATTGTTGAGACGTTAAGTTTGACTATAAGATTGTCAATGTCAAGAGTTCGAATGATTATAAATTTAATCTTAAAAGTTTTACATTCAAATAAGCCTTGAGATTTATGCTTGATTAACAAAGATTTTTGATGGCATACCATAAGTAAATGTAAAAGTTTCAATATTATTTTAAAATGATATAAATACAATATGAAAGCTCCCTATGAAAACATTATCAAAATAAATCTTACTCATTTAATTTATTATCAAATAAAAATTATATAACTTTTAATTTTTTAACAAAATATATTACATTATCTTAAATTAAATTCAATAACTCTTTTTTATTATATGATAGATAAAATTTTTGATGAATTATAATTTATAGCTTTGTCACCTTAAAATATTCATAGAATGATTCAAACTAACTTATAAAGAGACCGCCATTATCTAACTAAAAAAACTCACTAAATGATTATTTAAATTTTAATACAAAATAAAATAAAATTATATCTCACCCAAAATAAATTGAACAATTCTAACACAAAGTCAATAAATTAATAGACTTAGGGTCTTTTTTAGGTAGTTTTCTTGCTTCTTTCCTTTTCAAACATCAAACATAATTAATTTCGTTCGGCTATTATTTTCACACCATTTTTCAAAATGTTCTATTGTGGAAAGCTACTTTTTGACAACTAGAGTAGCAATAGTGATTTCTTTGCAATAATTTTACAACCAACTTTATAAAAAATTACAGTCATCCCAAATAGACCTAAAATTTTAATAAACTCAAGAGAATCTATCAATTTCAAGCGATAAAAATTTTACTTTTAAATTGTTAGGGGTACTGATATTTCTTAATTTAATAAAATATGAATAGTATTATATATATGCTTAGTAAATAATTTTATATTGATTTTTGCTTCATCCAATTAAAATAGGGGCTCTAATTGTATGTAAATCATCTTTAAATATTAAAGAAATAAGACAACTTAATTAAGATGACCTAATGAAAAAATTGATCACAGAGAGTTTTAAAGCCCTAAGATTTATTTTGAGATATGTGCAATGCATAAATAATTTATGTTGTAATTATCTCAAACTAAATCAAAGAACTTTAATGCTTATTTTGATAAAATATTTAGTCATCCTATCTTGATATAATTTTTTGTAAACAATTTTTTTCTTAGGATGAGATTTAAAAGTTTTGAATTTACTTCAAAATAAATATAGAATAAATTATTTATGTAATGCACTCATTACAAAATAATTTCAAAAATTTTAACGCTCATCATTAACATTTTTTATCGCAAATACTTAATACAAATTTTTTCCATTAATTGTGTTTGGGATAAGGGACTATTGGACATATTCTCATTGCTTTACTTTTTGGACAAAAAACTACAATTTCATTTAGCTATTGTTTTGTTGATGTTTTTTCACTTTATTTTAGAGCTTTTACTAGTAAATAGTTGATTTTTGTAATTAGAGAAGCTAAGTTGATTTATCTATAACAACATCACAATCAACTTTATATAACACTATAGCTGCCTCAAACAGACCCTCAATTAAACTATAAAACTTTTAGATTTTTGTATGTAAAGTTTAATTTTAGTGAAAATGAAATAATTAAATTTATATTTATAATTTTCTATTCAACTTTAATGAAAATGAAAATAAACTTTTATTAAGTCAACATTTTGAATATGCAACATTTTTGAATTATGTGTTCGAACTTTGTTCAAACCATGCATGGCCAAATATAATTCAAAGCTTATTTAAATATGTTTTAACCATGATAAAACAAAGTTCAAATAAAGTTATAACTAGATTTGAACTAAGGACCCTTTCATGGTGAAGTTATGTGGTGGCCAATTATTTTTTTATGGCAAATAAAGTATTGACAATATTGTATTCTATGAGAGAGAAAGAAAGATTTTTATTGAAAAATTAAACAAATATTTGATGGTACAAAGAAGAATTTTACTTGAAGATTGAAATTTTATTTGATGTACCACTTTAATATAACGCAATCCATAATTTCAACTCCTCAAATTGGCCTATTAATAGATTATGACCTTGCTTTTTTTTTAATAAGATATTTATATTCATTCAACATCAATCACTCAAATGTGCATGTATACATACATACATACATATATACATATACATATACATATATTTGTGCATGTATATTGCTAATGAGAATGATATATAGATTAGTCAATCCACCATCTTTTGCTGATGTATATGGTGATATGGACATACCACGTACAGATGTACGTGGTGTTGCAAACATATAAACTGTAGATGATGATGGCTTCATGAATACTTTAATATTATGATATCCAATGGAGATTACAATCTTAGTTTTTGATTTACCTAAAATTGATAATCATGTGAGAACTTATTCTTTAGGTATCTTGGGGCTAAAATCAATAATTCAATATACGAAGAACACAAGGATAACTCCCATACAATGAGGGCTAGTACTTGAAAGTACCTCTAATTCAATTGATACTAGCATAATGACATTATGCTTACATTTATCCTAAAATTGTGTAGAGGTTGGGAAACTTTTTGAGAGCAAAGAAGGGTTAAAGAGGATGTTACATCTATATATGATAAAAATGAATTATAGTGTTTAAGGTTAAGAAATTAAATAAGTATCTATAGTGTATCTATTGCACTTTTAACAAATATTAAAGAAACTTGTGAGCTATAAATATATTTGAGAGTAGAAGCCATGAATCATAACACATTTGCACTTTGGATGTTAGTTTGAAAAACTAATGAAAAACTCAACCATAGCTCAGTGAACAAATAATTGAGGACATAATCTTCGATTTTAATCTTAATTTAAAGCAAATGAAGATTATATTAATATGAAGAGGGAATATATTATTAATTTATCCTATGAAATGGTTTAATAATATTCTTAGTAATTTATCACTTATGTAAGTGGGTGCCTCAACACATCATTTCAAAATATACCATCTTATATACTTATTCTACAAAGAGAAAACTCATGAATAATTTTAGATCATCGTAATAACAATGAAGAACATTTCAAGTATGTTTACTTTTCTTTTATGTGTTTGTATTCAAGATTTCAAAAGTATCTATAGACAAACATTATAAATACATGTTGTGACTCGTGATAGCGGTGCCATAGATGAATACTCAGATTTATTAGAGGCATTTGCATTAGTTGAATTAGAAAACATTCGTTGCTTGATGACAAGACTGAGGGAGCCAAAATGCATGGTAGAAACTAATAATTTATTTTTTATTGATATAACATTATCAATAATGTTTTATCAACTATTTCCTTATAGGAACATCATGGAGCTTGCATATCACTTGGCTTCAAAAGCTTATAAAAAAACTATAGTTTCATTGCACTTTGACAAAATGCATGGCAAGAACCCAACAATAGCTACTTATTAAGAGAATAAAGATGACTTAACATTGTGGACTTGTGTTTGTTCCTTAAAAATTGATACAACTTACATATATACCCCTTAATTTCATGCTATTTATATAACTAACACCTAAAATTTTAATATTACATGTCTACCACCTATAAAATAATTATGGTTCCTTGAAATGAAATATTAAAATTTATTGGGTGGTATGTGTGGTAAGAATGAAATATATGTGTAATATATTTGTTAATAAAATTTTATATGAATGATATGAATGTGATATTAAAATTTTAAGTGTTAGATATATAAATAACATAAAATAAAGTGGTATGTATGTAATTTTTTTTTATTTATTATTCTTTTTTTAAGTGTGATGCAAATCACCAGCACTCACTCATGGAAAACACCGAAACTCGGAGAAAGAGATGCAGAGCTAAAACCTGAGAAGGATAAGGCAGAAGATAATAAGCAACTGCACGAACTCTCACAATCTCCAATGGCGGAGTCATCTCTCAGTTCTCCGTTCCAATCATCTATATTTTCTCTCTTTAGGCCCAAACCTCAACTCCTCACTCGGCACTTCGTCGCCCGACGGTCTATTCCCCGGCCTCCACTCTTCCGTGCGATAGCCGCCTCCGGTCCCGCTGCCATTGATACTACCAACGGCGCCTTAGTGACATCGAAAGCAAAGCAGGAGCCCTTGGAATCGTCGCTGTACGGACGAAAGTACTTCCCCTTAGCCGCGGTTGTTGGGCAGGTGAGCCATGTCTGCAACCCATTCACTGTTTATCTGCGTATCGCCTATGGGGTTAGGTCTTTGATTTTTACTGCTCTTGACTTTGTTAGATGCTCTCTATTTATCTTAATTTTGTTGTAAATGTAGATCATGAAGGTCGGTTCTTTCTTTTTATATGCTTCATTTGTTCATATGGACATTTCTAAGCAATATGTTGGATCCAAATTTGTTGATGGATGGCACCTAAATTTATTAGCAAGCCTACCTGTTGAGCTGAAAAGTTGAACTTGTGACAATGGAGAGTAGATGAAAGTGCTACAATATGCTTAAGAAAGTTATAAATCTTAAAGTGGCAGAGTATCTACTATCAATCACAAAAGATCAAGATCTAAAAGTACAATACCCATACAATATTATACATCACACTAGATGCGTGTCTCCTCCTGCCAACCTTAAGGAAAAAGAGGTTGGAAGGATTCGATGAGCGGCTTTCGGATGAGTTTAGTAGTGCTAAGTGGATGAGGGCGAGTGTGCTCGGGCGAGTTTTGTGGGTGATTATTGAGAGGAAAGGTAATCAGTGGTTGATGTACTTTCCGACTATGCCAATGACTTGTGTGTGATCTCTTGGAGCACCTAAGGAGAGAGATGAGTGAGGTGTTGTATTGGGGATGGAGAGCACTTGAGTTTGATGGTTACGGTGATGTAGGTGAAGGTTCCCATAAGTAGACACTTTATTGTAGCTGAATTTGGTGAGGATGATCATTTTGCGAGAGAGTTGAGTGCCCAAGGTTGCACTGAGGAGAAGTGAGTAATTGAGGTGGTGGTGTAACATCTATAGCTACAATGCTATGAATTGGTCTGAACTCTGTCTGATAAGTCTTGTATGTTTGAATTCTCTATTTTTTATTTTTCATACGTACGTGAATATTCTTTATGTGTATGAATGCATAAATTCTCTTCTGGAGCATGTCTCAAAGGTCTGTGAGTGTGAAATATAAATTTTGATTTTTTTCTTGGGAGCGCCGTGATGCTGGGGGTGGCGTTACGCAATGTTTAAAATTGCGTAATCGGGTATTAACGCGTTTTTCGTTCGTGAGGCGAGGCGTAAGCCTCAAGGCGTTTTGAGACGTAAGCCTCAAAATCAAAAGATTACGTAAACATAAAATGATAAATTTTTTATATACTAATGAGCAAAAAAATATAAAACATAAAAAACCACAAGTTATGAAGTGAAATCAAAATATCCAATAATAAGATAATATAAAATATAGTCAACTCAAATTCTATCTTTCCCAAATCACAGTATTCTTTTCATTAACATATAATTCCAAAAATAAATAACAATAAATACAAAAATATGCCGGACAGCCGGGGGTCCAAGGGAGTGCTGCCCCCTGGCGGGGTCTCGACCTTACGGGGGTTTCCAGGGGTAGTGCCCTCGGAACAAATTTTTATTGTAAGAGTAATTTTGAAGTTCTGCTTATTTTTAAAGTTCGTAAGTCATTTGTATGGAAATATACCGAGCGGTACCAAGCATGTACCTAGTTGTACGCCTGTACCGAGGATGTACCTAGTGGTACCAAGCATTATTGTACCGAGTGATACCGAGCATGTACCTAGCGATACCAAGCGGTACCGAGCAGACAGACCAATTGTGGAATCTTATTAGGTTAGGACTTTTTTTAAAAAATTTAAGAGGTGGATGCCTCTAAAACATGAGGCACACGCCTCAATGCCAGCTCTCATTGCGTAGGCTTTGAGGCTTAAAACTATAAAATTGCGCTGAGAGGCGTCTCTTATTGTGCAATTTTAAACCATGGCGTTACGACACTGAGCTCTCTGTCATTTTGGTCATTTAATTAGGGTGTTGCTGCATTGGTTCTAGGCGCTAAGGCTTCGTGCTCTCTGTTTGGCTAATAATCTATTGTAACGTTGTGCTACTATGTTTCTGAGTGATGCGGCATTGATCATAGGGCTACAAACGAACCAAGACGAGCTGACCTTTAGCCTGTTCGTGTTCAAGTTCGTTTGTCAAAATTGTGCTCAAGCTTAGCTCGAAGCTCGTCGTGTTTCTTGGACAGCTGTTCGAGTTCGAGCTCATATAAAACAAGTATGTACGAGCTTGGTTCGTGTTTAGTTTGAACTTGTTTAATTTCAAGCTTATCGAGCATCTCGTTTAACGTAAACAAGCCGAGCCGAATGTATGTATATATATATATATATATAACATTAGATTTAATTATTTTATTTGTTAAATAAGATATAATAATAATAATAATAATAATAATAATAATAAAATATAATATTTATTTTTAATTAAATAATGTATAATTGAGCTTTTTAATCGAGCTTCTTAACGAGCATATTCATGAACTCTAAATGATGTTGTTCGTGAACATAAACGAGTCGAACGCCAGGTTGTTCAAGATTGTTTATTTTGCTATTGAGTATTGCAAAAGTTGTTCAAGCTTGTTTATTTACATTATTAAACGAACATAAACGAGCTCTTATCAAGCCGAGCCACGAGTTGCTCGTCGAACGCTCGGTTCATTTGCAACCCTAGTTGATCATATATTTTCTAAATATTAAAATTCACTAAATTTTTTTTGTTACAAATCATTTTAATCCCCTTAAGCTGCTGGCTAGAGAGAGAGGAGGGTTTTTAGAGAGAGAGTCTATTTTTGGTTGCTTTGGATCAATTTCATCCATTGAGGCAGTTCAGAAAATTGTTCGGGTGGAGATACATTACGATTTGCTATCTCTATTTTTAATAATTTGAAGTTTTTGTGATTTTCTGAATTTTGAAATAAAATTTTCGCGGAAAATGAGGTAGATCTGATTATTGGGAAAACTTTTAATGCGTAACCTTTGATATGTCGTAGTTAACAATATTCTACTCATTCTGAGGCATTAATTGTGGCTTTTCATTGGGTAGTTTTGAAAATATACCATTTTATTGATTTAAAAAAGTATTATGACATCTATAAAGTGTTGTTGTGCAATAAAAGCTTCGAAACATAGTTAAGAACAATCTGTAGTAATATGGTGAAATTCTAAAAATATTAAATTTTATATGTGGCTTTTCCCCGAATATCTGATTGTTTGATTATAAATGAAATACTCTGTGAAAGAGTCATTTGGTCTATATTTAAAAATGTATTTATTTATATGTATATATTTTTGGAATGTATAAATTTAGATAAATTATGATGATTGTGGTAAGTTTTGATGTGCTAGCATAGGGAGTCATAAGTGTCTGAATTTTGATATTTGTTGGGAGGTACAAGTGCCTGAGAGAGATTCATTCTATTCTAAGATATGAATATGAAATGTTTATTGTTTTGTTTCCTTATTGTTATGCTATTTTGATTAAAGCTTTATAAACATCACCTAATTCTATATGAATATTTAGTTATTTTGAGAAATCTAGTTGGACTTCTGTACGGATGAATTTACTTCATCTTGCCATTTGTATTTCATTATTGGTGATAATTATTATTAAAGACCTAGGTAGATTGAATGTGGCATGCAGAGTTGTGATTGCTCATGCCTGCTTTCTGCATCTGTTTCACTTCAGGATAAGGGGGAGGGGCAGATAAGTTGGTAGAGGCTGCAGGATTTGAGTCTAAGTTTGTATAGGTATGTGTGGTTGGATTTTGACGGCCATGACTTTTCTGTTATGTTTTGTATTGTTTGAACCATATATTGTTTGTATAAAATTATTTTGATTGTAAATATTTTTTAGATGAATGAAAAATCTTTAGATGATGAGTAATTGTATGTTTTAATTGAAGTTTAGTGGCTCTGTTGTTTGGAAAATTTTTGGGATCTTTTTATTTCTCTCCAATTAGATTTTGGAATTTCTATTATTGTCACGATCCGACACAATATGGCATGTTCTGCTTGTGGGTTATATTGGGTTGGATTTTGACAGGTGATCTAGTCGTCCAGGTATATGGCGAGTTGCTAGCCTTATGAGGAATCCCCAGTTTGCCCTGTAGAGTGCATGTTCTTTGATAGTCCCGGGCGAGTAATGCCTATTGATTACTTTGGGCGTGTTCTAGGCGAGTAGCGCCTCTTGGAATGTTAGGCGAGTTCTAGCCATAGAGAACAAGTCCATATATCATGACTTGCCAGTTACTTATTGAATACTTGGGGATGCATGTACGAGTATACACAAGCAATTGTTTTTCAAGTAGCCAGTACAACTTTTTCTCCTCACTCCCATCTTCTTGTGATAAAGACAACACCTTTTTTTCAGATTTTCTCCACACCGTTGATCTCTAACAGTTGACTGTGTCCATGTCGTTGGCTGGCATCTACCTTCTGCATTTAATTCAGACTTTGTCCTCTGTACTTATATAAATATATATTAAGCTGTAGTTTGTATTACTTGAAATAAAAAATCTGCACCAAAATATTAATTATGATTGTCAAAAATAAGATATTTGTAAAACGTTAATTGATATGCATCAAATTTAATAAGTTGAGAAATATAAGCCTGAAAGTTGATATTATATCTCTTCCCTTGGAGCAAAGAGTGTCCCTCATTAGCGTTGTTCATTACAATTGTTGCTCCCTATGGGACTTGTTTCTCAGTTCCGCAGTTCTCATTGATTCCAAAATAAAGAGGATGAAAATATAGTGAGAAATTAAATGAATGAAAAGCTACCTTGCAATTTAATACAATCAGTGATCATCTATAAATAAATCTAGTACACTTCCATTTAAAAAAAAAAATGAAATCAAAATAACTACCTCCTGACTCGTTACAACTACTTAAGCCGCATATAAGGAAAAGAATAATGATAATTTTTGGGCTTTTGCACCATTTCAATTTTAGATGCATTGCTAATTTTTTAAAATATTTTTTCATAATAAAATCTACATTTTCACCACCATCATTTCTCATGTGTGAAGAGCCATTCAAATATGTAGAATTGATGTGGGAGAGTCACCTACTCTTAAATCTCACTCAACTATGTTTATGGCTATCAAAACCATGGGAGATAGAAATCGCACGAACCCCTTAACCAGTGTTGTTATGACTTATTTGATAGTGAGAATCAAAGTAAGACCAGAATTTGGCTTGAGACACAATGGCCAACATATATTTTCATCCCCAAAGCTTTAGCTTTTGAGTGAGAGTCATCCATTAGTATTTTTCCGCCAACTTATCTTTCAATAAATTTATGTTTAATTAAGCCTAATATTCTCATATGCCTTAACAATAAATATGTTAAATTTTGTTAAAAAAATATATGATTGTTTGATATAGTGTTGCCATACATCTCTTTTTAATAATCAAAAGGTGCTGTTTGTCCAATGGTGGCATTGGTTTCTAGTCTTGACATCTTTCTATGGCATAGGATGCAATCAAAACAGCTTTACTGCTTGGAGCTATTGATCGTGAGATTGGAGGGATCGCCATTTCGGGTAAGCGTGGAACGGCGAAGACCGTTATGGCTCGTGGATTGCATGCTATCCTACCTCCCATCGAAGTGATATTGGGCTCTATAGCAAATGCAGACCCGTCCTGCCCTGAAGAGTATGGTTACTTGAAACTTCTATTCCAGTTTCTCTGCGAATGGTTTTTGTTTGTGTTTGTTGGAACCATAAATGTTGAGACTATTGAAGATGCTGCGTGCTTTGCTCAAGCTACATTTCATTAATTCAAGCTAAGTTCTTGGCAAAGGTTTTAGCTCTTTATTTTTTGATTGGGAACTTTCTCCAACTGAATTTCTGTCTTCAGGCATTCTGCTCAACTATGTGAATTCAGGTTTTGCTGTTATTTGTCTTGTTAATCTAGATTTACTATTTTTCAAAAGCTTAATTAGTCTTGGAACTGGCACTGCGAGTTATTTGCAATTGAATGGCAAGATTATCTTTCTATTTGTTCTTTAATACTGGCGTTTTTGTTTGTCCCTGCATTCAACATGAATGTGGCTTCTTATTGATATAAAATATGCTTTATTTTGATTCATGCTGTTCTGTTGTGCTTTTGTACCTAACACTAGGTGGGAAGATGGATTAGCTGAACAAATAGAATATGATGCTAATGGTAATGCAAAGACTGAAATTGTCAAATCACCTTTTGTCCAGGTAAATGCTTATTGAGCTATCTCCGGATTTGACCGCTTTCCCATTTCACTTGAACTCATAAAAGCCGGCGGTGTTTAAATGCACCAGATTCCACTTGGTGTGACAGAAGACAGACTAATAGGATCTGTTGATGTTGAGGAATCCGTTAAATTTGGGACAACTGTATTCCAACCTGGACTTCTTGCTGAAGCCCATAGAGGTGTCTTATATGTCGATGAGATTAACCTTTTGGATGAAAGTATTAGTAACCTACTTCTAAATGTGCTTACTGAGGGGGTCAATACTGTGGAGAGAGAAGGAATAAGCTTCAGACATCCATGCAAGCCACTTCTCATTGCTACATATAACCCAGAGGAAGGTTCTGTACGTGAACATTTACTTGACCGTATCGCGATAAACTTAAGGTACTTATCTTCCATTGACACTCCTATACTGTATATTAGCTTCCAAGTTCATGAGTTCTTCCCCTGGTTAAAACGTGAGAAATACCAATATTTTGAAAATAGAATATTTCCTTGCAAGAGTTATCACATTGAAAAACAATCCATACTTTGAAGTATAAACAGTAGTTATTTTTCTTGGCCTTATAAGCTATCGTCATATGCAGTGCAGATCTTCCAATGGGATTTGATGACAGGGTTGCGGCTGTTAGCATCGCAACGCAATTCCAGGAATCTAGCAACGAGGTTCTCAAAATGGTTGATGAAGAAACTGAATTGGCAAGAACTCAGGTAGTCTGGCATTTAGATTTATCTCTGCTGCAATATTAACGAAATAATTGCACCATTTCCATAAGAATTCGCCTGTTAAACTGAACTGGATATGAATTTTGAATACCTTAATAAATATCAGAAGTATGTACTTCATACTGGTTTCTGAAATGTTTTGCGTGCATGCAAAATCATTCAACCTTTGATACCTCAAGCAAAATGGTTCCGTATCCTACTTTATGCTTTTCATTGAACAAAACAAATGGAATGGTCTACCACTTTCTGAATGGTTTCTGTTGTTGGCATTCTGATTTTGCATTTATATTACAATGTCTTTCTGGTCTTTTTTTTTTAGAGACTTGTGATCCACAGCTGTTGGTCTTATTTGTAAGGTCCATTTTGTTGCTGATAGGAACCCAAAGAATACTCTGCCTATCTAGAGACACGGTTGACTCCTATTGATCACTTCAAGGAGATCGCCTTCCGTTCTCAAAATGAAATAAAAAAATATTGTTGCTCAAAAATAAATCTTTAGAGCCATTTCATCTATTAAGGTTAATGCTGGTCTCAAAAAAAAAAAAAAGTTAAAATGAGATTGACTTGTTCTGAATTCATAATTCTCATTTCTCTGCGTTTAGTTCCAAAGATCTACCAGGTTTCAGGTTTGCGTTCATCTCATTATGGTTCTTTCTGGGGAATGTACTAGATTCCATGTGGAATAAGAGCCCATTGAGAGTCCACTACTTCAAGAAAGAGTATTAAAATGCTAACTTAATATTATGTCAAATCTATTGCAATTCTTGAATTTGAATAGCTAGATTAGTTTCAATGATATCATGAAACTAGCTCTTTGATGGTTGGCTATTTTTTTCTGATTGTTTTTTATTATTATTATTTATTTATTATTTATTTTTTTCTGATTGTATATCGCTAAGAAAACTGGCATTAGATTATGTGTTTGAAAGAAAACCTCAAATTAGTTGGAAGAATATGACAAATAATAACTAGCTGACCATCTACAGTACTTCATGTTAAGTGTTTTGCATAGAAAGGCCGAGCAATCACCTTTAATTAAAATAATCAACTGGTGTTACATATGCTCAAATTGAGGAAGAGTGCTTAATTGCAACAACATTCTATTTTTCTTGTGCATCTTTTGTTAATGATGCTCATAATATGTTACAGAATCAGCTTGCCTTAATGTAAAATATTTAAAATATGTTTACATCACCGAGGTTTGACTTTCTATTCTATGGAGGAACTAAATGCTATTGACTTAAAAAAATATTCATTTATTATTTTTTGTTTTGACTTATTTTATTGCTATAGCTATGGAGTAATGCATGCAAGTTTTCTCGTATAGAAGTATTTGATGATTCTGCTCTGACGTGAAGTTTATAATTGAGCTTCTTATAGGCTCTGAGTTATTTTCTTCTTGTTCATTGAAGCAACTGAAGTTTATTATTAGCTTTGGAGCTTCTTTCTTCATTCGTCACCTAAGTTTTGAGTTTGGTGATGCAGATCATTTTGGCCAGAGAATATTTGAAGGATGTTACTATCAGCAGAGACCAGCTTAAATATCTGGTTATGGAAGCACTTCGAGGTGGCTGTCAGGTTTACTTTATGTGCTTAGTTTCCCTTACCTTTAATAAAATGTATTTTATTTATTTGAACTGACCCTTAAAACTATCATTGATTTACTCTTTAAAACTATCCTTCATAATGTACGCAGAGCTTTCATAGATTGTTATTTAAAACTGTCCTCCTAAGGGCTCTAAACCTCTCCATTGCAAATATAAGCTACGTATAATTTTTCAAGGTGGAGAATATTTGTAATTGCCTGTGAGTAAAGCATTGATTGTAAAGCTTCTCTCTTTTTGTCCAGTTTACTTATCCTGACACTAAAGACCGTATTCAATTAACTAAGATACATATATTTATATCATGTTAGGCTGCATAGTAGTTGAATTTTTGTAAATTATGCTTTATATATGATGAATTGAGCTGACCCTCTTTAAAGTTATCATGATTTGGTTACAACCAATAATTCAAGCTATGAAATCAATTTGTCAGGGGCATAGGGCTGAGCTATATGCTTCTCGCGTGGCCAAATGTCTGACTGCGTTAGAGGGACGCGACAAAGTCGGTGTGGATGACCTGAAGAAAGCTGTTGAGTATCTTTATAAGCCAACTTCATTCAATTATTTTTCTGACCCTGACACAGCTGTTTTGATCTGCATATTTTGCAATCTAGGTAGAGCTTGTAATAATTCCGCGGTCAACTAGCAATACCAATCCACAAGAGCAGCAAAATCAGCCACCGCCACCTCCACCTCCACCGCCTCCTCCACAAAGTCAGGACAAATCTGAAGATCAAAATGAGGAAGAAGAGCAGGAGGTTTGTTAGAAAATGGGCATGGGATAGCAACGTTTTGAGTCCTGTTTGTTTCTTTTATGACATGATTTACTAACATTTTGTTCCTTTCATAACCCTTCTTGATTAAACATAAGAGCAGGAGGAAGAAGACAAAGAGAATGAACAGCAGGAGCAGCAAATTCCAGATGAGTTTATTTTTGATGCTGAGGGTGGCATAATGGATGAGAAGTTGCTTTTTTTTGCACAGCAAGCACAGAGACGGAGAGGAAAAGCTGGGAGAGCCAAGAATGTCATTTTCTCTGAGGATAGGGGTCGATATATTAAACCTATGCTTCCTAAGGTCAGCTTCCCTTACAAGATGTATTCAATATCTGAAGTAGTTCCAGAGGTCTGTTGAAGTACTTTATGGTTTTTCTATTTGGTATATCTACCAAAAAACTAGTTGGACAAACCTCGAGCTATGAGCTTTTGCATTGTTTCATTTGCTTAAATTCTATTTAAGTGGTTTCTTCCGCCTTTCTCAACCCTGGAGAAAATAGGAATATTTTGGGACTAGTATACTACCATAAGTCCCTGTTCAGTTTCCCCAAACGATGACTCCTTAACCAATGGTTTCTTTTAAGTGAGTAGCTATGCTAGATTATCAGCCTACAAGATATTAGAGTTTGAACTGGCATTTTTTTTGCAAACATGTGAAAAAACGACTACAATGCATTCTGATGAAAGAAAAAATCAAAGTGGAATAAAAAATGGAGCATGAAGTATTTAATTCCTCTTCTTATTTCTTTTTGTATAGCTATCTACCTACCTACCATTATTTTAACAAGAGGGGAAATCATAAGAAAGGAAATACATTATTCCTGATAAAAAATAAAGAAATAATTATGAATTAATATATATTTATTTTATAAAGTTAAACAAGTCAACTATTTACACATCAAATTTCAGATTTCACACATTTTGGAATTCCAGACATTGAAACAAAGATTCATTGTATTACCACCATGGATTCCTATGCCACCGTGTGGATCTTTGGATTGCCGCAGATTTTTTCTCTCCCACCAAGTGGAGAATAGATATTTTCATTCCTAGCTTGCATGTAATTTCAAAATTCTTGAAGTAGGTAGTCCTTCAATAATGAGGTTTGCAAGATTTTTATTTTAAGGACTTGAAGAGGTGCTATTTAAATTGCTGTTGAAATTTTCTTTAATGAAATGTTTGTCTGCCTCAATATATTTTGTGCGATCATGTTGTTCAAGATTTTGAGCAATATTGATTGCAAATTTATTGTCAAAATTAAGTCTCAAAGATCATAACATGATTTTGTGATCATCAAGCGTAATATTTAAGCCATATGATTCCATAGATGCCTTGATCCATACCTGTAAACTCAACTTCAACACCATAGTTCATTTCTTACTTTTCCATATTGTAACCTGATTACTTTGAGAAAGGTGCAGTAGCTAATCATTGACCTTTTGTCCTTAATTATTTTAGCATAGCTGGCATCTATAGAGACTTGAAGGCCAAGTTTTTATTTTTATTTTTCTGAATAAGATTCCTTTGCTCAATGTAGCCTTTAGGTATTGAAGTATCTTATGAACAATTCATAAGTATTTCTCTTTTGGATCATGTATACATTAATTACCATACAAATATCATAGAAAGTAGCTGGCCTTATGTTGGATAAGTAAATCAATCTCCAAATTTTATTTATTTTTGTCATCCTCAGTCTACAACACTATCATTTTGCTCTTTGTCCAACCTCAGCTTTGGTGCAAAAGGCGATGCAGTGGCATCGCTATACAATACTGCATCGCTATACAAAGTATTAGTTAATTTGAAGAGATCCAGCATATTTCTATTGAGAAATAATTAATAATATTTAGAATATGCATCTTTGATCCCCAAGACATATTTCAGACACCCAGTTTCTCGAAACTCAAACTCTTTTGTAAGATTTCTCTTGACAAACCAACTTGTGATGATCCACTGATTTTTCTATAAAAATTATACCAAGACTTGCTTTGTAAGTACCAACGAAACCGAATGTTATCCAAATATGGCATATTGATGTTGATACTGGACTTTCACCCTTAACTATGGCTTCAATTATGGGAATTTTTGCTTGTTGTGACTTGCGGCTATGCTTTTGTTCCCTCAAGTACTGTAGGTACATGTGGCTTGTGATCCCTTGCAATCTATACTTGTGACTTCGGTGTCTTTTGATATTCTAGTGGTTTCCCTGGTACATGATTTTGATTTGTAGATTCAATTATTTATAGGCCTCTCAACTTAAGATATTTACTGACTCTAAATTCTAAGTTTTTTTTAAATTGCAAATTATGAGATATTGCGTTTGTAATTAAGGGATACTTAAGTCATTTCAAATAGGGATTTAAATAATAATTATGCCAACCATTTTATTTCTTCTTTGTGATTAATTGTTGGTTGGATGGGAATCTCGTAGTGTATTGGAATTTGCAAGTGCTGATTATGAAATTTCAAGTAAGCCATCTTCTTGTATCAATGTGAAGTTTGGATTACTATTTTGGTGATTATTTTCCTTCACTGTATTCTATTCTAGATTTTAATTATGGAATCACTTGTGTGATTGGGATTCACTTGTGTGATTGGATCTAGGAAAGACTAATATAATTTATTTTTCTAATTGTGGTGCATTTTTTTTATAGTTTTCCTTGATCTTGAATTTCTATGCTAACTTTCTATTTAGAATATCATTAAATTATCATTTGCATGTTTTCTAATTCCTATCAAAACGGAATATTTTTTATTTTAATTGATGGTCTGTGAATGTTAAATTTAAATTTACCTGCATGCTTTTGTATGTTACATAATTTAGTTCTATTAGGAAATCCTAAAACGTAAGAAGTCTTGCATCACTATCATTCATGAGATATTCTGTCGCTCCCTTATCTAAAATCTACATCACAAGATAGAACACTTAACCAACTCTAAAAAATTTTTGTTCTTCATCAAATTTGCGACCTCTTGCTTTAGTACTATGGTATTATTTAGGAATACTTTGGCCTAAAAACTTGATCTTATTTTTTGCAACGATGCATTCATATTATATTCTTACTCTGTTTTTTTTATGATATTAGTCTTCCTCTCTATCAGTTTTCTCTTAATGTATGATATTAGATCATACTAGAGTTATCATTGTAATGCTTGGCATCGTGGCCAATGGCTTCTGTAGGGTCCTGTGAAAAGGTTGGCTGTTGATGCAACACTCAGAGCTGCTGCACCGTACCAAAAACTTAGGAGGGAGAAGGACACGAGAAAGAATAAAAAAGTATATGTGGAGAAAACAGATATGAGAGCAAAAAGGATGGCAAGGAAAGCTGGTGCCTTGGTAAGTTGGCTTTCATAAAATTAATAGTATTTTTTTGTTTGCCTTCTTTTCTTTGTCCGGTGATTTATTCAAGTATTCTCAAACGATTTAGTCAATGAGATTTCTCTGAGTTTCTTCCTTATTTATAAATAGCTTTGCCAAAGTTGCTTGAAATTAAACGTTGGCAAGGCAGAATAAAATCTCTTGATTGAATGCACCTGATTATTTATACCAAAAACATTTTTATTGTAGTGATTGTTGCATATATACCTTTCACAGGTTATCTTTGTGGTTGATGCTAGTGGAAGTATGGCGCTAAATCGAATGCAAAATGCTAAAGGTGCAGCATTGCAATTGCTAGCAGAAAGTTATACAAGCAGAGACCAGGTTCAAACAAGTTTTATCTATAAAATATCTCAAGATTCTTGTATATCAAAGGAATGTGTTGCTGCATTTTATGAATTAATTGAAAGGTTTATTTATTTCTTTCTTTTGGGAACCTCGAACTTCCTTTTGTAGATCAGCAGTAATAGCTTTATTTAGTTAATTATGATTTGTATGTTCTCAAATAGACCTTTCAGTTATAGAACTGTTTGTGGTTTTCCCTTGGAACTTTCACCTTGAAAGGTGGTATATGCTCTGTTGTTCTAACGAGCTAAGTGCTCAAATGTTGATGGTCAGGAGGATCCTTGTTGGCATATGAGTTGTGCATGGTATAATGATATGAGATGGTGTTGACCACTGACCAGTCACAAATGGCCCACCTACGTATGTTCCACCCAAACGAAAGGCTAGTTCGCTCGTAACTTCCCAAAGGACACAACTGCTCCGCTCGACTCGCTCTCAATTAAAAGATACGCATGGAGTAACCGATGCTTTTAGGTGTAAATGATTATGCTTTTTCATAGTTACATATTCTTGAGGATGCTCAGCTGATACCTGGCAAAACAAATTGGAAAAGGAGCCAACTCCTTAACACCATTTGGCCTAGTTCATGGTGCGTAGGATTCCATTTTCTGTGTTCATGGGGAGCAAAAGATGCTTTTAGGTGTAAATGATTATGTTTTTTCATGTCACCAGTCTGGGAAGAGGCAGCAGGATCAATGACGTTGATCAAGACTTGCATTAAGAATCATTAAGGTTTTGTTTGGGACAATTTTCTTACTGCTTCTTAAAGTAGCTTTCAGTACAAGAATTAAAATTTTTGTATTAAAAAATTGCTTTAAGAAGCAGTAAGAAAGCCGTCCCAAACGAAGCCTAAATCTCACTTTTTGTCTCAACTTTGACTACTGTCAAGCGTGTTGTACCAATCTTCCATTCTTGATGAAGCAACAAACCTCCAGAGTTTGCTTAGCCAGAATTTTTGTTCTTCTGCAAAAATCTTGCCAACAAAGCAAGTTGAATTGTGAAGTCACCAAAATGCAAATTACTTCGACATCTAGAACTTACTTGGCAAAATTATAATTTGCATCTCTTCAATCTAGTCCTATTTGTTGTATATATGGTTTCTTATTAATCCTGTCAAGTCGTTATTTCTCTAGCCTGTTTTGCTGGCCTACAGCCTCATGGAACCTGTAATTCAAACCTATGAAATTTCCAAAACGAAACTGTATTTTTTTATCAACAGGTGTCAATCATTCCCTTCCGTGGGGATTTTGCAGAGGTTCTACTACCACCTTCGAGGTCAATTGCAATGGCAAGGAAACGTCTTGAGAGACTCCCTTGTGGTGGTGGCTCTCCTTTAGCTCATGGTCTTAGCACGGTATCTTATTCTGCAGATCTTTTAACTTTTTTTTCCTAGTTTTTTTTTTCTTATTTACATTTGTTACCTTCACATTATTTCTATGCATAGTAGGCTGTTAGAGTGGGGCTAAATGCTGAGAAGAGTGGCGACGTTGGCCGTATTATGATCGTAGCCATTACTGATGGAAGAGCTAATGTGTCATTGAAAAGATCCACTGATCCAGAAGCTGCAATTACTTCAGATGCTCCTAAACCCTCTGCGCAAGAATTAAAGGTTTCATACAACTTTAAAAAATATTAAATCAAGAGTTAAATCCTAGAATTGTCCCCGCCTATTCATTTATAGATAATTTAGGCTTCATTTTGGACGTTTTTCTTAATGTTTCTTAAAGCAATTTTCTAGTACAAATTTTTTTTAATTTTTAATTTTGTACTAAAAAGCTGCTTTAAGCAGCAGTAAGAAAGCAGTCTCAAACGAAGCCTTAGTCTTCTTGCGTAACATTTCTTCAATTTAGTCCTTTGTCCATACAAAATCGATCCAAAATTATATGAAACTTGACCTAGATGAGCCGGGATTCATAAATTACGTGAAACTTGTTTCAAGTTCAAAGATTCAGGGAAGATTAGTAGAATAATCCATTTTTCATGCTCTTACCTCCCAAACAACCTGATTCATGATGATTGACATTTTTATTATTTTACAATTTTCTACTCTCCAAGGACGAGATTCTTGATGTGGCTGGAAAGATATACAAGGCTGGGATGTCGCTTTTAGTTATAGACACCGAAAACAAGTTTGTATCTACTGGATTTGCCAAAGAAATTTCTAGGGTCGCTAAAGGTATGCTTCTCCAGACTCTAGAATAGCTTGAGAGAAACATATTTTTATATTAAAGTTTCGTTTGAGACACTTTCTTACTACTTTCTAAAGTAGCATTTTAGTACAAAATTTTGTTTAACTAAAAACTATTATAAACAACAGTAAGAAAATTGTCTCAAACGAGAAAAATTATTCTGTGGATGCGGAACGCCGTCCGGAGACTAATCAGAATGCACTACATCACCCTTTTACTGTACCGCGCTCAGTACCGCTCGGTACCGCATCATCCGAACGTAGAGTTGCGTCTGATATCCGCACAGAATAATTTCTTTATCAAAACCTAAATTGCAGTCCGACCTAAATCCATTGCTCTTGCAGGCAAGTACTACTACTTACCAAATGCTTCTGATGCTATTATATCTGCGACAACAAAGGAGGCTCTATCAGTATTAAAGAGCACTTAATCTTACTGAATATGTTAGAAGCCGATGTCCTTTATAATTTTTCAGGCAAGGTTTGTGATTCATATCCCTTGACAGTTTCATCCATAATTTTGTAGACAACTTCTCTGAAAAATCATTTAGGCTTCGTTTGGGACGATTTTCTTCCTGCTTCTTAAAGCAACTTCTTAGTACAAGAATTAAAATTTTTGTACTAGCAAGCAGTTTTAAGAAGCAGTAAGAAAGCCGTCCCAAACGAAGCCTTAGATTCAGCAAAACAAGATTTTTTAGATAATGGCAGTCTGTGTGGTTGCTTCAGATGCGATGATCTGTCTCCTCTGGTTGTTGCAGGTAATATTGAAGCCATAGCCCTCTGTTGAATTTTTGAAACCCTTTGAACTGTATTGGTGTATCTCTTGTTTTTTTTTTTTCCTTTCCAGTTTGAGAAAGAGATGGATGTTCAGTGATATATTTTTATAAATTAATTACGTTGAAATTGGCTCGGTAAATTAGTAAAGAAATGTGAAATTGTGAACTAGAAATCAAAGTGATTTTATTTCATTAATGTTACTTGAAATATTTATTAGGATTTTTTTTTTTAATTTCACGTTTGCAATCATCTATTTTGTTTGATTAATTTCAGGTTTTATTTGGGGCAGTTTTTTTTTTTTTTTTTAAAGTAAATTTTTATATAAAAATTGTTAATTCATAAAAGTTTTGTATTAGAAAGCATTTATAAAAAGCAGTAAGAAAGTTGTTCCAAGCAAAGTTTTAGGTTTCGTTTGCGAGGGCTTTTTTACTGCTTCTTAAAATAAATTTTTAGCATAAAATTAAATTTTTTGTACTAAAAAATTTCTTAGAAAGTTGTACCAAATGAAGCCTTAATTTGTGCTTTGTTATATTGAGTTTTGCACATAAATTTGTGATTATGCATATAATTTAAAATTAAGCAATTTAGCATAAATCTTAATGTCTAAATGATTTATATAATTTGATTAACAAATGATGAGTCAATGCATCCTTAATCTTAAAAATTATATAATTAAATTTGATAAATCAATTAAATAATGAAAACCATCTATTGTAATTTATTATATAAATATAATAAATTTTATCTAATAAATTTTTTTATTATATTTATGTAGTTAGTTTGAAGAGAATATCAAATTCTATTTTCTAATTTATTCATATTAAAAAATAGAAAATAATTTTATAGTTTTATCATAAGGGCCTAGATGAATTTAATTGATTCAAAACATTACTCATGCAAATTTTATGTAGGAAGATTCATAATTTTAAATGCATGTTTTCTGACGTTCATTTCAAAGTCCACTAAAAAGTTAAAATGGCGAGGAATGAAAATAATTATATATTTCTAAAATAAAAAAATACATTTGTAAAATAACTACTCTCAATATATATACATATATATATATAATTCAAGGTGTTTTGAGTTATAAATTTATATTCAAATGAGTTAAATGAGAAATAAATTGAAATTGATTTAATTTTAACATTAAAAAAGAAGTTATATATTTGCTCAAATAGATTCTATTTGAAATAATCCAATTACAATTTTAAATAATTAAAGAAAAATCGAGTGACATAAGAGTGAAAATAAATGACCTGATATGATTGATATGATAATTCGATAATGACCTAATTATAAAATTTTTTATTTGAGTTGAATCAATTAAAATTATAGTTGAGATTAGGGGTGCGAGTTAGATTGAACTCGACTCGATAACGAGCTTGCGAGTCAAACTATTCGAGTTTCGAGTTTGAGTTCGAGCTTTTAATTGAGCTTGTACAATATATGAGTTTAATTTCGAGCTGAGCCCTACTCGACTCGAAGACTCGTCGAGCAGCTCGATTAATTAAATACACCGATCAAACGGCCCGTAGTCATTCCGTTGTCCGCTCCCAAGCCTCCGATATAGTGTCTCGCCTTGATGCCTAGTTCTATTTTGCGATTCTTGATTCTTGAGAGCTTTCGATTTTGTGACGGTTGTGACCTGCGAGGCTGTGATAGTGTGAGAGATTCTCCATCTGTGCCCTAGATAGACGCCGAGTGATTTCTTGGGTAAGAAAATATAAGGAGCTCCATTTCTCTAACTAGTCATTGCCCTAAAGCTTAGTAAGTTCTTGTCGAGTGTTATTTTTCTTCAATTGGATTTGAAAAAAACCAAACTCTCTGTGACTTTAACTAATTATATTATGTGATTTTCATCTATTATCTCACTCTTGTCATCTGGTGCTTTGCTCCTGCTGGCTTTTGTTACTTTCAGTTGTCGTTTGATTTTATATCTTTTGAGGTCTGTTAGGATTCTATTTTTTGTGTTTAATGATGGTGTTGTTCCATTAATAAGCAGAACTTCTCTCCTTGGATGGTCGATTGAGAACCAGGGGAGTGAGGTGGTATGGTAGGTATTGTCGGTTCTCCCTTGAGCCCCCTTCTCTGTTCGATCCTGGTTCAATTTGTTATTGGATTTTCTATTTTTTAAGCTATGATGTTTTGTTGCCACTAACTTGAATACATGATATATTGCCTTGCTATTGCTGCTGCCTTTCGAGTTTCGATTCTAGTTCGTGTTGTTGTTGAGTTTTCTAAATTTTAAAGTCTCGTGGGATACTGTAATTTGCCATGGATGATGATGATATTCCCTTAATAACCAACCTTACTTTCTCCACTTGGATGGTTGCTTGTTTTGCAACCAAGGGCGCATGGGGTGCCTATGGAAGTGCTGATTATACTTGTTTGATTAATTTTCTTTTGTCTTGAATCCTGGCATGCAAATTTTAAATGAATTTTGAAGTCAGTAGCTTTGTGTTGAAGTCAATGAATGTTTGTTGAAGTCAGTGGCTATAAGTTGAAGTCCGTGGATGTATGTTGAAGTCAGTGGATGTATGTTCCATTCCCTTCAATGTTAGTGGCAGTTTGTTGAAGTCATTGGCTCTGTGTTAAGTTGGTTGAGTACTATTTTGCTAGTTCACTTTAGTGTTTGTATATTCTTTGATTTTGGAGAATAATGCTATATTATTTCAATTTGTTTTTAGCCTGCCATCCCTAAGAGACACAACAGATGAATTCTGTGAACCAATGAATGTCAAAAGTACAAGTGTTCATGGACAATCTCAATCAGATATTGCTGGTGAGTATATGAATGAGGTTCTAATTGATAATGAGATTTGTAATGATATTAATGAAGTTAAGAATGATGGTGGAAGAGTGAATGATGGAGTTCTGAAAAATGGAATTGAAGAAATGGAATATGATAATGAAAATGCACTTGAGAGGAAAAAGAAAAAAAAAAATCAGAAGTCTGGGCTAAACGAGCTTAGCTTAATAATGTAAAAATTTGACTCTGACTCAACTCGTTTTCACCCCTAGTCGAGTTGAGCCCTGAAACTTGGATCCAATTAAATTTAGAGCCAAATTGGATTGTTTCAAAAAGTTTAGATTGACATAATTGTATTACATTTCGAGTTAAACATGTTAGATTTTTATTAAACTGGTTGAATTTTGATTAATCGGACAGTATAAATTCAAAAAGTTATGTAATTCACGTCATAAACATTTTAAATGGGTCGAATTTGAATCACACAAATTTAGTTCGAGTTGAATTTAGATTAACGGGTCAAGTTTAGGTCAAATAAATTTGAGTCAGATAAATTTTGAATTAGATAAGAATTTATAAATAAAGCTTTAAAAGTTGAATGCTTTGTTCCCGCAATTCCAAAAGCCGAAGCCAAGCGACGAAAATGGCGGGAAGAAAGCGCTCGACTTCCTCCCCAATTTCCATCGGTAATTCCAAAACCCTAGTTCGTAATATAGGGGGAATTCCGGATCGATTCTACTATCTACTGAGAAATGGCTCAAAGATTTCACTCATTCTCTTGATTTTCGATCGGCGGTTACTTTGTTTCTCATGTTTTCTTCGATGACAAATCAGGGAACTGTAAGGTCGAGATCGAAGGGGGAAGCGTCGTTTGTGAATCAACTGGAAAAGGCATCGTATTGTCTGCAAAAAACGATGCAAGGATCAGAATCTCAGGCAATTTCTTTGTTCCTTTTTTTTTCTATTTCGTTAGAAGTACTCCTCCCCAATTTAAAACTTCTCTAAGCGTCCTATATTTTTTTTGTGCGAGCAGAATGTGATTCAGAAAAGGAAACGTCCAGGAGATATTACAGTAGGAGGCAATCAAAAGATTGTTTGCAAGACAACGGTAGAAGCCGCGCCTTTATCTTACACTCATGTCAACTATGTGAACTTTCTATTATAGTTCAGTTGCTCGCCCATTTCTTTCTAGCCCAGAGAATTGTGATGTTGCATTTAGCTTACTACAGATTCGCTTCCTTTTATTCTTTCTACCAAAAGGTCAAGACTCGGAAACTGAGTACAAAGAAAGAATTTTTTAGCAACAAATGTGCCGTTATTGTTAGCTAGAAAAAATTTGTTTTTGTTTGTAGAAGTATGTTCCACTGTCCTAGTTTTCAGCGATTTCATTGTTTTTTTTCCTTATTATTCCTTTTTCTTAATGAAGGTATGAGGACGCGCACTTGGGCAGATCACACCTTTATGCTTCTGAACCCAAAAGATGTTGACAGTCGTAGTAAATCCCTACTCCAGGTGATTACTTCTATATCATAATGAGTATTCTTCCTGTTGCAATTTAGTAAATCCCTACTCCAGATGAACTTTTTGGATGAAAAATGACATCGTTATGCTCCTTTTATCTAGAATAGATGCATTAATTTATAATTTTATGATTGACACCTTATACCATCTTATTAATTTGCGCCTCTGAGTAATTTGTGTGCAATGGCACTTTGAATAGGATGTGCAGAGGATGATGAATGAACCAGCTTTTCTGTTGATGGTTTCTTCAAAAATCTTGTTCATGTGAACTTAATCGCAGGGTTGCGTTTGAAATATAAAAACTGTAATTTTGATCATGCTTCTGTTATTATATGTTATCATCTTTCCTCATATGCCTAAATGTAGAGAAAATACAGTATTGCTTTACCATATTTGACTTTGCCCAAGTTTTAGTTCTATATTGTTAAACAACACCCTCTTTATCTTGTTTTCTTATGAGAAGACTAAAACTCACCCGCCGCCTTTTTCGACTTGTTTACTATTATGCTCATGTCCTTTCTCTATTCTATATAAAAATTGTGTACTAGAACCAGAATGAGCCTCTTTGGAGGTAGATATAATAAGATTCAGGAAAGTTCAAGTGCTATGCATCAATATGACTCATTAAAGTATTAAAGTCTCATTCACTCTGGATTTGCAGAATTCACCCCATTCTTTTGTAATGGAAAATTTAAGGCTATATTATTGTGATATTATTTTTAATTAGACTTTTCCAGTATTGAACTTTACTGAGATGTATTTATACATGAATGTGTAGGAAGCATTAAAAATTTATATGGAAGAGCTTCCTACCATGAGTTATGCTGCAAATACAGGGAAAGCATCTCAATTTCTTGAAAGATGTTTGTCCAGTGGGTAGGTTATTATTATTATTGGCATATTCCAGCTCATAAATTTGTTTATATACTGCATCTGTTATTGAAGAACACTATGCATATGATGCCAATTTAAAGGCAACTTGAGCTGTCTAAGTGCTTTCTGTTCTTCTTATGTCTTCCCAGGAAATATAGTACACTAATGTTTTGTTCAAACTCGCTTGAGGTATCCATTAAGGTAAGATTTTGTTGTTTTTAAATTTGGCCACATCGTTCTTTGGTTTTATTTCTATTCGCGTAGTTATTGTTTATGTAGATAATAGATATAATATTTTTGAAACTGAAGTTTCTGCCATGGATGTTCCTACATTGAAACTTGCCAATTGGCATATAAACAACCATAATTGGTGTTAAATTGTCCAAAACTTCCACATGTTTTCCGAAGTATAGTACTTTGTGGCAGAAGATTGCTGATAATGTTTCAAGGAGTGGGTGTTTGAACATGAATGGAGATGATTTTATTTTGAAATGAAGCCATCTTAAAATTTTCAAGATTTTTTTCTTAGAAGTTTGTTAATGAGGCTAGAAATTAGATGACTCATTGAAATCATAAAAGGTCATTAGAGTGACTCCTACAACCCTTACCATTCTTTCTTTCTCCTTTCAAATAATCTATTAAAAGAACTTTTATATTTTAAGAAAAAATTACTCTCATCTGTTTTTTTGTACCCAATACTATCAATTCCTCAATATATCTATGTATAATAATTATCTTAAAATGTGAGAAAATTCTATTTGAGAAATTTCAATTCTACAAACAACAAGAGAGCCTCTTTTATAATGGGCTTCTCTCCTATAGCAATGTAAGATATGACATCAATTGATTTGATATTAGTGCAAGGCATTATAGCATGTAAAATTTAAAGGGGAATTGATATTTATTAAAATGTAAAATAAAGAAGTTTTTATGTTCAAATGAATCCCTCTCAAAGTTTCATTTTTTTTTTTAATGTATCTATATGTTTGTATACTATATATTTATATAATAATATATAATGAGATAAAAGGGAAGTAGAAGCCCTCTCAAAAGTTTTAGATTTTTTTTTAAATTTATAATTGATGAAGTGAGAGACTAGATGGCTCATTGAAAACATAAGGTTTGTGAGAGACCCTTGCAATCCTTACTAGTAATTCTTTTTTCATGCCAAATCATTTATCTGAAGGTTTTTTGTTTTTTAAGAAAATTTTCTACACTCTCTCTCATATCTCGAATTCTCTATATCTATATACAATAATTAACTCACAAAATGAAAATATACCATTTGAAGCACTTCAAATCAACATCAACAAATAAGGAAAGATCTATATTTTATAATGGTCCTCCCCTAAATAGGATAATGTAATGATTACAATCAATTGATTTGATGTTAGTGCCAATTCAAATCATCTTATTAGAATTATTGTAGTGTTGCAGTTGGGATACCGTGTCATTTGGTTAAACATCTTGGTAGAATGATTCCTTGCTAAAAAAATTCAGCACAAGTATTAAACCGGATGTCATTTCCTTGGAATTTTTTTTCTGGGGTGAAAATTAAAACTGAACTAAATCAAAAGAAGAACTGCTACAAAAATTTATTACTGAACTCTTGGTAAATTTATTTAACGCATAGAAAGCAATTGTGGATGTTTTAGTTCCTACAAACGAACTTTTCTGTACCATACAGGTGATCGCTGCAGTCACATTTCAAATAATTCCAGTTGATACACAGTTTGCGGAGATTCCCCTTGCTGCAGTTGCGTCAAAATTTCAAAGGAAGGTATGAATATGATGCATAAATTGTTAGCATGACATCCAAAAACCTTTTTTTTTTTCTTCTTTGTAATTTTCCTCATCATTGTTTTTTGTGATATCCCTTCTCACGAATTTCATAATTTTGTTTCACTTGATGTAAAATGGTATCTCTATTCTCCAAGTGTTTAAAGATAAATTATGTCTGGGAAATTGATTTATAAGAAAAAATCAATCCATAAAAGCAAGCTTGGAAGTGCAGTTTTAATCACACCAGGCAATATCTACCTTATCAGCCATAGGTGCAATCGTCAATTCATCCAGTTTGTGATCACATTGCAAGAGCATGACATTGAACAAAGGTGGGTCACGTGTCTCTATGGTCACAAGGAGCAGCCCTTCCATTTTTTGGGGGACTATTGCCTTCATGAAGGTGGTGGAAAGGGAGAAGAGGTGAGAAGTGCATTTTAGGAAGAGAAAAAATTGTTTTTGGAGGGAAAAGAAGAAAGAAATAAGATTACCATGGCAGCATTTTTGGCTGGTATTGCACTTTTTCCATATTCTTGAATGAGAAGTAAAAAAGAAAATAAGCACATTTATGGCGGGGCATTTGTTGGAACAATTATTATTGTTGGAACAATTATTAGGTCAGGTGATCTGACGTAGCTCTACGTTCAGACACCAATAATATGTCGTCATGTGCTCTTACTATTTACAGCGCGGCCCGACTACCTAACCCGGGATTGCTATGTTCGTGTATTGCTCTAGGTATTGCTCGGTATTACTCGGTATTGCTTGGCAATAACGAGAAATATCATTCTGTGAAGACCAATACCGAGCAATACTGAGAAATACCGAGCAATATCGAATTTTTTCTTAGTATTGCTTGGTATTTCTCGGTATTGCTCGGTATTGATCTTGACAGAGCGATATTTCTCGTTATTGCCGAACAAAATCTACCAATACCTAGCAATGCCGAGTAATACCTAGCAATATGCATATATAGCAATCCCGGCTCCGTTCAAGGTTGGGTTGTCGGGCCTTGCGGTAAATAATAAGAACACGTGGCACTAATTTACTGACGTCCGAATATAGAGCTATTAGGTAATGGGACCAAATAAAAGTTCCATTTGTTGACCCTCGTAAAAAAAAAATAAAAAAAATCCCATACCTGCCGGCCAATCCTCCCACGTAGCTCAAGCCCTACGTCCACGACCTACGCACGTCAACGTTGCATCCCCCACGCCCGTTGCACGACCTCGCGTCGTTAAATACACGAGAGAGGGAGGGCTTCAGGTGGTTAGCGATAAACCGACTTCGCTCCTTCTGCGACTCCCCTTTCTGTAGGATCGGAAGTTACTACCTTTCGATCGGAAGCAAAGATTGAAGCTCGCTAGCTGTGAGGATGCACGCGTCGCTTCCTCGGCTCCTTCAGGGTTGTTCGACTTCGCACCGACGATGACTTTCCCTTCCTTCGAATCGGAAGTTACGACATTTTGTTCGGAAGCTAGAACAGGAGCCCGCTCACTGTGAAGGCGACTTCCCCCTTTGGCGTGCCTCTCCGCCTTCTTCGTGGTTGTCCAACTTCGCTCTCTCGACGGCTTTCCCTTCTCGTCGAATCGGAAGTACAACATTTTGATCGGAAGCAACTAAGGGAGCTCGCTCGCTGTAAGAGGCACGCGTCACTTCTCCGTCTCCTTCATGGCTGTTCGACTTCGCACCTTCGACGACTTTCCCCTTCAGTGGGATTGACAGTTACGACATTTGATTGGAAGCAACAGCGGGAGCTCACTAGCCGTGAAGATAACCTGCTCCCTTTCAAGCGCTTCTTCGGCCTAATCCCTTGGATATGCTAACAGAGGGATCAAGGGTTTATTTTATTTAAATCAAATTAATTTTAATTAGTTTTTAATTATAATCACTTTAATTAATTATTGTTATTACTTACAATTAATTTTAATTAAATTATTATAATTAATTAAAATTAATTATATTAAATTTAATTTTAATTAAATATAATTAAAATTTAAATTGCAATTAATTATTAGTAATTAGTTGTAATTAATTTAAGTTAATTACTATTAATTAGCTATGATTAATTAAAACTATAATTAATTATGTTAATTAAATATAAATAATTATAATTAATTAGAGATGATTATAATTAATTAATGTTAATAATAATAATAATAAGAAAAAGAAACGTGCAAATGCCCTCCTCTTGCCTTGATCCACGTGCCACGTGCCTCCATCGCCAATCCACCTACGCAAAGGTATAATCCCTAAACTTAAATCCTGCTTTCAAGGTTTGCGACGAGCCGGCAAATCCCCTACGCGCTCACGTAGCGTAGTAGGGAGGGAAGCCGGCACGGCACTTGCGATGAGGTGGGTAATCCTCGGACCGCTCATGTAGCGTGAGTGAGACAAAATTAAGTACCCATACGTGGGGAAATCCTTGTGCTCTTTTTAATAAGTGTCTAAGACCCTTAAACGCTCATGTAGCGGGTGGGGATTGAAGAATTTGCGGCGCGGTGCATTAGACATCTACCCGAAGTGCTCAAGTAGCGATGAGGGGAAGGCTAGTCTCTCAGATTTTTTTCTAAACAGGGGAGATGTCGAGAGGCTGCCGAAATTTCGACTGAAGACAGGGGACTTGAACAAAATTTGGACAAATAAAGGACTTGATTTGGACAATGAACTGAACATAAATTTGACCCTAAGCCAAACTTAAATGAACTCAAATCTAGATGAAATCAAACATGAGTTTTGACTTGCAACAAATGACAATGAATTGGACTTAAACTGAACTTAAACTGGAACAAGATGTGGACAACAAGAACTTGTGGACTTAGATGTGACATAGTGCATAGGGACTGGACTTGCAAGTGAACTTGCATATTAGACTCAAATTGAATTTAGACTTGATATGAACAATAAAGAACTTGAGCTCAACTGAACCACAAGAGGTTTGAATCTCCAAAGGCTTCAGGAGACCTGAACTTCTACTCAAACTCAATCTAGATCTTGAACTCACACAGACAACAATGGACTTAATTATCTCATCATGCATATGTTAAATCCTCCTTGAAGGTTAGGAGTTTTACAAGTGGAATTTGTTCATAAGCAACAATGTAAGATCTTGATGAACATGGTGATTATGTCAATTAATATGACAATAAGTGGTCTAAGATGCATATAAGCACCTCCGAATTACTATAAAAGAGATTCGTCATATATGCAACACCTAACCTACACGTAGCAAAGAAGGTTGTAGTGATGGACTGATGGTAAAGAGTATGCAATGAATATTATAACACTCATACAATCAACCATATTCAACCTTACAAGCAATACAATAAAAGAGGATGTATGACTTGGCCGCAAATAGACGTACAAAACCTCTTAAATGAATTGCATATTAACTATGACAATTAATGTGTAAAGTTTTCACAAGTCATAAAGAAGGAATGATGAAACATAAGACCAGTATGTAGTGGATATAACACTATTCCGTGGTCAACATCAAAGCATAAGCAGATATATCCAATCCCACAAGCAAAGAAATTGGAATTAATTGTATTCTTCATAGCAATCATGTAAGAAGACATAGTAATCCCCAATACATCCACTTGCAAATATCACAAATATTGATAGAAGTTCGTACTGTTTTGAAGATGCAAGCAGCAGTTGCAAGAAGAATTTGAAAGAGGTACAGACAAATACACCAAACCCTGACAAGCCACGGTGGTTAGTATGCGATGGCCGCATAAATGGTCTTACAGTCAACATGTAAGGATGAGACAATGACAAATGCAACTATATTAAGGACCAATAATAGTATGCAAGCAAATGTATCGGTCCCCTACGAAAATAGGAGGATTGATGTGCAGCAAACAAACACACGTGTAATGACGATAATCAACAGCATATAACAAATGCTACAATATGTTTGCAGTCAATAATCAATTAATGGTTGGAGAATACATTGACTCACTGCAAGTAAAGATGGAAGATATGCAACATATGTAAGCACCTATGAATTATCGTAGAAGACACATTATACGCCCGATGTGTTGTTCACAAGCAAAATACAAAGTGAATATATCAAATACGAGTTCCTATGAACTATTGTAGGAAACCTCCTATGCACAAGAAGTGCCATCTACGAATAAAATGCCAAATGATTACATCAAACCTGTAAAAGACCCATAGTACGCCACCGGATCCGCAATGTTCGTATTAGCGGACAAAAGGTGTATATAAGTTCTCAAATGGAATGTTGTGTGCATTCGAACGACAGTTACCTGCACAACTAAAATATTACAAAAATGCCCCCGTACATGCACCATAATTTGTATACACATACGTACACAAGGGATAAATGCAATTAAACATTTGCATGTGCCCCGACGAGCGTGTTATTTGTATACACATAACGTTTAGAGATGCTGCGCGGGTCAATAAATTTGAACCCGATGCTCCTAAGCAAGTAAAAAGTCGACAAGATTCAATAAATAATTATAAAAGGCCCCCCAAACACTCGCATGGGCCCCGACGAGCGTGTTGTTGGTACACACGTGACGTTTAGGGATGTTGTGCGGGTCAATAAGTGAATTCAAGTTTGAACCCAATCATTCTATGCGGATCAATAGGAGTCGACAGGGTTTGAACCATTAAACAAATATATAGTTGCGGCGACCGGTATATTTGTCTTTATACATTTATATTAGGCCTTCAAGGCCCTCAATAAAGAAAATTCACAAACAAAGACATAAAGCCTATGAAACTCGATCCCTTATCAACAAGTTGATAGTGTCTACACGGCTCAGTCAATGATACACGAATAACCCCACACACCCTGATGATGGTCATGTTGAACATAAAATCTCAATCAAAATGGTTCATTTCAAATAATTCAAAATGCTACTCCAAATATCCGATAATCCGAAATTCCAAAATCTAAAAAATCTAAAGATATTTAAAATTGAAAAATAATCCATCTAATAACTTAAAGTAAAATCCATCCACCCTCCGCAACAGTTTGTCGAGGTGGACAAATTAGAAAATTACTTCAGTTTACATAGAGCTAATGCCTAGTTGAAAATATTACTAAGATTAATTCTTAAATAATCTCCCGCCAATAAGGATGTGATACGTGTCCTCTAACCAGCGATTTTGCCGTCAAATGACACCGCATGATAAACCGTTATGACCCGGGGCCCTCTAAACCGAGTGGTTTTGCCGCCAAATGGCACCATGAAATACCAGTTATGACCAAAGCCACCATGTTCCTTAGTGGTATCAAATACTTGAGATATGAATCAATAGTATATGATCGGTAGGGCACAAAGCCCTCTGTTAGCTAAGGTGGATTCAAATTTGTCTCGTTAGACAAACATTCATCCCAGATCTACAAGATCCCCTTAGACGAAGCAACCCATGACTGCCGATATGTCTGATATTGCCCATGCTTCTTGCCAAATATCCATTGCCCATGCTGCTACTATATGTCTGATATTACATATCTATGGATACAACGTATCTGATTGACGACTAGCCTTAATCGAAAGTTCTTTCTCGTTATCGAGAGGGGTAATTAATTATTGGGGCTTGTGCCTAAGGAAACCATAACTCAGATCATAAAGTCCGCGCAAAATGAGGGCGAAATCTCTAGGGCGAAATCAAATTTTGCCTTCCCAAAATTTACCCCAAAACTAAATCCGTTAAAACTAACCCCCCCCGGTGAAGAAAGCAACAGTCGGGCGGAGGCCGGGGCCGAATTTTCGGAGCACATAGATATCTTTGTTCATAACAAATTTCCATTTCTGTATTTTGTATCATCTCACCTAGCACAATTTTGTATGATTTTTTTAGAGTCTTCATGTGTATAGAAAAGAATAGTTCTCGCTTAGAGATCTATCAGCCTAGACTTTTGAGTTCCAACTTGACCATACTTTTGGCGAATTGGTTCGCATATGAAATGGAGACACATGCATGGATGATGCTGAAATATGCATGCAGATATGAGAAAAATAAGGTCTAAACAAGCACATTAGTTTAGGTAAAATGTACTGTGGTAAGCTACATACAGATTGCTCTCATTATTTTATGCTATCATCGAATTTTAGTATTTAGAAGCTTCTTAGTTTTTTCATGGTCGTATTTCCTTCTAATGAGATAATATATATCTGCTTTTCAGGGCATCGGTTGCATGATGTATGAAGAGTTGAAAGAAAGACTTAGAAGAGTTGGGGTTTCAACATTATTTTGTTGGGCTGATATGGAATCTGAGCAATTTTGGCATAAACAGGTATCAATAAATAACACGTATCCAGAAGATGACATGATTTTCGGTATAGCAAAATACTTTTTGATAAGACACAAGCTCCTGATCTGAACTACATTTAGAGAAAGATGAATTACTTTTAAAGACTTCCCTTGTTTCTAAATCTTTGTTTGGTACTTTTTTTAATCTAGTTTGCTTGCCTCCTTTTTCATACTAATTATATTTCATATTCTACAAATATTTGGAAACTTAGCTATTACCATTGTCATTATTTTCTCCTGTGGCATACCTTCAGTTTAGACTTACTTGGATTTAATCCATTACATAGCACTCCTCAAATAGAAATTATATTGATGTCAAACCTTTTGTAGACACCTGACTAACTTAAAATTGATGTTAGGTAAGTGTTAGAACTCTACTGTTCTTATATCTTATGCTGTAATAACCCCATTGCCTTATCCGTTGATTGGCTAAAACTTGTATTTTTGTCTTGCATGCTTATTTTAACTATTTGAAGATGCATTGTTGGTGCCATGCAGGGTTTCATAACGGTAGGAGTGGTAGATGGCAAAGGAAAAGCTCGCAAACTGCCAGTAAGAGCTGATATTAGGAGGGCATTGTGCTTTCCTGGAGATGCTACACTTATGGTTGCACATCTTAAGAAGGATATTGTTACTTTCATGGAGTCCTCTCAACATGTTGAAAAAAATTTATCTTCCAAATCCAACATGATAAGATGCAGATTTAGTGAACCTTCTAGACTTGGCGCAATTTCTAATTCAAACACTTCATCTGTCAAGGAAACTGATCAGGAAGATTTTTCTTTGAAAGATATGATAAATGCAAAAGGTATTTTCATCTTAACTTTTGCCTAGCTTTTTTTTTTTTTTTTTTTTTGCATGAACTTCTGGAATCAGTCAAGAAATGAAGAAACTTGTCGTTGACTTCTTTGTAACTAAAAGCGTAGTTTGATTTGATAACAGATCCATAAGCTTCTCATATTACATCTTTTGCATTGCTATTTTGGACTGAGTACTTCCATCCAATTTTTTGTCTATAGCTTTTTTCATTTCCATAAAATAGAGTGGATACATGGCCATCTGTTAACAGATAAACTTTACTTAAAACTTATTTATGGCAGGATGTTGGTAAATTTCCACATATTGTGTGCTGAAAAGTCCTCTTGTAGCTCCCATTTCAAAATATTTCTGTTATATTGATGTTTTTGGGATAAAGTTGATGATAAAAGAAAGGCAAACCTAGCACAGGAGTTTTCAAGCAATGCAGAATCTGAGGATTGATGTATGCTGCCTTATCCTTGCATTGTTGAACGGTTATTTCCATAGTCTGACCTTCAAATTATAATTGAGGCAACAGTGTCATATAAAGTTTAACAGTGATGATGGAAATGGTCAAGCACTTAAAGCTTGGTAGAGAAACAAATTATTGTTTCACATTGTATCTAGAGTTATTAGTTTTGATGTTCTTGAGCCAAGTTACATGTGGATATATGCTGCGGAGAACAAATATCATATTCATTCTGAGAGACAAAACCGTGCTATACTATCTTATCATTTAAAAGTGAGTCGCAAAACCATATGTCATACCACTATCATTTACTGCTTTGGTTGTTCCAAGGTTTTTGCTGTCATGTTGGCACTTTCATTCTGTGTAACATACTTATTGAAGGTCCTTTGCATTATGATGTTGCAAGGATTCCATTCTTAATACTGAATTTGACGGCAATATAATTTCTATAGATGTTGCTGATGAAAGATTCTTCTCTTCTCGGCTAAGAGGAAAGAGGCTAGTATGGGAAGCTTCTGTTTCCTCTTTGAAGTCTAAGAGAGTTAAAGGAAGTCATGTGCCTGATGATTCTTCGTTTTCCGATCAAAATTGTGACTCTCTTAATGATGAAGGAAATTATGATTGTTTCAGTGAGCAATCTTTGGCAGCTTTGGGATGTCCTCAGTTGTCCAAAGAAATTCCTAATTTGATCACCCATTCTAATTTGACAACTCATTCTCAAGGGGAAAGGTTAGCACAGGAAAGTACTGGGCGTGATATTAAAGGAAACTGCCCAAGAATCATGTTCATGAATATTGCTGATGATGATAAGAAATCAAAGCTTACAAAGGTATGGACTGTCAATATCACTTGTTAATGCAGTGCTGGTTATTAATTATTTTCTGATCTTTCTTTTTGTTGCTCATCCCAATACGTTGTGCTCTCAATTGGTGATGATTGTGTATTGAGGTTTATATGAAATTTCTTAGCACAACAAACCCTCTTTTCTAAAAGAATTACATGGATTCATCAAATCCTATAATTGCCTAGCTAACGTTTTTGTATCTGGGACTAGCATGTAGCACTATCAGACCAATAATCGGGAGTTGCCTAACTTCTAGTTAAATTGGATTTGCCTACAAACTGTTTACTTGGGGTTATTAAGCCAGTAAGAATGGCAAATTCCTCATTATTGTTTAGAATACCTGTTCGCTAGACTGCTGGGTTCCATATTTATTGGGGATGGCTGCCTGATAAGAATGTAAATTTCATCAATGGACATTATGCATTTCCACTGCGATATAAATATGTTAAATTGAAACTACTTGCTATTATGGTTTACTCCATGAGCTACAAATTTTAGTGTCCAAAGTCTCCATTTCCTATGATAATTAAGGCTTCATTTGGTTCTTCCTCTTTTTTCGTAAAAGACAGTTTTAAAAACAATGGTTAAGGGAATGGAGTTTTTCAATGGAGAAGCAAATATCAAAAAGCTTCTCAAAACAGTAGAAAAATGAAATTTTCTAAAAAGCATTTTTATAAAAGCGTCCCATCCAAACAACGACCAAAAAATAATTTCTTTGTTTCTAAAAGGAAAAAATTGCCGAAACAAATGAGGCCTAAAGCTGTAAAACCATTCAATTTACAATATTGATGAAAGGTTTTAAGATTTTACAAAATAAAAGTGCACCAAATAAACTTGTAGTTCTCAGGAAAAATGAATGCATAACGAGGATTTATAAAGCTAGTCCAAAAAAGTTGTGACCTGGGATAAGGCTAATGATGGGGATGATGAATGACTGAATTTTAGTTTAAGAATACATAAAAACTTGGTAAGAAACTGACTTTTTCCCTCTATTATGCTCCAACGTGTATGCCTTGCCGTTCTATTGCATTTTTCTACCCAGGTTGTGTGAGTTATCCTCATTCTAGCATTTAATTTCATTTCCCTCGGAGCTAAGCTTCAGGTTTTCCTTGCAGATTGTAGAGGAGCTTGGCGGCTCTGTAACATCAAGTGGAAACTCTAGCACGCATGTAATAACGGGGAAAGCAAGAAGGACATTGAATTTCTGTTTATCGTTATGCTCAGGGTTCGTATCATATCTGTGTGTGTATTAAGTTGCCATTTTTGCTTAATTTCTTACTTGTTTTCATCCAATTTTTACCACTGAGATATGGTGAATATTTTTTTTTTCTCTCTATGCAGCTCTATGGATGTGTAATCTTTGAATCAGATTACAATTTTAACCCGCTCTAGGCATTGATTAAATAAAGCTGCAAAACATTTTTTTATGTGTTTGTATGATGAATGTGCAATAGGTTAGATAACTGTAAAGAAAATACAATTCTAGCTTTGATGATCCTGGTCATGTATATTACAATCTCTAATAATCCTCTTATTGCGTATGTTTTTTTACACAATTTCATGCTACCTAATAAAATAATCATTATGAACACTTCATTTTTCACATGGCATTGATTGCTTTGTACTCTAGCAATGGCAAATGTGGAGCCTAGATGATATGTCGTTGTCATGCATGTTTTGGAAGGTGAATGGCTCATGGTGTTATGTAGTGGCTAAGAATTTGTTTGAGGTTTTTTTTTTTTCTCTTCTTTTCTATTCTGTGATCTTTAAATAATTTTGTATGCTTTAATCGTTTTTGTCTGATCATTCCAATGGATAATGATTTTGTTGACGCAGATGGATTTTCTATAAACCATCTTTCTATTTAATAACAGCATAACTTAGATTTTTTTTTTGTATTTAATGGTTGTGAGGGGTATTTTTATACTGAGATGTATTTCAAGCAATACCTACTGAGAAACTTATATAAAAAATGGCTTCTGTCAACTAAATAATGTTAACTCTTGCAGAGGTCTTCTGATTCAAGGATGATTATTATGCAGTTTTAGATTTATTTATTATTGGTTTCTTAAAGCAAACCAAACCAAGTGATATGATTTTCCATGAGCATACATTTCACCTTTTGTTTCCCTATACTAACGGGTATCGTTGAGGAGATTTCTCATCAAGTGGCTAACTTCGTATGGGACGTAAGTTTTGGCCACATTGGGCTTTTTGACTGTAGTAATTGGGCATTTGCATTATAATAGTACCAAAGCTTCTCATGATCTTGTAGGAATATGTGTTTCTCGCTTTTCATGATTTGCATTATAATAGTACCATTGACTGCATTGTATGGTACAAGTTTTGCAAGTTTCTTGAGTTGCTTCTTGGGTTTCGTTTGGAACAGTTTTCTTCGTGCTTCTTAAAATTACTTTTTAGTACAAAAATTAAAATTTTTATGCTAAAAAGTTGTTCTAAGAAGTAATAAGAAGGTTCTCCCAAACTAAGCCTTAGTTTTCACAATTGAGGATGTCTCTGTTATAACATTTGCAAGCTCCTTGTTTCTTGTTCTTGATCAACATAAAGTTCTTACCATGTGCAGGACTTGGATAGTTTCTGCCAATTGGTTGAAATCTAGCTTCCGAGAAGGCAAGTTCTTAGGTGAGATTATGCAAATATATCTTGATGCATTGATTGTTTGAGTTTTCCATGTGTCCTCTCTTTTCATAGGGAATATAATTGTGCTGCTTAGCAGTAGATCCAAATATTTAAGTCCTTTTTAAAACAAAACTTCAAACTGAATTATTTTAAAACCTTTCTCAGATGAATCTCAGCATATATTAGAAGATGAGGACTATCATGTTAAGTATAAATGTAAGCTAAGTGATGCGGTTATTAGAGCAAGAGCAAATCCTCATTCATTACTCAGAGGATATCAAGTCTGCCTTTCTAAGCATATCCAACCATCCGTCAATGACCTTTCATCCATCATATCATCTGCTGGTGGCAGTGTAAGTGTCACTATGACCCGCTTGCATCAAACTGTTTATATTGTTACTCATATCATTAGATCAACTGTATTTTTATGTTGTTGGATGAAAAAATTAGATTTTAGGAGGTTGATTTTTGACAAAATTTATTGGCCAAAACACATCTCTTTTATGTTGGGAGGTATATTGACTAATTATTGGCCATTTTTGAATTTTTTTTTGGTTCACTGAACATCCTACTGAAGCACCCTATCCACAATATTTAAATGTTATCTTTTAGAGCCAGTATTTACAAAATATGTATTTGATCAACATTTTTTCATTTCATTATCATTATCTTTTTCTTAATTAGTTAATTATAAACGTGGTTAGAATTATTTATATTTCTTCTCCATTCATTCTTAATGTGTAGGTGATGCTAATCCTAGTTTATATAAATCTTTGTGCATGATTATTTGCCAAGTTATCGTTGGTCTATCTTTTTTCCCTCACATTCCTTTCACATTACTTTTATCCCTTTTTTTTTATTGGTGTATTTTTTGTTCGTGCTTGTGCCAACAGATTCTATTTTTGATAACTTCATCTTCATTCTTCAATTGGCATTACTTTCTAAATCTTCAATATATTCATTCCACACTAGTTTTGTTGATTTACCAATAATCTATCTTAATATTCTCATTTCTATATCACTTGCCTTAAGGGCTAGCTTGTTTCACCTGAAGGTATCTGGAATTGTATAGATCATAGTTCCAAATTTGTGTCACATTGATATGATTTGCAATGATACCTACTTGTCTGGCAGTACGTAAGTCATGAATTTGTTTGCGTTGTGATTTTCATTTTTACCATTCTTGCATTAATTTTTATTACTTTATTATTATTATGAGGAAAATAATATTGTTACCAATCACTTCATTAATTTATTATTATTATATTGTTATTAAAAGTAAAAAAACACTAGTGAAGGTGACTTTTCCTAACCCTCAAGATTTGAACTTTTCAACCTTTTAAAAGTGACTTCTATGAATGAGAACTTTGTTCTATCCACTTCAACCAATTAAACACTTGAATTCATTTATGATAATGAATTGAATCACTTTTGAACCCTTACAATGAAACAATCTAGCCTTAATTGCAATGACTTTATTGTTGGACTCAAACTTATACAACATAATTTGTCTTATTGCTATTTGTATAAAATTTCTTTTGGTTTGCATATTATTCTCTTTTTTTCTTTAATTTATGTAAAACTAAATTCATTTCGTATGGAATCTTTTTGATATAGTATTGAATTAATTCTTTGATATCCATATGATATTGTGTGCTCCGAAAATTTGTGCCCAGACCTCTTCACGTCTTTTTTTTTAATCGATGAGGAGAGTTTTAACTAGTTTAGGTTTCGGGATAAATTTTTAGAAGAAATTGAATTTTAGATAAGACACTATTCAGAGATTTTGCCCTCATTTTATGAGAATTTTATTATATGAGTTGTGGTTTCCTATAGGCGCAAGTCTTTATAGTTAATTACCCCTCCTAATAATGGGATAGAATTTTTTATTAAGGCTAGCTGTTGAACAAATACATAGTATCCAATGTATTTTAGTACATGAACTAGATATTGAAAATTGAAAATTTATCACAACACACTTAAAATGAATGTTGGGTAGAGTGATGATGAACCTGATCAATATCTCATTGGTTTTGTTTTCTCGGGCCATTAAGGTCCCTAGTCTACTTAGTTAGATGAGAAAAAACGTGGATATAGATCCACCCATGGATATAGGGCTAGGGAATCTCTACTTGTGTGGTGTATGACTGTATGCAGCACAAATCTGCCCCAAGCTGTGGTAAATCTGCTCAAGAACTGCAGGGGCTAGTGAAACTATCCTCCCACTCGTTGTCAAACTAGCTATCAAAAGAATGTTGGGTCAAAAAACTCTGCTCTTTCTAGGGAAAACAAAATAACAGAGCCATGTAGCAATGAACGACACAAAAAGCATATCATATGAAAATCCCCTAGCAAAGATGGATTGTAATTCATCTACTGATCTTGGCTCAAACATATCATTTGAACACGGCTCTCTATCATGTGATCTCTTGCTGAGAGGATTCTGAATTCATGCAAACTCTGCAACAAGTGCTGACGAATGTAATAAGCTCGTAACCGAAACATCTAATGAGATAGTCCCTCTGCGAGTACGACCTCTCCTCTGCTGATAAAGGTTGTATTAGTATCTCAAACTCTGGTGAAGTCCAATTACAAACTCCCCTTTCCTCTGTTGCCTTGCTAGTCAGCTACTAAATAAGTAATAATCTAAAGGGAGATATTCCGCATATGGATTGTGATGTGAAACATACATGCAACAAGAGTCCCTTTGGATTTTAACAATAAAATTGAGCACGAACTTTGCTAGCTAAAACTTATGTTTCACTCAAGTCAAATTCTTAGAAATTTCGTTAGAAGATTAAGTGATGTCAAGCGGTTACAATGAGGTTAGCAAGACAATCAAAATAACAACGAAAATAAGATAATAACACTAATAGCAAATAAACAAGAATCCATGGCGTAACATCAAGAAACAATAACCATGAGTTCCTTCTCACTCGCTCTTGGGGTTGGGTTTAGCGGAGGAATGGTAGAAGCAATCTCAATGACGCCACCACAAGACAAATGGCCCGTAAGGTCTTGTTTGCCGGACAAGTAGCTGGAGGAGAAGAAGTCGTTGATCGTTCGATGAGGAGCCAAGGTACTCGGGGTTGTTGGAGTTCAATCGTCTCGGCGAGGAAATGAAGGATGCGATTGATGTAGCTTTTCACCGATTCGTCGTATTCCCAATTCGGTTCGTAAAAAGGGGAAAGTAGAATATCAATTTCTCCTTGGGCATTGTAAGAAAGACCGTGGTCAACCTCAGGATCAGCCATACACCAATGGCAAGAGGGAGGGAGGAGCTTGTTTTAATCTCTTGGCTTCCACGAACATGAGAGATCTCGGGTTTCCAAGGGCAAGGAGGCAAGAGGAGAGGGACGACCAATTGGGGGGGGGGAGGGGCGGCTTGATGAGGGAGCTCTAGGTTAGGTTTGAAAAGGAGAGGGAAAGTTTAACCCAAATCTGAAATTAATTTCAAATTTTAAGTATAATTGGAGGGATTTAATTTGAAATTTGAATTCAAATTAAAGAGAGATGAGGGCCTCATTAGGAAGCAAAGGGGGAAAACCCATTAATGGGCCAGCGACATCAAGAGAGAGGAGGGAGGGGATTGGGGAGGAGTTGAGTGCTTTCCAAACAAGCTATGACAAATTAGGAGGGAGAATAATAAATCCTCTCTAAATTAAATTTAGATTGGATTCAAATTTGAAAACTTTCCTTATTTGAAATTTTGTAAATATGGAAAGTTTGTGAAATTCAAATTTGAATTTCAAAATTTTATAACTCTTTCCTTTATTGCTTAAGCCAATTTAGGGGGTCATTATGATGATTGGAATCATCATAATGACTTGGGATAATGAAGGGGCCGACGGCCAAGGAGGGAGAGGGTGAGCTTGGCATCGGGTTGGGTGGCCAAGGATTAGGCCGACAGATGGGGTTTTGGGAGGGGAATTGGATTGGATCAACAGGAGGTATTTTAGTTGCGGGATGGTGGAAAAAATGAAGAGAAGCGGTGGGTGATAATGAAGATAGAATAGAGAACGTATAAAAAGACCATGAGTCACGGACTCTTCCGGTGACTAGTGGGTGTTGCGCTTGCCCACACGTTGGGCTCTCTTCCCTCTAGTGCACTTACAAGAAGAAGAAGAAGAAGAAGAAGACAACAAAATTTCATTTAATCATTCATCATCCTTTTACAACACATAAGACCACTATATATAGGTCTCAAACATGACAAAAAGAAAAGTACACAATTGCCCTCCGGGCTACAATAACAAAACACTTCCCCATAGGGGTAAATTCGGAAAACAACAAAACTAAATAAAACATAAAGAAATGCATCAAAAGTAGAGACGTTGAATCATAGCCATCGATCAACGATTCTGTCGCCGGTACACGTGTTTGAATCTCTGAACGATGTCCTCATCAGAATGCCTAGAACTTGCATACCAGAAACAATATTCAAATCCCAGAGTGTGATCGTAGGTATTCGCGGCAATGTCCTAATGCTTGATAATGTTCTGAAGCCAGGAAGAAGAAAGACGGCTATAACCAAACAAAGAGATATAAATGGCTTCGTATATCCCTGTCTGTTTCAATACATGCTGATGCATCCTGAGTGTATAACAGGGCCATCTGACAAAACCACTCAGAGCTTGAATGGGACTTCCAAACACTGGATCATGACAAGTCATAATTTGAAGGGAGATATTCCTCATATGGAGTGCCTAGAACTTGTAAACTAGAAATAATTTGCAAATCTCAAAGTGTGATCGTCATCTCGTTGGGTCCAACCCAACAGGTATTCGTGGCAATGTTTGAATGATGGATGATGCTCTAAAGCTAGAAAGAAGAAAGACGACTGTAATCAAACTAAGATATGTAAATGGCTTCGTATACCCTTGCCTGCTTCAATACTTGCTGATGCATCCTGAGTGTGTAACATGCCCATCTGATATAACCACTGAGAGCTTGAATAAAACTACCAAACACTAGATCATGACGATGCTCGTCAACTTCTTGATGTAGTACTTGATAAGCAAACGAACATCACCCGCATGCTCTGCAAAGTCAGCTGCTGGTTGTAAAATGCCCTGATCCCCGTAACTCAGTCCCTCGGTGATACGATCTAAAGAAGCAATGTCATTGCGCTGCAATCTAAGTGTAATGATCTATTTTACAAGGTCGTGACCAACTGACAAATCTGAATCAAAGCAATGCATGCAATGTGATCGGATAAATAATCCATCATAAATATCTCGGTCAACCAACATTTTTCTATGCCAATAAAATCGATCTAAAATTGAAGTTGACTGTGAATGATCAAAGTCATCGATCTTCTTCCATATATCCTCTAAAGGCTCAGTATGAGGTAATGAACAAGCACAACCTTGGTTGTTTTTATTATCCTTATGGTATATCTTTTAGTTAATAATATCACATATTAATACATATTTTTATTTATAATTATTTAATATTGTGTGCCACATTTGAAATGACTCACATTATGCTTTGCTTACACAAATCTTTTAGTAACTTTTACAACAAAGGTCTGCTCTACTTGCTTCATTACAAGGATGGGCATCAAGCACCATTTGTGTTTCCTCACTCCAAAGAGTGCAACCTTAGAGCATCTCCAACCGAAAATCCCATTTTTCACTCCAAAATGTAGTGAAACTAAAAAAATGTCGTGACTCATTTCCAATCGAATTCCATTCTGCGTGTTTCTGCGAAGGTAACGGTTTTTCTCCTCTTTCGCGCATTTATTCGGCAAATCCGGTTGAGACAGAAAAATCGTGTAGGTGCACAATAGCGGAAGATTTGGCGTTCGGCTGGAGTGACCGAACGATGCCATATGCATGTTTGACGTTCGATTGGAGATGCTCTTAGTGGGCATCATGCATGCATATGGGAGAACTGCACAAGCATTATTCGACGATAAATACAATCCTCTCTCTTAAATAATTTGTGGCAAATGTACACTTGCAGGTGATCCGTGATCTGCAATGTATGATCGAGCCATCAAAGACCATATTTCTTACTTGTGAAGAAGACATGGAGCAGGCTCTTCTTGCAGCAAAAATGGGGGTCCTAACTTTTAGTAGTGACTGGCTTATGAACTGTGTAATGAGACAGGAACTTGAGCTGGCTGCTCATCAGTTTGCAGAGTCACTCTAGAAATCAAAATTTAGTATATAAATTTTTTTGATCTTAATATATTTTGTGCCCTGATATAAGAGGCATGCAGTAGAGGCCAGTATAGCTGTGATATATTATGATAGAAACGCAAAAATCTCTTTATGCTGTATTAGTTGGATTATAATAAAACAAAACTCATTAGAATGGCTTTTTCGAAGTAGATTCAAGCTTCGTTTGGGATTGCTTTCTTATTGCTTTATTTAATTTTTATATTTCAAAGTTGCTTTAAGAAGCAACAAGAAAGCCGTCCCAAACGTAGCCACGGACTTCGTTTGGGACGGCTTTCTTCTTGCTTTCTTAAACAGTATTACAGTACAAAAATTTCTTGAATTTAAAAATTTTCTATTAGAAAGTTGTTTTGAAAGCAATATGAAAGTTGTCCCAAACGAAATCTTAATGCCTTTGAATCGTCTTTTCTTTGTTTTTATTCTGCGCATCTATGTTTTTGAGGATTTTATTGTGTTTATGAACCATTAATCTTGTGGATGGTGCATAGCAAAGGGTTGATTGTTCTTAAAGTTCATTTAGTTTGCTATTCGGATTCTTCTTAGTAAGGGTGTTTGTAATGGCTTTCTCAAAATAGATTATTACTCTTGGTATTTGTTATGGGAAAAAAAAGGTAGAAATATTTTAATTAAATTTTATACCAAATTTTAAAAATTTGAAATGCATTATAAAATAAATGTAATGTAAAATTAATTAATTATCTACATATTATATTTGTTTTCAAATGAATACAAGTATTTTTAAATTTATCATAAAAAAATTTGGATCAAATATCTCTTTCTTTATGCATTAAAATTTTACTTGTAAACTAAATATTATGCAACAGTTACGAGTAGATTTAAGGTCTGTTTTTGATAAAGTTTTTTATTATTTATTTTTTAAGCATAATTATTTAGCTATTATTTTCTTGTTATTTTAGAAAAATTTTTTGTCATAATAATCTGCTTTTATTGATGGTTTTAAATAATTGTATTTTAATTACAATTTTATAATCACGTGTACCAAACAGAAAATCCAAGGTCCAGTAAATTTAAGAGAAAATTTCTCAGAAAAATCGAGAGCAATTACTTGATTTCAGTCACTTAAAGCTTAAAAAATGATTGATTTAAATTGCATATATGATTTTTAAAATCATTTTTTTAAAACCTCTTTAATTAGTTAATTAGAGTAATTAAACTGTTCTAAAGCTTACAAATTTGAATAAAATTGATCACGAAATTGATTGAATTGCTTGATTTTGATATCGAGCCTATAAAAGATTTAATTTTGAAATTTGACAAAATCTGAAAACTTGTTTCTAAATCGCCGGTGCATAGGATTTCTGTACCTTTTTGATGCGGCCAGCCGTTGGATTTCAACGAGCACGCAGCCCAAAGGAAGCAGTCCCTCCTGGCCTTACATTGGAAGATCACGACCAAGTGAGCGGCAGCGCGCCAGGTCTCTCTCTGATTCACAACCCAGGACTCAAAGGCGGTTCTTATCATCGCTGCTCTAATGGCGAAAGTGCTGGCGGAATCGCTCTCGGCGGGAAAGCCGACGCCTTTCCGGCTGAGAAGGGTCCCTCCGGCGAGAGCCCATTCCTCCTCCAGTTCCTTCCGGGCTGCTCAGTCCTTGGAGGGAAGGAACGCCAAAATCTACAAAGAGTTAGGTACGTTGCTTCTCACTTAATTTATCTTTTTTCTTATATAAGTTTCCGTAGGTTCTCTTTTTCTTCTACTGCACCGGAATTGGACATTGCAGTGAAATGGAAATAGATTTTTGCTTTTTTGTTCGCAAAAACCTATTGCATGTGTTGATAAATGTGCTAACTATTTCTTTGAACGAGCTTGAACTATTATCTCTCTGTGAGGATAATGTTAAACTTCTTCCTGAACTTGTAGCATAATCTATGGTGGATGAGGAAGACTTATCTTTAGAGGAATAGTTGATAACATGAGATGAATTAATACTTTACCTTAAGTTAAACCCTGAGCCTAGATATGATGAGCATTTTGATTTTGTTTTATAGTCTATATATGATCTTGCAAGGACAATAATGATGCTATGATGATTATCATGGACATTAAATTTATGCTCTTGTTTGATCTTTGTCCTAGTAACATTTGAACTTGGACACAGAAACAACTCAATGAAGCTTCCTCCAAAGAAAGGAATGAAGAAAAGAGAGATGCGTTTTTCCTTCCCTCTTAGGGGATATTTTTAGTGTTGGAAGTATATATTTGTCACCACTATGAAGTGTATGGTGGATAATTGAACCATCTCATACTTGAGATCCATATTAGACCGAAAAAACCCCTTGATTGAGGGGTTTTTTTCATCCTCTGAGCAATTGGATAATAATAGCCACAACATATTGGCCTTAATATTTGGGTTCGACATCTCTCCCTTTGGGATAAATGGAATTTAGATGGATTGACGAAGGTCTTTGGCCTTAGGATTGATGCAACTAAAAATTCATTTTGGACAGTTGAATTTGAAATATGTACTTAAGTTTATGAATTTGATGAAGTTTTATTCTTGAATCTTGATATATATTCCAAGTCAAGAGGTATTGATCCATTTGTTCATCGTTGCATGTGGATCACGAAAGTAGGAATCTTTATATTGTTGATTGGAAAATTGACATTAAACAAGAGCCTTTTAAGTCTAATGTGCGCATCAGCCATTTGTGTTGGTCCATTGACTCCCTACTATGATAAACCTTACAAATGTAACATAACCATGAAGGTATCCACCCTTCATCAATGCCATTGCCTGAAACCATCATGTAGGGGAAGGCAGCGCTTGTGGACAACATAACAATCCAGTCGGATCGGGATAACTCGATCTGGTTTAGGCTGTATCAAATTAGTTCGGGCTCATGTGACCTCCAATTTGATTGGTTCATGAACCGAGCTCAATGTTTCAGAGTTTATATCGGGTTTGATCAGACTAACCTTGCTTATATGGGCAATTATTCAGTCTAACCAAGTCAAATTGGACTCTGTTTTGATATTTATGGGGGGCCTTAAGATCAATACTTTGCTTAAAAATCTTCTTTGATCATATATAGAAAATTTTGTTTCATCATATATAGATTTTTATATGCCCTTGGCTATCATATTTAATTCAGTATATTAATTGGTCTGATAAAATTCTGAATTGAGATTTATATGAAATGAGAATGGGTCTCCAATCTCCATTGCATTCTCGGCTTGCACCAAGACCCTCCCTAAACGGATTGTGTTGTGTGTGAGCCTAAAGGGATCGGGAGAAGCATTAATCAGGTCATATTTGGCATCAGGTAGTTTTGCAGAGTTGTCGGGCATGCAAACATGCTTCATGGTTTTATAATCTGGCTCAATCTGGTTTTATGACAACTCTTTTTGTCTCTTTTTGAATCAACTGACCTTTCTTTCATCTGAAACATTCTATGTTAGGCTTATTTTCATTAAAGAAGAAGATTGAAGAGACAGTCAATCGCGCTGAGATGATAACTCCAGTGGCAATGGAGTTTGAAGAAGAAAGGAGGATAAAGCAGGAGGAGGTTCTACGGGAATCCAATCTGTGGAATGATGATCTAACCACATCAAATGAATCACTTACTGCCTTAGCTGATGCCATTAGAGTTGTCAATGATCTCAAAGACATGCGGCATAAGGTGCTCTCCTCTGACAGAGTAGGATGATGTGAGTTCATTAGGTCTTGTCAGTTAAACCAAAGTTTAAATTCAATGTTTGTTTGCCTCTTTAGGTGCTTTAGAAAAATTCCTTGTTCTAGATTTAATCAAGTTTACAGTAACTTAACTTCTTGTTTGAGAAGTGAAGCCACCATATCTATGTTAATAGCACTACAGGAAAACGTGCTGTTACCGGCGGACAAAATCCGTCGGTAACACTAGAAATCCGTCTGAAATTCCTTATTTCTGACGAAATACCGGCGAAAACTGTTCGGACCGTAATTCACGCTCCAGAGCACTTGAATATGCCGTACCTTTTTGCATGTTTGCACGGCTACATATTTGTCTCTCTTTTTTTGTGTGAGGTTCTTTTTCAAGATATAATTTGGTTTTGCTTAGTTTTTGCATCTCGTACAGGCTGAAGAGGCAAAATTGATCACCCAGTTGGCTGAAATGGATATCATAAACGATCAACTTTTCCAGCAAGCATATACTGCATCATTGGATGTTAACAAGTTCCTGGATCGTTATGAGATGTCTAAACTTCTTAGGGGTCCATATGACAATGAAGGTGCTTGCATGATCATCAAAGCCGGAATGGAAGGCACTGCTTCTGAGGTTCAAATGACCCTTTCAGTTTTTTGTTTTGAATATGCTGTAGTGCTTATAGATGAAATTGTAAATTTTATTTTCATGTACTTGCAGAATATGTAATTTAATCTCTAAAACTGCTTTTTTTTTTCCTTCTTGTTGCAGATGTGGACTGAAAAGGTCCTGCATATGTATGCCAGATGGGCTGAAAATAATGGTTGTAATGTGACAGGTTTGGAGACATTTCCTTCGATGGAAGGTGGCACCAAGTTAGCCACTATTGAGTTTGAAAAGGAGTACATGTATGGCTACCTTTCTGGAGAGAGAGGAATCCATAGACTGATCCACAGCTCTCTTGATGGATCTACTATTCGTGAGGTAATCATCTTCCATTCCTTCTAATTCTTCAATTCGCCTGATGATCTAAGACACTTATACATGGAAAATTATGTGATGATTTAAATCATCATTAAGAGCAAAAAAAAAAGGATGATTAACATACAAAACACACCAAGTATTTTGTACAAGTTCATGTAATTGATTGCTGCATCCTATTGTCATCATTGTAAATTTCACAAAAGTTTTGATTGTGGAGTTATTATCATCATAGTTTTAAAAATTGGATTAGACCGGCCAGTTAGACTGGTTCAACAGTGAACCGATTAGATCTTCGGTTTAGTCCATCTTAAAAACCGGCTTCACATCAATCGAATTAAACTAGCTAGAATCACTGGTTCAACTGGTGAACCAATCCTGAATTTTTAAATCTAGCTGGTTCACGTATTTTTATATTTAAATAATTTAATTAATTAATATAAAATATAATATTGAACTTAATTAATTAGTATAAATTTAGTCTATTATAACTTTTAAATTAGTATTAAATACATATAATTATGATTTACCAAAAAGCACCCTTCAAGCATTCTCACATGACCCCATCACTCATGAATTCTATTTATTTTTAAGTTATAAAATTATATGATTATATAATTATTACATCAAAATTATTTCATTTAGACCTTTTTAAAATAATTATAATATTTATTATGTCATCCGATTCAATCCCAAGTTCATCCCCGATCAAACCATTGATCTTTAAAACCTCTCTCTCTTTCGTTTTGATGTTTGGTCCGATTTTCACAATCTTGATTATAATCATAATATCTCATATATCACCCAAAGATGCCTCCCCCATAAAGCAAAAAAACTAAGGCAGCTTAAAAATACAGGGAAAACCCAAACCACATGATTACAATAGCACAATATGTCTTAGGAATTCATCATTGTTTCTGCACCTCTTCTTCTATCTACCAAACTACCATCATAGTACCTTACTATTATAAAATAGTAGAAGGATTCGCGACCTAGTTAATAGAGAAGATTGTTTATCTAAGATCATAAATTTGAATCACATATTTTACAACTTATTGCACATCATTCCCAAATAAAATTATATAATAGCAGCTGACAAAACTTAGCTGCTAAATTTGTATTTGTCAGACTTGGTCGGCAAGCATAGATGTGATCCCCCTTTTCCTTGAGAAGATGATTGATTTTCACATAGATGATAGAGATATCGAGGTATCATCTCCATCTCATGGGGAAACTTTCTGCAGAAGCAAAATTTCAGTCAGCATCCATCATATTCCGAGCAATACGATTGTGCAATGCTCAGGTACTATCTTGCTAGTTCATGCTTGTGCGGTATTTTATTTAAATGTTGGTTTCTGGTTTCTCTTAGAAGCCTCACATACGATATATATGCTTGAGGTGTAAAGGAGCAAATTCAAGTGGGCTCAAGCTTTGTTCTGCTGAACTGCTTTAGTGAGCAGTTTATGATTTGTGCAAAGGATATATAAGTTAGCCGTCAATGATTTGTGCATAATTTTCATGCTGTTATCGAGCAAAGTATGATGTGATGCTAATGTTTGGCTCCTGAAGTAAAGGAGACATTATTCTGTGCGGAGACTAGACGGCGAGAACCGTCCGGATTTGCTGTGCTTTAGCTGTCATTTTGCTACGTTTTTGCAAATACTTAGCAAAAATCAAAAGGGCAACAAAAGTGCAATTATGAATGCATATTTGCTGCTCTTTTGCTGAGTATTTATAAAAGCGCATTAAAAGTGCAGCAAATATTCAATTAGCAGGATATTTGCTGTGCTTCAACTGCCCTTTTGCAAATACTCAGCAAAAGGGTAGCAAAAGTGCAATTATGAATGCATATTTGCTACCCTTTTGCTGAGTATTTGCAAAAGCACAGCAAAAGAGCAGCTAAAGCACAACAAATCCGGACAGTTTTCGCCATCTTGCCTCCGCACAATATAATTTATCGAAATAAAGAAGCTAATGTTGAGCTACTTATCAAGCCAATCATTAACTATTTACAAACATCAAGCCCGATTTATAGGTGCACCCAGATATCCGGATCAAAATTTGATCATGATGGATTAGAATTCATTAAATTTATTTTAAAATTAATACAATATATGATTAATTGATAAAAAAATATATTACTCTTATTAGAGTAAATCCAATAATTTTGATATCCATTCTAACCAAATTTCTGTACTAAATCTTTTTTTCTTGCAGTGATGTGTTAATCTATATTATTGAATAGAATGTGATCATAACATTGAGTCACAGCTCCTACTGCTACTGTTTTTCTCTTTTTTAATGCCAAATTGTGTTTTTTGATTGCATTGGAGATGCTAATCTGTGTGGCTAAATAGAAGCTAGGAGCTTCAAAACCATGAATTTCTTGCGTATTTTCATAATCCTGACTGTTGAGCCTAACCTTTATTTCTTAGACTGAACTTACAATTCAAAACTGTATGGTTTGTTCAAGTGAATCTAAAAAACTGGAAGGTTTCTTTGCAGGTGAAAGGAGCCAGTTTGCGAACAAGATGAAAGCTCTTAATCGCCTTAAAGCAAAGCTTCTCGTCATGGCAATGGAAGAGAGATCAGAAACAAACAAGATAAAAAATGACGATTTCTTGAAAGAAAACAAATATGAGACAAGGAGGTATCTGCTTCGCCCTCAGAAATCAGTACACGATATAAAAACTGGAATAATTCTCCCTGACCTCAATTCTGTACTGGATGGAAATATAGAGCCGTTTATAAGAGCTCATATCTGTCTTAGACGAGGAAGAAAGCTTGGATAGTTATTCATATTTCATTTGCTCTTTGAACGTCTTTATTTATTTATTTATTTATGATGTGATTGGATAGTCTGAATATCCATTAAAATTTTGATGTTTACAAGTGAATTACATGTGGAATGCTTTGAAATCTAAAATGAAAAATAATATATATTTTTTAAATTTATCATTTTATTAAATGTAAATTTAGATGTTAAAGTTTCTTTCAAACTCTTTTGGATTTTTGAATTTATCTCAAAAATTATATTATCATTTTTTACATTTAACTAAGTTAAATTATTATCCTTTAAGTATATAATTTATTTATAAGTAATCAAATGAGCTATGATAAGATAAGATGGCAATGCATGCAGCCCACTTTGATCTGTTTGTTGAGAGCTTATTATATGTGGTACATTCTGGTTGCTGTTTTGTCTCAAGGTACGTGCGGACTCCATATGTAGCTGGCACATGAATTCCAATGAGATTACACCACATGACTTGTACATATAGTGCGTACAATTTGTACATTTTTTACAAGTTGTATAAACTAATGTGTATATGTGATATGACGTAATCTAATTGGAGTTTGGATGCATTCGGATTTTGCACGTAATAGTTTCTTCTCAAGACCTCTTCTTTTGTTCAATTTTTTATTCATTGAAATTACAAAAATGAATTTGTTTTTTATATTTCTTTAGTTCATCCCTAAGAGATATTATATGAAATAAAATAAAAACATTGTCTTATATATATATATATATATATATATGATCAAGATTTTTAGAAATTTATAACTTTTTGTCAATCAAGTTTTTGAAATTTATAAAATTCTGAAGCATGAGATCCTTTTGCATAATCAATGAATGTTCAAAACTTTTAGAGTAATTTCTGTCATGATTTTATATAAATATCTTGTAGAAGAAAGAATTCATTTGTTCAGAAAAAAGAATCAATCTCTATAAAAGTATAGAATTTCTATATATATTTTTAGAACGGGTATCTTTTGGCTATCATCTTTTTAGGAGGCGTTTGGTGACGTAATTAATTTCTTTGCAAGCCTACCAGCTACCCGTCTCACAGATGCAGGACCCACAGTTATTTTCTCCCAACTTAAGGGATCGTGCCACATGAAAGGGGATTCAGACATGATTTGGAAGTTCTCAATTATGCTCGCCCACCAACCTAACAAATCCGGTGGGATAAATTTATAGATTTTGTCTCCTAAAGATTTGAAGATAAATTAAAAAATATTTATATTTGAAGAAATGTGGCATGTGATATTTGATTATTTTCCAGCCAACATTAGCGAAAACATGTGGCAGCTTCCTCGACGCTTCTATTTTTAAAAGTTTTTTTTTTTTTTTTTGTGTGTGGCCGGGTATCCAGGTCACATTCAATGGCTCATGGAAATCCCACATCCGCACCTATCTCCGCACACCCGCCAAAACCATCTCCTCCGTTCACATCGCCCTCGATTTCATCCGTCCCGTTACGCTGTGCGCAGGACAGTCCCAGACCCGGAAGCAAAGCAGCAGGCGGCGGCGCTACGCGGAGAATTTCACCGGCGAAGGTGAAACCCTAGTTTATTCTTTTTTCTAGTTCTGGTAGCATTTAGATAAACTGAAATAGGATTATTGTTCTTGCGTTTTGCTTCGTAAGCTCGATTTGGCAATGGGATTCATAGAAGTAGCATGCTTGGTGGAGAGAGCAAGGAATTGGAGCAAGTTGATGGGATTTGTATATGTTTGATTCATGTTATCATTGTCTTTGTCTTTGTCAAAGTATGCTTTTTTGGTCGTTTTTTATACAAAATTAGGATTTTTGTTGTTGTGATGGATGTTGGAAATCAGGTCAAAGCACCATTATGGAATTCACTATCATCCGTAAACAACAAAAACACCAATTATTTGTTCACATTGATTATAATACAACTATATCAAAACGCATGGCAATGAGCATAGGGCTCTCAAATGATCTTAAACTGACACTGATGTTTCTAACTGACATCTCAGTAACCCAAATGATTTTCAAACTTCTTTAGACTTGCGTTTAAAATCATAATGTCAACCCTAATAAGGAAAATAGGCCAAGTACCTAAGTTTAGTCTTATCGATACTCTGTTGATCTCAAGTTTTATCGACTCATTTCAATACTTGTTAAAAGGTGTGTGATATATCAAATAAAAATAAAACAAACTTAGTTAATGGTCCGCCTTGCCTTAAGGATGAGTAGTTGTTAAGTCCCACATACGAGCATGTGTCTAATAGTAGTAGCATCCACTTGTAAATGTTTGCCAAATATAAAACCTAGAGAATATAAGGTTGATTGGTAAATGAAGGACTCAAAGATAAGGAAAAGCTATCCAAATCAGAGTTTTTGGAGGTTTCTCTGATAGAGCTATAGGATTTATCTGTGAGTCAACTGAGGTGATTTTGGTTCTATTTGGACGTTCATTCTTATTTGTTTTCATGTGCATGTATATCCAGCTAAGTATTCTATGTGATTATGAATCCTTCTGACTCATATAAGACTGACGGGCAAAGTACTAGTCCGACAGCACCTGTACATAATATTGCTCTTACAATCAATTATGATACTATTTCACAGTTTGCTAGTATGGTAGCCCAACTAATGGCTGAGGCCTAGAGCAAAGTTTTTATTATTTGATATGATGATGTAGACCATCATTTATAGATATTTCAGAGGTTGAAGCCTCCAAGGTTTGAGGGTGATGTTGAGCTCAGACCAACAAAGGGCTGATTGAGGAGATTAAAGAAAATATTTGATAGTATTAATTGTCCTCTTGAGAGGAAGGTTCCTTTAGTGTTTTTTCTGGTAGATGTATAGGCAAAGCGCTGGTGGATGGACCAGCAGAAGGAGAAATTTCAAGGGTGATTGAATTTATTTATTAGCTGCGAGGAATTTTTTGAGTAGGATCATTATGCAGTACAAGACAAAGTATAATGCTTTAGCTAGGCATGCTTCATAGCTGGCTAGCACTTATGAGGAGAATTGTTACAGGTTTTTTGAGAGAATTGCGAGACAGTCTGAGGAAGCCATTAGTTCTATTTCATATTTTTAACTCTTTTAAGCTTGTGGAGACAGTCAGACTGATTGAGATTGATCTAATAGCTACTCAGCAGTGAATCAAATTATTTCTGGGTAGTGGGAGCGATTTATTTTAGGGAGTTATGGGAGTTATTCCTTACTTTATTTCTACTATGCAAGTAGATAAATCGTGGTTGAAATGATGTATAACATTTCTTGCATTGGTCAAAGACAACAGTGTAGGTTCCGGATCTCATCCTAATTTCTCAAGGGTATGAGAGTTTTTGGATGTCTTTCTTGAGGAGTTAGCAAGTCTGCCTTTGGATAGTGTATAGAGTTTTATTTTGATGTATTTTCGAGTACATGTTCAATATCTAAGGCTTTGTATAAAATGGTACCTAAGGAGCTTTAAAAGTTGAAAGTACAGTTTCAAGAGTTAGTGGACAAGAGATTTGTACATCCTAGTGCCTCTTCGTGAGAAGCCTAATGAGAAACCACCAGGAATTGTAAGAAAATTATAAAATTATTGTAAAGCTTGCTTCTTTAAGATTAATAAACCACAAGAAATAATTTAAGAATTATTCATTAAGGTTTTGCTATGGCATGCGGTTACAGTTTTAGGAGAATAGATCAATTTAAAACAATATCAGAAAATACAATAAAAATAGATGTACTTGTAATAATAATCCAAAGGTTAATATCAAGAGCTTTCACCTAGAGTTTCCTTCCTCACTCACTCTCTATGAGTGCTTTAGCAGAGGAAGATCTTTAGCAAGCCAAACGATGCCACGAAGAAAGTTAAGACGCCGACAGTCTTGATCCACGTGAGAGTAGCCGGAAAAGGAGGCGCAGGTGAACGTCCGACAAGTTGCCACTGTCTGGATGGTCGTTGTTCGTTGATCGTCTCGACGAGATGAAAGAGTAGCGATCTACATAGGTTTCAATGGAATCTTCGAATTCTCAGTTAGGACCAAAGAAGGGCGATTGAAGGATGTCGATTTGTCCTTGAGAGTTGTATGCAAATCCGTGATCGACTTCTGGATCGGCCATCCATGAACATGGGAGTCGTCTTTGTTATGAGCCTTGGAGGAGCTGGTAGAAGTAAAGAGTGAAGGGAGGGGAGGAGCCGGTGGTGGGGTTTCTCGGGTAAAGGGGAAAAGGGAAGGGGCGACTAGGGTTTAAGGCTAAGGAGGTGGAGAAGAGGTTTTAGAAAATCTGAAATTTATTTCAGAATTTTTCTAAGAGAGGAAAGGGGTGATTTAATCTCCCAAACTATTTCCAAAATAGCTCAAGGGGGGCTGACGGTTTAGGAGAGTTTATGGAGTATTTAATTTGAATTAAGCAGTAGACTAGGGAGGGAAAAAGGAAGGCAGGGGGCCAGCCATATGGATAGGAAAATATATGTCTAGGTTCAATGCATGTGGGCCCCAAAGGAATTAATTATGGATTGGAATCAAATCTGAATTTTAATTTCAAAATTGATTTAATTAGGGAAGCTTCTTAATTGGGTTTTAATAATAGGAAAGTATTTAAAATTCAATTATTTAATTGAATTCAAATAAGGATACTTTCCTAAATGCTAATGGGTTATTTTAGGAAGGTAATTTAAATAGTTTAAATTTTGAAATTCAAACGTTGGGGCAAGGTAGGCCGGCGGCTAAGGGAGAACTAGGGAGGGAAATCGACGGTTGGAGGGTGGAGGCCAGCGGCTGGATTGATGGGGTGGGATGATCGACAGCTTGGGTGGGGGAGGGGGGTTGGTCAGTTTAAGGGAAGAATGGAGGGGGGCCGGTGGGAGAGCAGGTCAGCGGTGGGGAAGGGACTAGCCGGCGGCTTGGCACCTTGGGGAGGGGATGGCTGTCAGTTTGAAGTGAGGGAAAGTCGGACCATGAGTTCGGAGCACCTCCGCGACTGGTGGGTATTGCTTTGCCCACTCCTTAGGACTTCACCACTCAAGAATTCACAAGCTCGAGAGAAGAAAATCAAAAATTTTATCAAGCAATCATTAAAACCAATACAAAGACTAGGGCTGCTATATATAGGCCTCAACAACGAAGAAAAATCAAAGACATATGCCCTCTGAGCTACAACTCACTAAACTCTCTCATAGGGGTATAAAGGTCAAATAAAATAAATAATGAAAATAACACTAATACATTAATATATAATAACTCATAAATAGATGCTCCTGATCGTGGTCGTCGATCTGCGATATCTCCTGTGATAGACGTGCTGGAATCTTCTACTGATGCCCTCATCAGAGCCTTTGTTATATTTGTAAAAAGGATGATATGATGCATGTGTATTGATTGCATGAAACTGAGCAAAGCCATTATCAAGAACAAGTATCATTGGCTAAGGATTGATGATTCATTTGATCAATTCGCTAGATTATTTTTGTTTTTCCTAAGTCGATTTATGATATGGCTATTATCAAGTAAATGTGAGAGAAGCATGTATGATGAAGATTACTTTCAGCTCTTGGTACGGACACTATGAGTTCTTAGTCATGCCTTTTGGGGTGACTAATGCGCCAACAATTTTCATAGTTCTGATGAACAGGGTATTCAGAGAGTATTTGGATCAATTTGTGATTATATTTATATATAATATTTTTAGTTTATTTTTCTTTTGAGTAAGATCATGTTTTACATTTGAGGGTTGTATTGTAAACTTTGATGCAGCATCAACTATCTGTTAAATTTTTCAAATGTGAGTTCTGCCAGAAGAACACTTCTTTTCTGGGACATATGGTGAGTATTGCAAGTGCTTTTGTGGATCCCTAAAAGATTCAGGCTGTTATTGGTTTGTCGAGGCCTACTACTGTATCTGAAACATAGTTTTTTAGGCATATTTGATTGTTATAGGAAGATTGAGATATGATTCTTTTAAATTTCTACACATCTGATAAGTCTAACTTAGAAGTCAGTAGTTTTTATATGGACATCTGAATGTGAGGCTAACTTTTAGAGACTGAAGAACTATTTGAGTTATGCTCCGATTCTGACACTTTCATTTCGTACAGAAGGATTTCAAGTATTCGGTGATGCTTCGCTAAAAGGACTGAGATGCATCTTAATGCAGCATGAGAAAGTTTTAGCTTATGCTTCAAGCAGTTGAAGCAATATGAAAGGAACTATCTGACATATGATTTAGAACTTGCTGCTATTGTCTTTGCTTTGAAGATCTTGAGACACTATCCATACTGTATCAAGTTTGAGATCTTTACTGATCATCAGAGTTTAAAGTATATATTTACTCAAAAAGATTGAAATATGAGGCAAAGGAGATGACTATAATTTATTAAAGATTACAATGTAACTTTTCAATATCGGTTTAGTAAGGCTAGCATGGTAACAGATGCTCTGAGTATGAAATCTTCTGGATTATCATATATTTTGTTTACTTCTGATGAATCTCTAATATGGGATATGAAGAAGCTTCATTTGGAGGTGATTGCTTATGTTGATCACGATTATGGTATTCTGGCTGAGATGGTTATTTAGCCGTCTTTATAAGAAATGATTCAGAAAGCCTAGAAGTTAGATAAAGAATATTTAAAGTTTTTTGATAAAATCAAATATGGTAAGAAATTTAAATTGCGAGTATCTGATTTTGGTGTTATCTTTTGTAAAAATAGATCATGGGTTTTGAATTCTGGAGATTTAAGATTAGTTATTCTACACAAGGCTAATTATTCAGGTTACAATATTCACCTAAGAAGCAACAAAATGTATAATGATATGAAATGTATATTTTGATGACCCGGATTAAAAAATGATGTACCAGCCTTTGTTTTTAAATGTGAAGTCTCTCAATTAATGAAATTAGAAATTAATGACGAGAGAATTTTTGCAGACGTTATCTATTCTAGAGTAGAAGTGAGAAGAGGTAATGATGGATTTTGCTATGAGTTTTTACAAGTCGAGACAAAGACATAATGCCATTGAGGTTGTAGTGGATCGTATGACGAAGTCTGCTCATTTTATTCTGATCCGATAGTCTGATTTTATGGGCCGATTGTCACATATATAAGTACGTGAGATATTCCGATTGTATGGGATATTAAAGGTGATTGTTTTTGACCGGGATGACATGTTTATTTCCCAATTATAGAAGGGTATTCAGCAAGGTCTAGGCACGAAATTACATTTTAGTATGACTTTTCATCTGTGGATTGACGGGCAATCTAAGAGTTATTTAGGTACTAGAAGATTTTTTAAGATTGTGTGTTCTGGATTTTGGTGGCAGTTAGAGAGACCACATTCCTCTATCGAATTTCCTACATTAATGACTTTTAGTTAAGCATAGCTATGGCCCCTTAAGAAGCTATTTATGGTAGGAGACTTTCAGTTAAGCAAAGCTATGTCCTGGGCAGAGGTGGGTGAAATGAATTTTATTGGGTAAGCTTTGGTTGATAACACTATTGAAAAGATTATTTTAATCAGGGACATATTAGAAGCTGTATAGGACAAGCATAAACAGTATTTTGATGCAAAGCATCGAGCTATAAAATTCTAGGTAGGAGACTTTGTATATATGAAAATTAGGCGATGAAAGGCTTCAACAGATTTGATAAAAAAGAAAAGTTGAGTCCAAGTTATATTGGACCTTATGAAGTTATTGAAAGAATTGAAAAGTCTGCCTATAAGTTATAGTTGCCAGTTTTTATGTCTGAGATTCATAACATATTTCATGTGTCCCTTCTGATAAAATGAGTATCTAATTCTAGGAATTGTGTATCTGCTAATGAAATTGAGGTACATCCAAATTTGAGCTACACAAAATAACTAGAAAAGATTATGTCTTATGATGTAAGGAGATTAATAAACAAACAGATTCCAATAGTTAAAGTTCAGTGGAGATACAAAACTAAAAACGAAGCTATATAGGGGAAGGAATTTAAAATGAAGAAGTTGTATCATGATATATTATGATGCGAGTCTTGAAATTTCATGGATGATATTTTTATGAGGGGAGAGTTGTAACACCTAGAAAATTAGAGTGCAGTTCAACTTGTTAGTCGATGCTAGAGCGGAATGGGAGGTGGACGACAAACCAACGAAAATATATGTTCTAGCTTGATGGGTGTTGTTAGCATAGAAGAACATCATGCAAGGAATTACTCCATAGTTAATGTGGTGTATGATTATTTGTTGTAGCATAGATCAATGTATTCATTTATCTATTATAAATATAGATGGGTACTACAGTGAATAAGAAAGAAGAAAGTCCTTTCTAATTTATACGACAAATCTACTAAAAATCAACACAGTTAATAATTTTGATGTCAAAGCAAGTAACTTATGTTTCTTTCAGCCTTTATAAACTTGGAGCTTAACATTTCCTCGGTATAACAAATAAACTAAAATATTTTAGAATTGAGATAATAAAAAAGGGTGTTTACTTGGTGGATGAAGTTTCCACTGTGATGGGATTGAGGAAGGGTTAATGTGTGCTACTTTATATCTGTTTCCCAGAAAGGATATTTCCATGATTTGGACTAATGATCCACACATCATAATGGTAGAACCTAACCATTGCTTTGATTTGATCCGTTTATATTGAGCTAATCCATGATTTATTTGGTCAGAATAATTAGCTTATAGGTCCGATTAAGTTATTTGGCAAACTAAAGACAAAACCATATCAAGCTCTCCGAGCTATTTGTTGAAAAATTAGTTTTCTTTGTTTTTAAAAACAAGGACATTACCGTTGATTTTTTTTTTTAAACGTCTACTTCACAAAAGGTATTCAGGATTGTTAAATTAGCTACGCGATGAACATAAATGTATGCTAATTGTGCTCAAAATTTGTTCATAGGATGTACTGGTTTGCTTATGCATCTATCTGTTACACAAACTGTACTTGTTTTGTCCAACTTTGTAACTCGTTTTAATTTTCATCAAAACTATTTGTACAAGGATACTTGCTGGTGCTATTCATGTTAGTGTTGGTTTGCTTACTATCCTTTTTAACCCTTAGACTTTGATAGGAAGTACTTGAGGTCACAAGTAATCCTATCGGATTTACTTGAGTTCGCAAGTAACCCTAATGCGAAATTGGTAAAACAGCGAGAATACCCAAGATCGGAGATGAAACAACCAATAAAACAATAGAACTTTATTAAATACTCAAAGCAAAATAAGCTAGAAGAAAAGATACAATTGATCCTCTATTCGATAGGAGGATCGTCTCTCCCAAATCTCTAGACAAGAGCTAGAGCCCAAGACGTCAAAGAGACTACAAGAGGACAATAATCAAAGCATGACCTAACCCTTCCCCCTCATACCTATTTATAACCTTCATCCCTAGCCATAACCGCCCCTCCCTTTTCAAAAAATAATATTTTTAATTAAATTATATAGGCATGGGCCCCTTTCCTAAAACAATATTTTTAATTAAATCAAATAGGTGTGTGCCCCTAGGCTAGGCGGCAAACCAAGGGAGGCGGTTTGAACCGCCTCTTGTAGACTATTTCGGCCCAGGTGGGGCCGGCTGGGACCGCTGGGTCGGTTCTGGATGAACCGACCTATCGGACTTCTCTACTCTTAATTGAATATATTGTATTAAATTATTTTTCATTAATCAATCTTGGCATTGACTTTCATACTTGGGCAATCTGACAGTAATTTGTGAATCTGTTTTTCCTGCACTACAGGATCCAAGAAAGAACCAATATAGTTTTGCAATATCTGGAAATGGGAACTAATGGACTTCTTCACAGTCAGCAACAAGATTTAGTTCTTTCCTCTGCATATGAAGCAGCTATGGAAGCCCTTTCCTCTCTAATCACTCAACGTAAACGTGGAAATGGATCAAAGAGGACTGAAAAATTTGATCAGATGTTTAGGTATCTTCAGGTAATTTTGATTTCATATAAATGGAGGCATGTTATGTTTAGTTTTCATGCCGTCACCCTATAAGTAAGCAAGGATAATTTATTTGATAAGTAATGTAATTATATAATTTAATATAATTATGTATGTGAATATATTTATGTATGTATGTATGTATTTATATATCAAAATGATCATTTTGAAGTGTAGTATTTTATAAAAATAACTTTGATCAGTTTCAAGATTTGCGGGGGTATAATTTTTAAGAAAATTTCAACATTGCATTTTAACATATTTAGGCATTGCATGTACAACGAATAATAGATTTAACACATAAGTAATAATTAACACAAATCAAATAAGTAGGAAGACATGCCAAATCAAGTGAAGAAAAAAAAAAAAAAGATTATTGAAAATTAATTTTGGATTATCAATAAAATATAATTCATTTTAATTTGTATTCAGCATCATTGAGTTTTTCTGAGTAAATCATGCACTTAATCAAACATAGAAACACGAAAACACATAGATTAAGCTATTATTGTAGAAATATTCATTTATATAATTAAAGCATCTTGATTCTCCATTTTGAGCTCATCTTCAAACTACAATGACTCTGAACAACTTTTGCGAGTAGACTATAGAGTCATCATGACCATGGTTTATCTAGCATCTCAATAACCAATAGAGCACTTAACAAATCATTAGATGCAAAAATGAGGTTTATTATTATCAAATCACTAGTAAACCAATCATAACACATGATATATAATAAGGCTCATGTGGTCAACATGTTATTCAATCGTGGTATTGATTTTTCTTTTCCAGCTCTTCATGTAACCACAATAATATGGGCTTGTGGCTGGGTGTGTGGGTTTTTTGAGGGTGTTGGGGAGTGGGGGTTAGATTGTGAGCAATATTTTGAGGGTGCTAGTATGAAAGTTCATATTTTTAATATGATAACTGAGAAAAGAACATTGACTTTTAATAAACTAGGGTCTCATATTGAAAATCAGTCAATATTTTACTACACTAGTGGTTGCTTTGACCACATTAGAACTGTAATATTTTTGGCTTTTTTATGAAATCTTTTTTTACCCCACGTAGTGGGGCAAAGACTTGATGTTGTTGTTGTATTATCGTAGTATTAATGCATAAGTGAAGTAACCTGCTTTGTTTTTACAGGCTTTAGGTTTGGAGCAACGTTTGGCTGGTCTTAAGATTATCCACATTGCTGGAACAAAGGGAAAGGTAGATATTTCTTGCCGCAAATACTGAGAACAACGCAGATGTTTTCTTTCTTTTATTTATTTATTTATTTATTTTTTTAAAGCAATTTTTTGTGCATGCATTTCTGATTGGTACCAACAATTATCTTAAACTACGAATTTAATTGTTGAATGCTAGGGTTTTTTCTTGGCTTCCTTAAGATGTGGCCTTCTCAGGTTTAGCATTATATTTTATATTAAGAATGTATCTTATTCCAACTAGTGTTTCCTGTTAATTTGCTGGTCCTTTTAGACATTGCATTCTTTCTCTTATTATAAATATGAAATACTCCTATGGATAAAGGCACATAAATATATTTTCTATCAACATGGTATACGAGCCAAAAAACCCTGGTCGCCTTCCCAAGCTTCTTTTTTCTTTGGCTTTATCTTATATGATACCATCAGTACATTTATAAAGTTTAATGGTGCCTATTATTTCTTGTGGTCAAGGGCCTTTTGTTTTGCTTTTGGTTCTCACAACAAATTCTTTACTTTGGTGCATCTTCTTTTGAATGGCAAACATTTGAACATTCTCATTTGGATGTTCAATAATCTCGAATGTTTTGTTGTCTCCTCAGTCATATTTGTGTTTGCAAAGGCTTTGAAACAACAGAAGGAGAATTTTTTGGCTGCTAAATTTTTCTTTGGCCTTTATCCATCTCTTCAACACGTGTGGTCTCAACTAATGGTGGATTCTACAATTCCCAATCTGAAATTGATTGCAGCAAAAGGCAAATCTTGAACACTACAGATCACAGAGGGCTGGTGGTGTTTAATGTCACGACCCGGCCCGGTTAGCTCGCAAGTGCGAGGCGGGAACAAAGATCGGACATAAAGAAGATAAAAGAAAACATTACAAGACAATTAATATAACTTCGAAATGAAAGAATGATATAAAGAAAGAGTTTCGGGTTTTACATTTAATGTGGGTAGCAGCTGACAGGCGGCATGAGAATGTAATGGAAATAGCAATTGTAGGAAGAAGAACAAGAAGTGGTGGGCTGGTGAGAAGAATTGATGTCCGCTGAAGCTGAAGAATGTGGAAGAGGTTGCTGGGCATGAGGACAAAACCGTGGCCTAGAGAAGAAATGTGGCTGAGGAATGAATTTAGAACAACGAGAGCACCATTTGTTAAATTTTGTGATCTTCCAAAAAGCAAAAGCACCTTTAGAGTAGGTGTAGACTCCAATGTGTAGAAGAGAGGAGAGAAATCAAAATTGTATTCATTCCATAACTTTTTCTTATAATAGGAGGGGTATTTATAATGCATGAGTAGACCAAGTTTATAATATAGAACTGGCTACCTAATACAAATTTAAAATATAATAAAAGAAATTAGTTAGTGCTTATTACATATGAATAGACTATTTAGTTTATACTTTATTTGGCCAAAGATATATTGCTATCCTTTGCTTATTGTAGTGTCAATGTGAAATATTTTGTTTTAATTCATCTTCTTATTTGGTAGACTTTTATGTTTGTAGGTTGGTCTACCATGTTTGTAGCTCATGCTTCACAATTTGATTGTACAATTTTAAGATCCAATAATATTTTTTAATGTATAATAGTGTAACAAGTAGTAGTTAATTGACATATATGTTCCAACTTGATGGGGGCATCAACATTATTTTTGTACATTAAGAAATGTGCCTTGTTATGTCAAGCGCTCTTTTGTTAATATTGCGGTCTTCGAAGACTTTGTATTTTTTTCTCTATTTTGGAATAAGAAATTCTCTTAAGAAAAAAGACAAAAAAAATTTCCTTCCTCTCAGCATGTGGATATGCAGGTAATCCGTTTAATTACTATGATGTTAATTAATAAAAAATTTATGTGTCTATACAAGAATTAGCATTTGATAGGCATGCTGAAGCAATGTAAATTTCTAATTCAATCTGCTAACGTGTTAAGATCAATACAATGGAGCACTTCTTCTGTCTATGTTGAGTTTGGATGGACTGCTTTTCATTTTGCTTTGTACCTTTATGGAAGAGAAAATATCGAGCTATATCATTTTTTTAGTGCTTACATACCATGTAATAGGTGTTATGAGAGTGAAATACGGGGATCCCGAGATGACCCCAATGCATTAGTAGATTGACATACTTCAATCCAAAAGCTCAAGTTAATTGATAAGGTGTAGTGTTTTTCTCTTTTAGTGCAATGTAGAATATATATATAGCTTGGGAAAAAGAAGTACAATCCATAGAAAATACAGAATATATTTACCAGATAAAGATAAGAGTACAGTGAGGGAAATTATAAGAAATTGTCAGAGAAAAATAAGTACAACATCACCAAAAAAGATTCAAAGTATTCATTTAGAATGTCTGGCTTGAAGTCAAGTGAATTAAGGTGTGTATGGATAGATTTTCTTCTAACTCTTGTTCCTTATGGTATAAAACATATGAAATCTCTTATCCACATGAGAGTTGACACTATGAATGCTCCAATAATCATAATCAGAAATCTGTTGAGATAAGTTGTCGTTCTGATCTCAAGTAAGATAAAGTTGAGTTGTTTCAAGAACTCGAGGAATACTCTTGTGATAATATCAGCAGATGATGTCGTCAACATCACAGGGCTTGTAAGAGCAGGAACATCATCCACTCTCTTTAGAAATGAATTGATATCTGGCTCCAAGATTTGGGATTAGATCTATGCTGAAGAGGCAAGAACTTCTACTAAATAGTTATGAGAATCATTATGAGCATTATGTGGAAGGTCATGCCCCTAAAAATTAGTATTTCTCAGTTCATAATAAGCCAAAGTATCGAGGGGAGACCATTTTAGCATATATATCGAGGGGAAAAGAGATTTAAACAAAGTAGTGGAAAAGAGATTTAAACAAAGGTGATAGAAGCTTTCATAGAGCAATAAAAATGGGGAGACCATTTTAGCATATGTATCGAGGGGCCAATGATATAGTATGAATGTCGTAAGAAGAGTCTAATGTAACTTTCTGTAAAGAATCTCTTATGATGATGTGTCAATATTCGATGAGCTCAACAAAGTAATCACTCTTCAGTTGTAAATAGGAAGAACTTATGAATTAAATCCATGTTTGGATGTCTCATATAGAATTCACCAATAAGTGAGAGCACAAATGGTCTAACAAGCTTTGGTATCTCCTCATCAAAAAAGAAAAGAGCAGGCTGGTATTGAAAAGAAAAAGGTTGTTTTGAAAGTTGTAAATTTGTTTAAAGAAAAAAATGAGGGTTGTTAGGTGGGGTGGGTTGATCACCCGCAACATTCGTACCATGAATAATTCGCTAAGGAGCGCAATGATTATAGGTGTGGGCAGGGCAGTGGGGGAGGCACAACTACATGAAATTACACAAGAGGAGAAGCCTTTGAGAGTCATGGTCCGCTTGGGAAGGACGTGGCATCTAACACTAGTGGAGGAGGAGGGATTGGTGGAGGTGAGACATGGATTACATAAGAACCTCTATCAGTAACCAAAAAAATAGAAAGAGCATGATGACGAACATGGGAGAGCAAAAGTCTCATCGGCAAAAAATAAAAGACGACATTATGAGGGCCATCCTAAGGTTCGAGCGAATTGAGAGCAGACGAGATGTGAATGCCATGAGGAGTTGTCAACATAAAAAACTACCTATATATCCAGTAGAAAACTCTAGGGTGAGCATAAATGCTGCCAGAACGAAGCTGCACTTGTAATATGCGACAATGGGAGGTGGACGTGCAAACGAAGTGGATGGAGTTGAGATTTCACGGGATGACCATTTTGAGAGTCCTTCACATCAGTTATTAGCCTCCTAAAAAAAAAACTTCAAGCATCATGCTCCAAATGTACACTTAACTATGTGGAACTTGCATGATAGACTCATGTTCTTTAATTTTACTCAGCCATTTTGAATCCAGTGTGATTTATGGTAGCCACCAATCGCATGAACCACTTGATCCTAGCTAAATTCTTAGCTACAGTACTACTTGTTTGGAGGAGCTATTATTCTGTGTGGACACCAAACGGTTCTCCCATCCGGTTAAGCGCTTGGTACCGAGCGGTACCGAGTGGTACCGAGCGCAGTACATTTTGGGGTGACGTGGCACATTTTTATTGGTCTTCGGACGCCCTCCGGACTCCGCACAGAATAATAAATTTGTTTGGAGAGTGGAATACTTGGGGGCCGTGTTGAGCTAGATATAGTAGTAGGTTGATATCTATCAGCTATTAATTTTAAGCCAATGAATATGGGCCACTATACCATATTTGTAACTCAATTCATGCTTCACCTGCAAAATGGGACTATTTTTCATTTCACTCTCAGGTGGATCCTAGCAATGGAATGGTCCTGTATCCTAAAATCATTTCACCAAGTTGATAAAATTATTGAACATTAGGAGCACTACACACGTTTTGCATTAAAACCCCCTAGAAGGGGAACCAAATAGATACACACTTATATTCTTTTCATGTTGATAAAGTGGACTCTGTTTTTTACTTATAGCATGATAAATGAAATATATGTATTTGGGCCATTTTTTATATTTCAAATGACCGAGTAAGGCCTGTCTTCTTTGTTTTTAAACCGTACTGCACTAAGACTTCAGTCTGGAAACCATACTTATCGTTCTCCTTTTTTTAGGGGACTATTCCTGAGAAGCCTCTCTTTTACACTTCTTTGAAATTTGAATCATCTCTTAGGCTGACATGATAATCTTGTTAATTGGTGGAGCAATTTTAGCATAACAATAGAAGTTTTTATTTTAACCATTCTCATTTGCACCGTTTCTCACAGAAATAGTATTTCAGGGTTCAACGTGCACTTTTTCTGAGGCTATTTTACGGGAATGTGGTCTTCAGACTGGTCTTTTCACTTCTCCACACCTGATGGATGTAAGAGAAAGATACCGAATTAATGGGTTGGTACTCAAAATCTGTAAATTTATTGCTGCTATATCTTCAGCGGTGCATTATTTACTTGTCCAATCTTACCATTTAGCTTCAAACCACTCAAATTTTCCTATATCACCATTGGTTTAGCTTTTGCTTAATACTACCTTTAGAAAATGTGAGATAGAGCATAGTTATTAGAAATTATTCTTTTTCATCTGTATAACTTGTGTTATATGAAGTGAGATTCTTCTTGTTTCATAACTTAGTTGATATGCATGCAAGAGTTGGCTGTTGTTTTCCTTTAATTATGTGTACAGGAAATAAACTACTCCCGAGAAGGCGTTAAAATACTAAACTTGATGGATCATTCTTCTCGCAATCCTGAAGTCCCATAGATATAACTTCAAACCATCTTAACAGTGACCAACCTCCACTTTTATAGTTCAACAACTTGTAATGACACTGTTTTTTTTGTTTAGGTTAGATCTTTCACATGCTAGGGAAGCAGCACCAAGAATATGTTTGGAAAAATCCTTAAATTAGTTAATAAACAAATAAAAATAAATCTATGGCATATACAATAACAACAATAACATCAAGTCATTATCCCACTAGATGGGGTTGGCTACATGAATCCTTTTTTCTTCATTGTGTCATGTTTAGAGTTAATTTTTCTTTCAAATCTTATAAAAATATTATTTTTTATATTTTCTAATAAAGTCTTTTTAGGTCTACCTCTATCTTTTTTAACATAGGCCAAATCTAATACATCTACTCTCCTAACCGGTCATCGAAAGACTGACGTTTTATGTGACCAAACCATCTAAGGTTACTCTCTCTAATCTTATCTGCCACTAGAGCTACTCCAACCTTTTCACGGATATGCTCATTTTGCATCCTGAAGCACATTTATCATGGAGTTCGAGCAAGCATTTTTTTAATAACTGATCTATTTAGAAGAGAATCTTCAAATTAAAGTTGAGTCCTAAGTGGTTTGATTTCTTTCCTCCAATCTCTTGGAGCTTCTTTAGTTTGCATTGCTAATACTTGTTGAATTTGAGAAGATTTGGAAAACCTCTTTGGAAATCAGACATAGTGAGTGCGGGTCTACTTCACGTGGACATCTTTTGGCCTTTTGATGAGGAGACTAGTAGCTCTGAAAGTTCGACTACCATTATCCACTTGGCCCTATGCCAGTAAACTGATCCTTCTTTCACTTTTAAAACTTGACTTGCGGAGGCTTTGTGAGCTTTAGAATTATTCTTATATGGTCTTTGAAACATTCTAGGAGGATGAACCTAAAGAGCTTTGTGTTTTTAGCATTTGAGACTAATGCAAATGTTAATCCTGTTGGATTCTTCTTCTAATAACTTAGGTCATTATATGGGAGTTGGGAGTCTTCAACTTGATTTCTAAGGGGAAGCTACAATGATTCTGTTAACTCTTTCAATTATGATATGTAATAATTGCGCCCGTCATAGGGATCAAAAGGCTTACAAACTTTTCTTAACTTGTTGATGCGGATTAGTGGCCTTGTATTGAACTATAGAATACATGTATGCAGATCACCAATATAGTTAGGATCAGGTTGTTAACTACGTCGTATTTTCAGAAAATAGCATCTTTTTCACATTTCATTTTATTTAACTAATGAAGATAAATGCTTTTTGAATAATAAATCTTTTGTCATACCATTTGGCTGCAAATCGTCTTGATATTAGAATCTATTATTAAATCATAGAACCTTGTTATGGAATTCTTTGTTAGAGAAAGTGTTGATGGTGACGTGCCATGCATAATAGCTTTTATTGTTCAATATCTATCAGGCTGAAATATGTGCTCTGCCTGATAAAATTTTACCCTTTTTTAATGTGATTACTCTTGTAACTATCAGGTCTGATATATCAAGAGAAAAATTTCTACTGCATTTCTGGGAATGCTGGCACCAATTAAAGGTGACTGTTGAGATTCTCATTTTAGCTGCTGATTTATTTGTTGTTCAATCCAACTTGTTCTGATATATGATTGATAGTCTAATCTTTTATCTTTACTATATTTCACTAAAATGTGCTTCGTACTGGACAGCATTACAAACAGTATAATAATCGTTAGACAAAATTGTTGTGCGCTTTGCATGACTTATCTACTTGAAAATAGTTTTTGACTTACCAAATGTTTAAGGTAGTTGCTTTCCCATACTCATTCCACGCCATAACTAGTCTCAGTTCTTATAGTTTATTAATTTGTTATGCAAAGTGTTAAACGTTTCCTCATCTTTCTTTTGGAATTGTATTCCTTAGCATTCTTTCATCATAATATCAGAATTACTTTATTTACTTCACTTTGAGTCTGCTCTTTAGGGGTTTCTCTTGTAATATTAAAGTGGAAACCATGCTTGGCATTTTTTTTTTCTCATCCAAATGTGGCACCAATTAGAGAAACGTTCTACCTCCATTTGTTTGTTTATGTGAACAATTTATGTGCTCCCGTTCTTTTCCTACTCTAATTCTTTTGAAACTTACGCTGATGATACATTACAAATGTCAAAGCACTATTTTTATTTTCATTATTACAGTGTTTCATTTATACTCTTCTAAGGATCTGTCAGCATTTATCAAGCTGATCTAGGCTCACTGTTTTCAGTCATGTAGTATTGTAAAAAGTCTTCTTACTTCCCTTTTAAGCATTGTACTCATATACAAGTGTTCTCAAACTTTCAGGACCTTTAAGAATTTCTGAATAGTAGATTCTGGAACTCAAACCAATATCTTTCAAATTCTATTTTTCTTCCTGCAGGCAAAATGTGTAAAGGATCTACCAATGCCTACACTGTTTCAGTTCCTTACTCTCCTGGCATTTAAGATATTCTTATCTGAAAAGGTGGTATATCTAAGCCTTTCTATATTAATGTTCCTAAATTATATGGAGTTAATTTTTGTAGTTTTCTTGTATCTGTTGCTCCTTTGAACCTTAGATCAGTATCTTATCCATTTTCTGTCAATTACCCTAGCTCTTAATATTTTCCTGTCCAACTCCCAGATAGAATTAGCTTGATGCATTACTATACCATATGAAGTACTGTTTATTTCTGCCAAATTTTTATTGTAAGTTTTTGCTTTGTACTGGAAACTACTCTCAATAAAGCAAATGAAGCTTTTTTAACTTCGAATTTGGTACTAATTACTTTGTCATTATGGGCAGTTAACCTATAAAGAACTGGTTCATTACAGGTTGATGTTGCTATTCTTGAAGTTGGGCTAGGTGGGAGGTTTGACTCGACTAATGTGGTAATTGTTAGGACGTGAATTTCTTGGGTTTAAATTGCGTTTCTCTATTATATTAATTTTGGAATTCTTTACTTTTTTTTATAACTTCTGAATGAAGCTGCAAAGGCCTGTGGTAAATGAGAATGGTTCAAATTGGCTCAAATCGTTCAATGAAATCAAGCAATATAAGAGCGAACTGTAGCCAAGTGTGCTCAGCTTTAGATGCCTTTTGTATACTAGATTCTTGAGAGCAGATCTTACCAGACAATGATTTAATATTTTTTAGCGAATTAAAACCTGATTTTTTGGAGAAATTATTACGTGCAGAGTCCGGACATAGAGTTACGCCCGGACTCCAATAAAAACGTGACATGTGTCCTTGTACACAATGTGTACAAATTTGTACACACTGTGTACAATTGTGTACATAATGTGTATATTATGTATAAAAATTTGTATATATTATGTACATAATTTTGTAATTTGTGCATAATGTGTACAATTGTGCACTATGTAAAAGGACACCTGTCGCATTTTTTTATTGGAGTCCGGACGTATCCGGAGTCCGCACGTAATAATTTCTCGATTTTTTGGCTCTATGCAGCTATAGCTTATTTAAATTTCTTTAGCACATTTGTTAGCCTGGACTTTTCTGCAAATTTTCAGTATTCATTAGTGCAAATCCAATTTGTTGATCAATATTTTCACATTTACAAGTAAGTTTTTTAAAAAAAAATCCAGCTCATTAATACCTTCTTCAAATTATGTTGCAAATGGATGATTGAAAAAAAAACCAAAAAAACAGGTTAAAGAGCCTGTTGTTACTGGCATCACCTCACTGGGGATGGATCATATGGAGATCTTAGGTAATCCATCCATGCAAAGTTTATCGAGTATTTATGAACAATTTTCTTTATTTGGGATTTTTAATCTTTGCATTTTTCCATGTTTGAAGATGTTGATCTCATTACATGATAAGTTCTTATTAATTTTTAGAAATGCCAGTTTTTTTTCCATTGATAATTTTGCAATTTTGTTATTTTCCTGTGGAGTTCATTTGTAAAAAGCTTTATTTTCTTTTGATGAAGAGGATGATGATTAATTTAGATTCAATGTTGAAAGCCTAATATTCTTTGAGGTTCTTTTAATTTGGATTCAATGGTTAGAGAGTAATGATCGTGGATGCCCATTTGGCCCTATCATTAGATTAAGCTAATATAGGCTAATCCAGTTAATGGGTTAAGCTAATTAAAGTTCCATGGACACCTATGATGCACAAATACATACACGTTAACACAAATACGACACGGACTCGGACACGAGACATGCCAATTATTAAAAATATAGTACACAGACACGGGTTGGGCATGGTATATAATTTTTATATTTTAAAATAGTGTATAGAAATTGAATAAGTATAATATTAAAAATAATTTGAAAATAATAAGTCATTTAACTAGAATTTTTGTTTAAAATGATTAATGTTAGGATGTCGAGGGTCGGGCGTTGATGTTGTATATCAGATATCGAGAGAGGAGATGAAAATGCTGTCAAAAGTCAAGCATCGATGTTATGGAAAAGTATTTTGCATTCTTGCATCAATATTGAGAGGGCGTCTGTCATTGATGTTGAGCGGGCATTGTTCATTGGTATTAAGACGACATCAAATAAGGATGAGCTATCAAGTTATGGGTTTATAAATTGCTAACGCTAAGCATCAATGTCAAGATAGTGTTAGACTTTGATGTTGAGATGGTTTTGAAATGTCTATGTTTTAACGACATCAAACGTCGATGTTTAGATGACGTTGTGCATTGTGTGAAACCAAAGTCGTGAGCTATCGAGGAGAAATGAAATGAAAATATTCGATGAATGGGGAATTGAGTACGAGTGATTGATTTGGTGTTATGAGGAAGAAATAAGAAATTTAATTTTTATAATTTAAATAAATAAAAATTTAAATACAAGATTATATTTAAAAAATTTTAAATACAAGATTATTTTAAAAAAATCATAAAATATTTAAGACATGCGTGTCCAATTTGTATTTAATATTTTTTTAATCATACATGTTTTCGGCTTGTTCGACACGTGTCGGAGGCTTGTCGGACGCATGTCATGTCGGATACATGATAGATACTTTACGTTTCTTTTAGTAAAAGTGTCGGTGCATCATAGATGAACACACATGGAATTGTACTCAATCTTGTATGGAGAAGATCCAAAAAGTAAGCCTCATGCAGGCTACAAGAGTTATAATTAGTAAAGATGCTACATCATCAAGGAAGACGTGTCATCAAACCAACTCATTCAATCTAAGAAAGAGGAGGACAATCACCATGGCCTCTCTTCTCCTTATTCCCTTGTTTGTTAAGGTTAGTCAATTTGATTAGTCATCCATAACCTAACTACTTTTAGTTTGAACAATCAAATTACTTGTTTATAAGCCTCATCTCCTACTTATATAAAGATGCGCTTTGTGAAAGCAAAAAATGGATAAAATATCAGTCGCTACTTGTGCGACATATTAGATTGCATTGTTTTTCCAAGTTTTCGATCTTCTTTTCCCCTTTTATTTCCCTACTTTTGTTCTAAGGAAAATTTGAGGTGTAAATAAATGCAACCATGGGGGAATCCAATCTAAGGGTTCCCTTATTCCTCATCTAGGGAAGGGTTCTGCAATCTACACATGGATTCAAATTTCATCTTCTTACACCTCATTTGGCCATGAACAGTAAACTCAACTATAGGGAGATCAGCACATTCTCCCTTCCCTTTGAAGCTTATGTGAGTAGGCATATCTTCTCCTAAATTTTGATATCCTACCTTGGATAAAGCATATGCCTATTAATAAAGGGTTGTTGGTTAGGTATAAAATACAAATAAATAAGAATTAAAGTTTTTTTTTTAATTTTTTATTATATTTTAGTTTGATAAAATTACATTTTAGAACACTTTATTTACAAAATTGTTGCAAGTTAAGTGCAACCATTTTGATCATAATTATTGTGCAAGGGTATTTTCATTTGACTTTGTTGTTCAATTTGGATTTTAGGATATATTTTTAGCTTTCGCTATGCCTAACAAAGCCTCTCCTTCGTACTCCATAGCGACCCCACACATGCAATTTGCCAAGGATTATTGGTGGATGGTGAATCCATCGAACGTATAGAAAGCCTGATGTAGAACGGTGGTGGGGGTTGGTTAATTAATTTTCCTAAGTGAATGTCCAATTGGGGAATTAATTAATTTAGGAGGGAGAGAAAGAGATGGGAGCCGGCCAAAGGAGGGGAGAGAAGTGTCTAGGTTCGATGAATATAGGAAGAGGTGTCTAGGTTCGATGAATGTAGGAAGAGATGTCTAGGTTCGATGAATGTAGGAAGAGGTGTCTAGGTTCGATGAATATAGGAAGAGGTGTCTAGGTTCGATGAATGCAGGAATTTTGAATTGACTCCCAATCAATTTCAGATTTAATCATTTCTTGATTGAGAGAAGACTTTCCAAAATTAAACTAAATAATTTAGGAAAGAATTTGAAATTTCAAATTCGTTTAAATTTGAGTTCAAAAACTTACCAAAATTAAAACGACTTAATTTAGGAAATAATAAATTTAGGAGGGAAAAGGGCGGGGCTAAAGCCAGCGGCTAGGAGGAGTGGGTAGGGAAATTCAATTTCAGAATTTTAAATTTGAAATAGGAGGGAATCAAATTCAAAATGCTGAAATTAATTTAGCCATAGAGATGAGAGTAATTGGTGGGATTGGAGGCTTAATTAGGAGAGCATTAATGGGCCTCTTAATTAGGTGATTTAATGCCTGCCAAGTGGAGAATCTTAATTTAGGAAAGGATTCCAAATTTCCTAGCGATTGGAATACTTTCTTAAAATAAGATAACTAATTTAGGAAAAGATTCCAAATTTAAATTCATATGAATTTAAATTAGGTTTGATTGTAATACTTTCCTTATCCTTCAAACTCTTATCTACAATTACACATACACCATTTCTAGTATGACTGCTACTAGAATACCATTGTTTTAATCATAAACTATCAATCTCCTTTGCATTCTTTCCAACCCATTTAGTTTCCTGAATGCATAGAATATTTATCTTTCAATGAATCATGATATTTATTTCAATAATTTTCTTGTAAATGAACCTATATTCCAAGTTCCTGTTCTAATTTTAGTTTCATGGACAGCTTTTTAGCCCACATTTGTCCATGATGTGGGAATCCTTGCCTATTTAACACTGTACCTGAATGTCGATGCAGTTGCCCTTATACATTTGTCGTTGTATTCAGGTCATACAGCACATTGCTTTCAAGGAATGCCCTAGCATTAACACAATATATTAAATAATTCATATTATGATTATTCGACAAGTTTTACACTGATTGTCGACTACCTAACGCAACCCTCTACTTTTCTCAACCCGTGTTTATATCTTAAATTTTCAATAATTGATGTGTCCTATGTTTGTTTCTTGTATAAAAAGTGAATAAATATAATATTAAAATAATTTAGAAATAATAAGCCATTTTACTATAATTTGTGCTTAAAATAATTAACATTTGGATGTTAAGCGTTGATACCATGTATTAGGCATCGAGAGGGGAGATGACAATCCTGTCAAGAGTCGAGCATCGATTTTATGCAATATCAGGCGTTAGTCGTCGATGTTGAGAGGGCGCTGGTCGTCGATGTTAAGAAAATGTCGGACAAAGATGAGCTGTCAAGTTGTGGGTGTAGAAATTGTTAGTTTCGACTATTAATGTCAAGATAATGTCAGACTTTGATGTTGAGATGGTTTTGAAATATCGATGTTGTAACGATGTCATACGTCGATGTTGAGATGATATGGGACATTGTTGTAAAACTAAAGTTGTGGCCCGTCAAAGAGAAATGAAAATGAGAATATTTGATGAATGGGGTACTAAGTGCGGTTGATTGATTTGGTGTAAGAAATTTAATTTTTTATTTTATATAAATAAAAAATTTAGATACAAGAAATTATAATTAAAAAAATCATAAACTATTTAAGACATGAGTATCGAACATGCATATCCGATTTGTTTTTAATATTTTTTTAATCGGGCACGTTTTTGACGTGTCCGACATGTATCAGAGGTGTGTCGGACGCGTATCGTGTCGGATATTGCACGCCTCTTTGAGGAGAAGTGTCGGTGTATCATAGCCCATCAATTTGATGTGCTATTTGTAAGGTTTTGTGTATTATAAGGCAAAGTAAATTTGTTATGTTGCTACTGCTAGATACCTTCCTTTGTGATATAATATCCCATTGTCTTCTAATATAGTTGTGTATCATTTTGATCATTCATATAAAGAATAAAGGGATCATTTTGATCCTCTTCTTATTTAAATCTAAAATCTAATCTGTAAGAGATTTTTATTTTCCCTGTAGTTTAATTCCATACTCTAGATAGCTTCTGTGGTATATCCTTTTCTCTTTTGAAGTAGTATCATCTCCTTCGGGAGACAGACCTGATAGAAGCATTTCTTTGACGTATGCTTTTTTGTTCATACAGGAGATACTATTGAAAAAATTGCTTTCGAAAAGGCTGGGATTTTTAAGGTATGACATAAACATTGTGCATGCTTCGAAAAATAATATTTATCATTGAGTTATTTTACTTTTCCATGTGCTTTTTAAAAAATATTCTTAAATGGAGTCCCGTATTTGGTGTATGTTGAAGCCCCACGTTCCTGCATTCACAGTGCCCCAAAAATCCGAGGCAATGTCAGTTCTTCATGACAGAGCCTCCAAATTAATGGTAACTTCGTCTATCTCTACTGTTGTTTTTTTCTTTATTGGTTTGTTATTTAATTTTGTAATATGAGATTCTGAAATATCAAAATTGTTTTATGAATTAACGACTTTAAACTCAGTTCCAGTGATGCATTGATTATAAGCGTTTTTTTAAAGTTAAATCCACCAAAGTTTTTATTTCTCTTGTCCATAATAAACAAGAATGTTATCTAAACTTAAATTTCCATAGGTTTCTTATAATCTCCAAAGCTATGTTTGGATGCTAGAAATTTGAGTAAAATCAAATGAAAAAAGAAAATGGTTAAAATTTTTAAATCAATGGTTATAATTCAGTCATAGTCTCATAGATTATTTGTAGCTAATTTTATTTCCTTCACTTCCCTTCAATTGAAAGAAATCATAAAATTTATCCGTTCCATCACTAATACTTGTTATCAACTGCAGATTCCATTAGACGTGGCACCACCTCTAAGCTCAAAAACATTAAATGGACTACATCTTGGATTGGCTGGAGATCACCAGTTCACCAATGCTGGTCTTGCAGTTGCTCTTTGTAGGTGTTGGTTAAAAAGAACAGGGCATCTTAGTTCCTTTCTAAATGTCAGTACACCTTAAAGCCCTGCTTCATGCTTTCTAAATATATTATTGACTTTATTTAAGAAGGGAGTTCATTTAAGACCTCTTATCCGTCCAACTGGTGATTTTATGGTTGCATAATAAAGTTAAACTTGAAAATTACATTTTTAAAGTTTAGGGATAGGTTTTTCATGTTTAGCTTGCTATTTTGTTGGTGAAATTTGTTTATGGTGGTAAAATGTCCAGAAAATGTGCATGCTCAGAAAACTGACTCAGGAAATGTGCTACAGAAGGCTCAAGATGCACCAATAAATACAGTAGATAGGATTAATTTGGATGAATTAGGAAGAAAAATTAATAGATGAAAGGTAATATTGTATATTGAATTATTAAATCATTGATTACTACTGTGTCTCACTAACATCCTCTTAGTAAGGACTTGCAACTTTCGGAACGGATCTTGCTTGGAAATGCTCTTTCATATTATATTCTAAAAAATAAAGCGTTGGTGCTCTACTATAGGGCTACTTGCATACAGGCATAGCCTTTAGCTCTCAAGTCAGCACTTATATAAATAAATCTGTTCTTACAATCTCCCCTTCTTATAAAAATTTCGTCATCAAAATTTACGTATAACTTCTAGTTACATAAGCAAATAACATTTTCATCTAGTTGCACAAGCAAATAACATCTTCAATTTTATTCAACTTAAACTTCAACATGGGATACATAATTGAATAAAACTAAACATTTGATATAACATAAAAATATAGCCCGATAAACTCCAAAATATCTGATATAACATAACAAGTTATTATATTAAAGACTTGACTTTTCATTCATCTTTATTAACATTTAAAGATTCATTAGGCTCTTGTTGAGTCAAAGCATAAACTCGGGGTTGAACATTCTGCCTTGATTGATTTTGTGCAGAAGCTGAAACTGACGGTTCTATCATTATTTGTTTGCCAAAGCTTCCTTTGGAAGGTGCTTCACTTGATCTCATTTCTCCTGAAGTTCTCTGAACCAATGTAGGGCAATATTTTTCTATGTGTCCAGGATGACAATACCAATAGCAAGTGTTGGAATCCATCAGACATTCACCCTTATGTAATCTGCCACACTTAGCACAAGCTTTCATGACTTTACTAACAACAACACTATTAACTCCACTAGGACTAAGCATTGGCTTCTTCCCATTTGATCCTTCAATCTTATTTTTTTAGATATCTTCTTCAACACTCTTCTTTTTATGCTGGTCCTTCTCTTCTGAATGATTTAGAAGTCAATCTCCATTAACATTGAATAATCATCGATTGCTAAAGGTACTAAAGATTGCCAGATTGTATCTTTTAGACCATATAGGAATTTATAAATTCAATTGATCATGTTGAATAGGGAAGACTTAAATTCTATATTATAGTGATGCCATATATACTATATCATGATGTTATTATATAATTCAATATGAAATGATATGGAGAAGCTAAATGAAATGATTTATGTAGTATGCTTGCATGTGTATGTTGACTGATGGAGCACACCCCCTTATGGTACTGGCTGGGGATGCAATATACCTGTGCATGTAAATGAAAAAGATTATGGAAAAGAAAAAAATAGAAAAGAAGTACCTTGATTGGTACTAAATTTAAATGATGATTCCTGTAACGGTTGTATTATTTATGAGAAATGAGATATATTTAATCATATCATTTCATCAAGACTTTCAATGTTATGCATGATATATATATATATATATATATATATATATATCATATTTGTATTCATATCTTTCTCATTTTTAATTTCTCATAAATAATACAAGTGTCACATGAGTCACCTTCTAATTTAATACCAATGAAGATACTCCTTTTCCATTTTCATTTCATTTTCCTTTTTCGTAACATTTTTTATTAATGTGCATGGGTATATTGCGTCCCCAGCTAGTGTTATAATGGGGAGTGTGCTCCATCAGTTAACATGCACATACAAGCATACTACATAAATCATACCATTTATCTTCTCCATATTATTTCATTTCAAGTCTTTTAGTTTAACATGATCAATTGTTTTTAATAAAGAAAAAAATCATGTAACATTAACAATGAGCAATTAGATAATAATAATACTTGATGTTTCATGTGTAAGAGAAACAAATATAATAATTGTAATTAAAAGGCATGAGTACTCACCTTAATCAGATGCCTTGATAATTCACTTTAATCATCACTTTGATGACGTCAGCTTAACACCTACATTGGTGCACAATACATTATACCTTTTTTTGCATTTATCTCCAATTCAAAATATTCTCTAATTTTAATATTAATTTTACTCTCATAAATTTGTTATAAATCTAATAATTAAATATTGTTTCATTATTATTGTATTTCTTTATACAATATAAAATTCACTTTTCTCTCTCTAATTACTTAATTAATTCTAATTAGAATTAAATTTTAAGATATTCATTCTCTATTAATATATCATTTATCACTAACCATTCAATTCATTATTTATATAATTAATTTCCTAATTAGCATTTTCAATTAAAATCCATATTTCTCATTTCCTATACAATTTATTTATCCGAATCTTCTCTTCCTTCCTCCACCATCGAACTAAAATTATATCACTTGAATTCTTCCAACATAAAATAAAAATATATATTTCTTATTATTTATTCAACGAAAGAAATGAGAAATGAAAGCATATGACCTCAAACTAAGTCACTAACTTTTCCTTACAAAAGAATTCCAAAGCCCAAATTCTTCTTCTTTTTTCTTTCCCAATTTCTTTATCTCTCTCTCAATTCCTTCTTCTACCTTCTTTTAAGGTGATAAATCATTTCATAAGATTAAATTATAGAAGAAAATGTACAAAAATGCTTAAAATGTGAAAGCCTACCTTTTTCTCCTTCTCTCTCTCGTTCGGTCTCTGTCATGTCCGTTTGTTTTCTTCCAAAGGATCTAGGGACACGCACATATAACTCACGCGTAGTTAATTTACTCCATGGACGCGATCCTTCGTTCAAAATCGCAAAATGCCTTTTTCTGGGTCACGTACCCACACGGGCGGCTTCGCCTGGGTCGTGCATCCACTTCTGTTCGCGGATTCGTCCGCCTCTACCTGTTTATTAATTGGAACCAGCCTAAATAAACCAGTTCTTATACTAAATGTTGTGTATACGGATTTTTATTGTTGGCTACTTGGGATATGAATTTTTTTATTTAAATTTAAAGCTAAATGAATTATTATCTTTTAGGATTTAATTTAAACTTGGATTATACTGATACTATGCTAATGATAACTACTAGCCTATGGGATTAATAGTTTATAAATGAATGTCTTGAGACATGTAATTACAAACTTGTCTTAAATGAATTTTCTTTTCAATTTTATCTTGTGAGTGCTAGTGAATATGTGATTCATTCAAGTGCGATGCATGTATATCTACCTAATTCCAGTGGAAGTCATATTGTGAAGGCGTGGGATATATTTTTATACTTTAATATTTTCATTCTTTGTTCAGTTTTTTTATAAATAAAATATATTGACTTATTTAATGCCTCTGATAAAAAAATTTATTTATTGAAAATCTAACTCGTAAATTAAATTTATTTTCTCTCTGATTTTGTGATCTTTGAAACTTTTTCGTACTTTTTTTTTTTAATTTGATAATTACGAAGTTTGAGTTCAATTTTTTGTTTTTAATATTATGCATTTAAAGAAAGCATGTTTGTGAATGATCAAGTTCCTTTGGATGAAATAAATTTACAAATCATATTAGTTGCATTAGTAAATCCCAACCATGAATCATCTTGCATCAGGATCCCACATCAAAATCCATTATTTCCTGAATCCCAAGATGCCTATGCATACGAATGATATAATATTTTATAAACATAACTGAGTAAAAAACCCTCGTGTTAGTGGAGTTGTCATTCGGATGATTACCTTGAGCTCTGTGGGCTAGATGTTTATCTTGAGGGAATGAGATGGTTGAAGCAAAGAGTGGCATGATAGAAAAATAGATTTCATCTTGGATGAGGAGTCTAGAAGGAGTAATTTTGAAAACAATATATTGAAAGAAAGCATCCTCGTTATCCTTAGAAAGAGGTAGTCATGCCCACTCCTAGATGATGATCCCATAGAAACATATGAGCATTTATTGGGGCTTGTCATTCCTAGTTTAGAGGCTCTAGAGGATTTAGAGAAGGGTTTGAAAGTGAATGAAAATGATTTCTATGGCCGTTCTATATAAAGAAAAATGACCTATCCTATTATACAAAATTGGTGCTAATTATTATCAGATTTTGTTGCTAGATCTATTAATCTTTATTTTCCTAACCATTGAAGTTTCATCTTAGGAAAACTGGGATGGGGGTTTGCCAGAACCATTTCTAAGAGGCCTTTCTGCTGCCCGTCTTTCTGGAAGAGCTCAAATATTCCATGATGAACTAGATTCTGAGGAGCCTGAAATTAAAAGTAGTTCTGGTGATTTGATTTTTTACTTGGATGGTGCCCATAGTCCAGAAAGCATGGAAGCTTGTGCAAAATGGTTTTCTAATGTTGCAAGTGATGTTCGACATTCTTCTCATGAAAACGGTCATATTGAGAGAAAAAACTTCCAAAAGAACTTGACAAATGAGAACTGTTACAATGTAGCAGACAAAGTTTCAAAGAAGGTAATATGTGCATCTTTTTTATGTTGCATTGCAGCAAACCTTTAATAGATTCCTATGCTATGAGGGACTTTTCATCTTGTCCACTTCAGTTAGCTTAGACTGAGTGTTCCTGGTACTTATTAATTACTCCCGCAGATTCTTTTGTTCAACTGCATGGAAGTAAGAGATCCCCATCTGCTATTTCCTCAGCTGATTAATACTTGCGCTTCAAAAGGTATGCACATGGTAAGATTTTTTTCTCCTTGCATCTGTAGCGAGATTTTTAGTATTTTGACTACGTATCGTTTCTTCTTTAACTGCAAATTTAGGAATGTTCTGTTTGACAACTTGAAGAAAGAGGTGCACAGATCTAACCCAGACATGTATTTTTTTACTAGATAATTATGAGATTTTGTTTTTAATTTATATTACCAGAATAGTTTAAGCTACGGTAAAAAATAAGTTTGCCAATGAAAACCACCTAAACAATTAACAAACATATGTGGTTGCCTTTGTTAGACATGTCAAATAATTCTTACGTTCGTATATCCATACATTTTGGAATTCCACATGTTTTGAAGTTCCATTTTGGACAATTTAGGCTTGGTTTGGGATGGCTTTTTTGCTTATTCTTAAAGTAGTTTTTTAGTATAAAAATGTTAATTATTGAACTAGAAAGCTGCTTTTAGAAGCAGCAAGGAAGCCGTCCCAAACGAAGTCTTAATTTTTGTTGCCAACATAGTACTGTCTCCTGCTCACAACTTCAATTCATTTCATGAAGATACTGGACACGTGGAATTTCAGCAAAGGTACAATTCAATTGGCATCAGTTTAGGTGGCTAGCTGGGGATTTATGGGTTTGAAGGACTGCCATGTGAACATTTTTTTTAGAGAACTATATTTGTTAAGCTAGGGATCCCAAGTGATTTTAAGCACTAACGGATAGAACAAGCATCTTCTCTCTTCGGTATAGTAAGAATTGAGACTTGATACTTTTTTATCCGAAGAAAATTGCCATTAAAATGTTGGTGTTTCTTTTTAGCTTTTTTTTTTTTCCGTTTGGATTGATTACTTTTGTTTTTCTAGTGTTACTGCAAAGCATATTAAATGTCTAAACAATATGCTTACGAGTAATGTTTTTGAGATTCCTAGACAACTCATTCTATTCTTATTTTGTTTAGATTTTTGTATCGTTCAAAATGATGGAAGTGGCTTTTACGGTTGGTTCATTTATTTAAGACTTTGTTGTTGTTTTTGGTATGATAGATAGAGGGCTTCAGCATTCTCTTTTATTAGGAAATGTAACATCTTAATGCGAAAGTATGCTTTCATTGCTTTTTTTTTTAATATCATTGTGACCACTCTTGACTTTATTTGTCTCAGGTGTCCATTTTTCAAAAGCTCTTTTTGTCCCTAGCATGTCAACATATCACAAGGTTGATTCTGGGGCATCAACAATTTCATCTGATATTTCTCAGGATGTGTCTTGGCAATACAACCTTCAAAGAATCTGGGAGAAATTAATCTATGGAAAAAGAGGTATATATTTTGTAGTTCTAAGATCTTCATTGGTGTTACCTTAGCTTTGAAATTTGCTCAATATGGAAAAGGTCATACGTGGATGTAATCATGTGGGTTGGATATCACCTTAGTGGTACATCGAAAGTTAACTAGATTGTGATGAAAAATAAGCTACATTGGGTTAGGACGTTAGTCTTATGTGATTTTCCTTAAATTAACCCGATTATAATGAATGTGAAGATCAGAGAATTGATAAACACTGTAATAATAAGAAGAATAAATATTGCTTGTATATAAGAAACTTAAATAGAAAGGAAAATATGTTGGAAAGGTTAACAGTAGGAATGTAGTTGAGCTAGTTATGGATAGAAACTTGAAAGATAAAATTGTTGAGATTAATAGTGTTACTGATTAGGAGGTTGCTATTAAGATAATTATGAGCGAGAAAATTATGAATATGGTTAATGCTTGTGTTTCTCAAGTTAGATTAGAAGACAATTGAAAACATAAATTTTGTGAAAAAAATGGATGAACTACTACAATGTGTACTTGTTAAGAATTCATAGTTATTGGAAATGATTTAAATTTTTATGTAAGTCCTAATAGGATGGGTTATGAGATGATCAAGTTGGTTTTTAAATAGGGGATACAAATGAAATGATAGAAGCTATATATTGGATTTTGCAGTATTATATGATCTTGTTGAAATAGTGAACACTTTAATAAGCCAGTAGAGCACTTATTTACTTACAAATGTGGAGTCACTAAATCTTAAATTGATTATTCTTAGTTTAGAAGGAAAATAAGAAGTAAAATAATTTCTTCTTGTAAAGATTGTATATAAATTTCAGAAGGATGGTTTTTTCACACAATATAGGATAGTATTTATTGATATACATCTCAAGTGTAAAAAAAATCAAAAGAAATAGAGTCTTTGGATAAGATAATGGAATTTGAAAGTGAGAAATTGTTACTCTTTTAAGATAAATCGCCCGCCCCTAACTTGGGTTGACCCGACCAAACTCGTTGACCTGGTTGAGCGCGACTATGAGGATGAGTGTGAAACTGCGAGCGGGCCGGGCGCATGTGGGCGAGCAGGTGAGAGCTAGCTAGGGCGAGGACGACTGCGACAAACGGACAAGCGGATGGAACGCAACTGTGACAAACTGGTTAGTTCCGGGTTTATTTCAGGTTTTTGGGTTGACCCAAACCCAACCCAAATTTGCAATCTGGTCAGGATTTGAAATTATCGAGTTGTGCTAAATATTGACACTCCTACGAGAAGCTACATCACGGTACAAGTAATTAAGACTAAATGAGATATTTAGAATTTTGGTAATTGTTAAATAATCAAATTTGAGTTGTATAATAAAATTATAGGTGAGAGTGGCAAAAATGTAGACTTATAAATGTCAATAGAGAATCATTTTGGGTTGATGTGAAGAACATTTCATTATGGAGGCTATTTGTTTGGTAAGCAATGGAAAAATATAGAGAACAAAAAGGGGATTTGATGTAAATAGATTTTGTTTTTTATCTTAGGAAAGCATAGGATAAAGTACAATGAGAATTAATATGATGTACTCTGAAGAAAAATGAGTGTCAAAAGTATATTCTTAAAGGTATGTATGATAGCATATTGACTAATATTAGTAGTAGATGTGGAGTGACCAAAGAACTCCAAACTCAATACGGTTACATCAGGATATTTGTCCAGTATATAACGTTTTATATAGGTTGTTAATATGGAGAAGCTCACAAAGGTATCCCAAGTGAGATATCCTAGAATTTGTATGTTTTGTGATGATATAGTTAATAAGTGAGACCTTTGTTGAAATAAGTAGAAAGAATAATGAAAATTTATTTAGAAGATTAAGGACCTACGATTAGCTAAACAATGACCGAGCATATGTTATTCAATTTTAGTAAATGTAACAAGTAAATGAAGTGTTGTGGTTATTTTTTAAATAGTAAGATGGATGAGAAAATAGAGGATGATATAATTTTTAAAGTTAAGGCTGATTTATTGAAGTGGAGAATTGTCTCAGGTGTAATTTGTGATAAGAAAATATCATGGAGACTTGTGAATAAATTATACAAAATTGTAATTCTGTTGATTATGTTATATGAGAATGTGTTGGTAATACAAAAGGTATAATTAGCTAAATTTATTATGATAAAAATGAGGATGTTAGATGGCTGTTTAGAAAAATCATAAGTGATATACAGATAAGTGATTATGTTTGAGAGATTGTAGTAATAAAATTGATTGAATATTAAGTATTAAAAAAATATTTGGCTTGTTTGGGCATCATGTAAAATAAAGTGTAGAAGATGCATTATAAGGTTAATAAATAAAATTAATGTCAAAGAGTTTGGAAATGGTTGGTCTAGGCTAGATAAAAGATAAACATGCATAGTTGTGTAAACAAAAATTTAGTAAAATTGTTAGCACCTTATTCAACACTAGATAGGAGCAAATGAATAGTGCGGACACATAAAGCCAATGCAAAAAATTGAGATAAAGTTAATGATGATGTTGAAACATTAAACACTAGAAGTGTCAATTGGGGTTTGTGGGTCGGATATGAATTTAACTCAAAATTAACCTGACCCAAATATGCTTGACCTGAATCCAACCCATCTATTATATTGGTCAATTTGTTGTACCCAACTCAACTTGCCTGAATAAAACCTATTTAATCCCTTATTACATGGATCAACTCATCCTGTTTAATCCAAACATGATCTCTTTAACCGAAATATGAATCTTTTAACTCAAACATAATACATTTAACCTGAACTCAAATAGTAATTGGATCAGCTTCAAATCAATTTCAGGTTTTCAGGTCAACCCAAACATTAACTGAAATTGAATCAGGTTAAAATTTGAGGCCTGAACCTGACCCAGAATTTAATTGGGCCAACCCAAACTTGAATTTTGTGTCATGTTCACATCGGGTTGTTGGTTCGGCTCATTTATTGTTATCTCTACTCAAGATTATGAGGTATAAAGCTTTATATACATTTTAGCTTTATATATATAATTTGGTTAGACAGAGAAATTTTGGGCTATCAGTTGCTGGTCTCTCCAAGAAAACTACAAGAGAAGCTAAAAGTTTGACTCCCTCAATTTATGCGAGGGTTAAATCTTTTTTCATTCTTGTTACACAGACAATCAGAGTTGAAACCATCACTTGTGTGTTCCAAATCTATTAGTAATATTAGATTGATTAGAATCAAATGGATGGGATAATAGAATATTGCATTGGTGTTGGACAGAACAGTCAACGCTGTGCATTTTCTCTATACAATAATGGCAACTATATTTTCTCCTTTGTATTTTCTTTAAGGTACGCAATGCTTATTGGCCCAAGTAATTGTTTTCAGATGCTACTGTTGATAGCTGCTTAAATTCTGAGAAATCGACAAGCTTGTCATCTTTGGGATTGCTTTCTGGAGATCCTTCTCAAAAATCTGATCCAGCAAATCAAAAGGTCACTAACAGCGCAGTCATTCCATCGTTGCCGTTGACATTAAAATTTTTGAGGGATTGTGTGAGAGAAAACCCTACTCTTCAGCTTCAGGTAAAATGACATGATCATTAATAGATTTAGAATTGCATCATCCTTTCCTGTTGTTGTTGGGATTACCCAATGCAGGAGGCTCCCTCCAACTATGGGCATTACTAAGAAAAAAAAAGCAGAACTAAAGATGAGAATGATTTGATTTCGAGTTAATCTTTGTCTCAACTCAACATCCCTTGAAACGTTAACATGTGGATTGAACATATTTGATTTTGAACATGTTCGGCTTGAATCAAATTGATTTTGAGCCAGCTCAAAATATTTATTTTTCTTTTTGATAGATTTGACTTATATTAAGAAAGATAGAGGTAGACCTAAAAATACTTGATTATAAAATATTAGAAATGATATTTCTTTATTATATTTAAACGAGAATTTGACTTTTAACATGACACAATAGAGAAAAAGGATTCATGTAGCCTGACTCCACGTAGTAGGACAAAGGCTCGATTTTGTTGTTGTTAGATTTTAAAAAAATATTTAATAAGCATATATGGACATTTATACTTCTCTCTCTCTCTCTTCGGTTTTCGAGATAAAATCTCGACCCTAAATAGAACCAACATTTATTCTAAAATTTCATATTTTTCTGTCTGTGTTCTAAATCCAGGTTCTGGTGACTGGATCCTTGCATCTAGTGGGTGATGTATTGAGGCTTCTGAAGAGATGATTGGAATGATCATCCTAAAGCTATCCCTTCTGAACATTTATGTAAGTTGGCACCTTCCAAATTTCTCAGTATCACAGCATGAGTAATTCTGCACCTGTTCATGGATGGCAGATTGGTAATTAATTGCTTGTTCCAATAAATTAAATGATTATTCTTCTTATTTTTCTGTAATGTATGACTCAATTTCTTAGAGGGATCAGATGATGCCCACACTACTCAGTATGATTTCTTTTACTCTGTGAGGATGTAGTAACATTCATTTGAAAGGATTTAAATTTCTCTATGATTGATTAACAATTTGTATACATTCTATTATGCTTATTGTTCTAAATGTATATCATAAATCAAATATTATGAAGTTGGGCAATATTTATAGAACTAACTTATCTTGTTTCTTGAATGATCCAAATCACATTTGGTTCTATTCTAATGTTTATGATTACTACTAGAAAGTACATCAATAATCATTGGGCAAATGCAATTTTTCATAATAATTTGATAAATTAAAGATTTATTTGAGATGGCTAGAATTTTTTATAAAATTGATTGTAATGTTTTTACGGAAAAAATAGTTTTTTTGAAAGCTGTTGTAGAAAGTGATTTTCTACAATAAAAATGTATTGAAATCAAAGATAAAATAAAAATTATGATTGTGATATGAAGATCATAATAGTTCTTTGGAAGTGTTGCCTTCGAATATATAGCTGCATTTGTAATTTTATATGAATGTTCATGTCTTGTAAGTCAACATTTTTTATGAACATGTACTATACATTTTATTTATCTCGCAATAAATGCAATGATTTTGAGATCAAAATATATGCAATGATTTTGAGTTCAATATTTTGATGCAAAATTTTATTTTAATGATCATAGATGATCCTGCAATGGAATATGTTTGAGATATTGATAGAATTTAACCGAAAATGACAATTTTAAACCCTATTAAGCAACTTAAATTTTATCTATTTCAATTATTTATTTATGTACTAAATAAGTTTTAATTTTTAGTTTATTTAGTAATTATAAATGTTCTAATATGAATTATTTATAAGTGCAATTTTCTATTGTGAATTTAATATTTGTTCTATAAGCATAAATTTATATTTAAGCATATAATATAAATTTAAAAAATTTAAATTTATAAGTTTATATATGAATTTAACTTATATTAATTGTGACGTAATTGAGCATTCTACATTTTATAATTCCCATCTTTTATTTTTTGTGTTTCTAAGAATGAAAGAGGGAGAGCATAACTTATAATGTAATTTTAAAATTTGTATCAATAATTAAAAAAAAAAAAACTATAGTAATATTTTCTCTCAATATTATTTCTATTATATATCATAATATAATTAAAAAAGTATAAAATTAATTCACCTATGTTGTATTCATCTTAAATTTTATCATATATTATATTTTATAAAATTAGAAGTGCTATTATTAGAATGATGAAAGAAGATTAAAATTAGATTAAATATATCAAATTATTAATGATTAAATTTATTTTTCTCTAAAAAGATTAAATACTAAATATGAGGATTAATCATCTAATATTTTTGCATCAATTAATATTTCAAAATTAAATCAAAATTAATTTATCCTTTTTTATCAAATATTTTATTAGATTGTATGCGGTAAACAAAAAAAAAATTAGAAGAATTCATGTTTAATTCGAGTTTAAACATGAAATATTCAAAATTTAGGGTATGAACTGTGAACTAATCAGTATACTTGACCGCTAAGTGGCTTGTTTTCAAAGTAGCCGTTGGGCAGCCCCGCTCCTTAAAAAAATTCAAAATCACAGGCCTCCAAAATCTAAGCCCCCAAAACACCCATCCATCCAACCAAAAAAGCTTTTCTTCCACCAAATCTCTCCCCCTTTCTGGCCAACTGTTTCCAAATTTGCATACCACTATCTATCCTCTTCTCTTCTCCCCTAACTTCTCACTCTTTTCCCCAATCATCAATGGTCATCTTCTCCACTTCTCTCACCAACACCTTTGACTTGTACTACAAGCCCCTTGCAATCCTCTACAGCCACACCACCCCCATCTCCCCCCTCGCCCTCGCCAGTGAGTTCATCCTCAGCGCTTCCATCTCAACGACACCATTGCTTGGCAAAAACCCAAACTCCTATTCTTCTGCTTCGGACATCGTAACGGCTCTATCAAAGCCTAAATTGCCTCGAGCAACCGTATCTTTACCACTCACAAAAATCATCACATTCACGTCTAGAAAATCTCCCATCACCCTAAAAGAGCTTTCCACCTTATAATCACTTTCCCTATTGTTAGTCATCAAACTCATTCACCGAAAAAGCTTCACCCAAAATCGACAAAATCACAAGCAACTTTGGATTGAGCATGATGACACTATCTCATGCCTTGGTGTTTGTAACAATATTATTTACTCAGGCTCTAGGGTAGGATCCTCAAGGTATAGGCAGCCACCAAAATCAAGAGCTTGAAATCAATTAGAACTCATGACGTCGCCATTAATAGCCTGGTTGTTCATAAGGGAGTGATATGCACAACCTTGGCTGTGGCAAGATCAGACTTTGGGCAAAAGGGAAGACCTCTCACTACATAAATATCACTATGAAATTTCACATTTTTTCAGTATTTGATTAGATTATTAAACAATGATAGTATCTTTTTTATGATTACTACTTTAAATTTTATAAAACAATCAAGTTATCTATGAAATACCTCATCTGGAACTCCTTCGATCATGCTAGAATCTCTTAAAATACCAAACAGTTTAATACAGTAAGATCAGAAGGATGAGAGTTCTTCATTGGTCTGTAAAAGCCTCATAACGACAAAAAAGACTTACTGTTCTGGTGATGTTAGCTGCCTCAAGTTGTACTTGGCGAACTCTTTATACTTCTCAACGACTCCAATCAAGCAGATAGTCTGCAATGAAAGGAAAAGGTGATATTTATAGTATGAAAAAATTAAAAAAATGAAACAGCCCAAAATCTCAAAGTCTGGCATGCTTTATTCTCCAATAAATGTCTACAGATTTGTTCCAAGTTGTGACAAAATTTAGATCTTAAACAAGAGAGGGAGAAGGACAGCTTCTATGATATACATTTTGCAGAAGAATTTAAGGATAAACATAGAGTTTTTTCTTAAATATTGAAGGGGAAGAGTCGCTCTCAACCCCTCATGGATTACACCACTGATTCAAAGGTAATTTGGTTGGTCATATAAAAGATTGCAGCATCATATAAAAAGGCAAAATAAATACAGTCAATTCATTTGTATTTTCTTCACAATATATACATAAAAAGAATGACATTTGGAAAACGAATATAACAACAACAAGCCTTTATCCCCGTACATGAGAAACGAATCATGAAGTACAATCATTTTGGCATTTAACAAATGAAGCAATTTTTTAAATAAGTTTACTAACTAAAAAATAAGATGACTCTGCATTTTTTTTAACTTTTAAAAAATATGATCGAGTACCACGAGAATGAATTTAATGGATATCAAGAAGACAATGTGTGCATCAATAATGTGTTGAAGATAATTTAGATGTGCTAGGAAGTAATGACCAGTATTTGCAATAATTTTTTAGTAAATCAAAAATTCCAAATCATAGTAGATTTATATGAAAGATCAACATCAATATAGCATCTATTTGAATTACAATGATGTGTATCAAAATTATTTAAAATTAGTTATATTGGTGAGTTTTATTTGAAAATAATAAAATTTTGATCAGTTAGATTTCTTAAGTTCTTAAGTAGATGAGATCTTAGAACAATATATGATAGCCGCGTTGACAGAAGAATTCAACCGGAGGGGTTAATTTCAAATACTTCAAGATGCACTCAAATATTCACAAAATTCAAATATTTTTCAAGTGACTTCAAAATCACCCCGATGATGGCCGCGTTGAAAGAAGATTTCAATCGGAGGGGTTAATTTCAAATACTTCAAAATGCCCTCAAATATCCACCCAATTCAATTTTTTTTCAAGTGACCTCAAAGTCACCCCGATGATGGCCGCGTTAACAAGAGATCTCAACCGGACGGGTTAATTTCAAATACTCAAAATGCCCTCAAATATCCACAAAATTCAAATATTTTTCAAGTGACCTCAAAGTCATCCCAATGATGGCCGTGTTGAAAGAAGATCTCAACCACAGGGGTTCACAAATATTTTCTAAATGCCACCCAAATGCTCATTAGAACTCCAAAATTCCACAGAAATTCTCAAAATCTCAAACCTCCAAGATATTTAAAACTAAAATCCAACCATAAATCACTTAAAACAAAATTCATCCACCCTCCGCAATAGTTTGTCGGGATGGACAAATTGAAATTTACTTCAGCTCACATAGAGCTAATGCCTAGTCGAAAATATCACTATTATTTATTTTCAAATAGTCTTCTGCCAGTAAGGACGTGGTATGTGTCCTCTGACCGGCAGTTTTGCCGCCAAATGGCACCGCAAGATAAACGGTTATGACTCGGGGCCCTCTGAACCGAGTGATTTGCCGCCAAATGGCACCATGAAATATCGGTTATGGCCAGAGCCAATACGTTATTTAATGACATCAAATTATTGAGATATGAATTAATATGATATAATCGATAGGGCACAAAGCCCTCTGTTAGCTAAGCTGGATTCAAATTTGTCCCCTTAGACAAATATCCATCCCATATCTACAAGATATCCTTGGACGAAGCAGCCCATAGCTGCCGACAAGAATCCTTCTATCAGGTTGGGTCGACTACCTCCTCTGACTAAGAAGACCAGGGACAATGATGGCCCAGGACGACGGAACCATGAGATCTTGATCGGATCCATCATCCATTCCCCTAATATTCGCTTTAAGTGCAAGATGGTGAAATTTCTATTTTAAATATCAAACTTCTGAAATATCTCAACCCAAATTTTCAAACATCCAAACTTTTCAAATACATATGCCCATGTTGCTACTATATGCCAGATAACACGTATCTATACGTATCTGATTGACGACTAACCTTAATCGAAAGTTCTCTCTCGTTACCGCGAGGAGTAATTAACTATTGGGGCTTGCGCCTATAGGAAGCCAGAACTCAGATCATGAAGTCCTTGCAAAATGAGGGCAAAATCTCTGGGTAGTGTCTTATCTACAAACTCATATGCATTCCCAAAATTTACCACGGAACTTAATCTGTTAAAACTCCCCCGAAAAGAAAGAAAAGCAAAGCGAGCGCAGGCCAGGGACGAATTTTCAGAGCCCACAGTAATCTATTGAAAATTTTTATCTCTATTGATAATAAATTTCATCTCAGATCATAACAGAAAAATCAGTATGAATGAAATACATACATAGAAATCGGGACAACAATCTCAACAAACATATACTAAATTTTCAGGGTGAGCTATCTGGCATATTTTGCATTTTAGATTGCATTCAGAAGGTTCAATTACCGATAGGGTGCCAGCATGGCCATGCAAATAAACTCAAAAAGAAGCAGTGAAAACCTGTACTGATCTTTAAGAAGAAAAAGCTAATGAAGGTACAACTCACATATACTTCATGGTAGCAAAACTATAGGGCCAGTAATATGTGAAGTCAATGACAGTAAAAAATTTACCTTAGCAATTTGAACTATAATGGTCTTATCTGGGTTTTTAAGATCCACCTTATGAGGCTGAGGAACAGATTTTGCAACAGCATTTATGATGGCCATTCTCTCAATACCCGTATTTGAGCGTGCTTCATATAATACTGCAAACTGCAGATAACAAATGGATAAGACCAAGTATTTTCAACCTAAATGCTTAATTTCTACACACTAAAGAGCATGATGGAAACTTAAAAACTGCAAGACACTGACTACTAGACAAAAATTAGCACATATAATTGCAAAATTATACAAAAGTAGGAACTGCAGTGGTTTTGAAGTAGTATTATTTAAAAAGGAAAATGATTTCAATGTGAAGTATAAATTTTCAGGATACTGAACATTGGATAAAATAAGCATGCACAAATTATCGCATAAATAAGTACAAAGAAAGAACTCTACGGTTTATGCAGTAAGTTGCATAAAAGCCAAAACTAAACAAAGAAAATGCTTTTTCTAGTTTTGTCCCCCAACCAACAAAATTGATCCAAAATGGTCTCTCGGATACAATATTAGATCAATTTTATGTAGTCAATGGACTAAATTAAGATCAATTACACACAATTTTTTCATTAAATATCATTTTGGATCAATTTTTTATAGTCGATAGACTGAATTAGAGAAATATGATACTGTGGTGGGACTAAATTGGCCACATGCGAATAGTCTAGAGATCATTTATGGATTTAATCTGTTTCATAGACTTCAAAAGAATTTAAATAAAAAACTAGATGTTTTTGATGGGTTAAGTAGATTCTTGTACTCTGCATGCGTTCCCTGAACAATAAACGATCAGCAAATGCGGGAACATGTAAAATGTCCTTGTTATTTTGAAGCCAATAAAATTGAAGGCGTGTCAAGAAGACAACATTTGCTGTGTAGCTTTTAAATCACTGGTCAGTAGGTTAAAATAATTACAAAAATCTTAGAAACAATCATCATAGCCATCATCTGGATGCATCTATATACAAATAAAAAATGCCAGAAAAATCATTCTATATCAAAAAGAATTGAAGCCCAGAAGTAGAATACAACAAAGAAGCTTTACCTTCAGGGGAGAAGAAGTATCAAGTGGAAAATATTGCTCAATTAATGGTTTTATTGACTTTGAAATTTCCTCTTCTGACGCATAACATGTTACTTCGGCTGGCAGAACTCTCAAAATAAATCTGCATAAAAATTTCACATTTAATTTAGTATTCTGAATCAGATAAGAATCTGGCATAGATAAACACAAAGCGAAATCAAGGAATTATGTACCTCGACATATGTTTTTTTGTTGAAGCAGCTGAACTTATCATTTGCTTAGCTACGGCAACAGGACTGGGATCTCCAGGCCTTCTATGCATTTGAACGAAGATGCAGCCATTACAACCAGAATCAAGGCTGACAAAATGTCTCTTTTTCAACAGCAGGAAATATGTTAAAGGTCAGTTAATCAACATTGAATTTCAACAGTAAAGAAAAAGAGATTGCACAATTTAGAAAAAGCATTTAAAATTCTTGCAGATTTATTGAGAATCTTACAAGAAATGGATTATGACAATAAATGCGAGAACTAAGAAAACAATATATGGTAAAGCAACAAAAATAAAAAGGTCCTACTTAAACGAATGCCTATAGATAGATTCATATTTATGTTAGCCCGGTCCTTAGCAGACCAGTCCAGCCGGCCCCTTCTAAGGGGCCGGTTCACGTGTATCAGAGAAGGGGCGGCGGCAATAAGGAGAGAGAGGGTTTGGGTGGGATCCACTAGAATTCAAATTAAAATTTAGGAGCCAAAGGAGGGGGCGGCAAGGGCTAGTAGATCATTTGGCTTCTTGTTGTAATTGTATGCCTTAAGTATGAGGGGGGAGATTAGGGTTAGGGTTATGCTTGATTATTGTTTCTCTTAGAGTTCTCTTTTGTATCTTGGGCCCTAGACTCATCGTCTAGGGATTGGGAGAGAAAGATCCTCCTTCGAATTGAAGATCAATTGTATCTTTGCTTTGTACTTGCTTTGATTTGATTCCTATAACACAACTCACAATCTACTATTTTGGATTGTTTTCTCCGAAGTTCTTGAGTTTTTCTTGACGTTTTTATCAATTATTGTTAGAGTTGCTTGCGAACTCAAGTATTTTCCATTAGGGTTATTTGCGAACTCAAGTATTTCCTATCAATTTACCTAGTGATTGGCCAGCTGACCTCTATTATGGCTAATTACTGCAAAGGTTTACACGGGGATAATGTAAACCCATGTAAATAAAAGATAGTTTCCTAGGAGAAAACATCAAACACAAACAATTAGATCAAACCAAGAATCCAAAACAAACTCTAAAATTACTGGGCCCTACTGCAACAATGTAAGGCTCAGGAATTTAACTGGCTAGCTTCTCGCTGGCATATGTGACAAATATAGTGAAGGCTAACTTTTCCAAGCAAATACTAGCCAACCGCTTTAAAAACCTCCATTTTGTCACCCACAAGCAATTTTCACAGGAACGATCAAACCTAATTTAACCAACTAAGCGATAGGCAACACATTAAAATAGCAACATGCAAGCTTTAGAATATTTTATTCATGCAATAGTAAAATGTCATGACCTTCTTCTACAAACTACAACCATGAAAAAGTAACCATATTTTACCACTCCAGATCAAAGATGTTCAGTGAATCTTCCATTTTTTTCTAATTTCCAAAGTGTTTTATTAACAATAGCATTTACAATTCAAACAATAAAATCATCGTCTTCACATCACTAAGGTCAACAGTTAACTATTGAGAAAAATCAGTAACAATCACCAATACATCTTTTCCAAATATAAAACTGAATCAAAATTTTTGTCATGCTACTTCCGTTAAAAAAAAACTCAGCTTAAAAGCTATTTTCTAATCACAAAATAACAGTGGCTAGTTAGTAAAACATTTGACACTTGAGCTGTTGTGCTCAAGAGAAGTGAAGTAAAAAAATATGATATTAAATATATGACATCAAAATTTGTAAATTTAGCGTCTTAAATAGTAGTCAGTATGAAAATATCAGGTTGTGTTAATAAACCATAAGCAAACAAAAACAAATGAATAAATTAATATCTTTAGAATTTAATAATGACACACTCAGAATGCATGAAGCTATCTCAAATTGACAATGCATCTAGTAAATGAGCCAGCGTGCAAGAAAAATTTAGGAAAAATGAAACTGAGATCATGATTCAAGAACAATATTAATTACCATGAGATTGTACAAGAAACAAAAAAAGCATGATAAAAAAAAATTATGGTTAATTCATATGGAAATTTTTTTTATTTGCCATTATAAATTCTCATTATTCAAATATGCAGCACAAAGATGGTCCCTTCACAACTCATTTCATGAAGCTTACCTTGTTCCTATCACCCAACTCACTAAGCTCATCTTCAATAAGCTCATCAATGGGCTTATTCTCTGTAACAACCAAGCCTACAGGTTCACGTGCTGGTGGATCTTTTCCCAGGCATTGCCTCTTCACAGGTGCTGAATCATTTTCTTGTTCATGCTTCTCCGCTTGACTATCCTCCCTATGAGGAGATTCATCCTCCACTTTGTCCTTTTTATTTTCTATGGGTTTCTCAGTCTCTTCTTCATGCTCCAGGACTTCTTCCTTCTTTGCGAGGGGGGGTTCATCTTCATCACTAGAAGAATCAGAATCCTTAAACTTAATTATCTTGTTTACTGGTTTAGTGGGAATTGCCTTGCACTTGGAACCAGAATCTGACCCATGAACAAGCTCCTCATAAAACTGCATGACATATTAAACCACTTTTGAAAGTAAGAGAATAAAAATAAAAAGCATCAGATATATTTATGCAGGTTTATAAAATTAAAAAAGTAATAATAAGCTAAAGGATGACAAAGAACAGCTATCCTGAAAAATATAGTTAAATATAAAACTCCAAACATTCCAATTTTTATTTTAATTCCATATGGAAATTGACTAAATTCATTTATGAAGTCTCACATCAAATATGGTCGACTTGTGCCTTCACCATGCAAAATATGGCAACTTATGCCACATAAACCTACATACATTCTAATTTTCAAATTTTAATGAAGATAATTATGAATTTTGGAAGATAAAAACGCAAACCATGCTAATGTTGTAAGGGGTTCTGATTATTCATTATGGTAGATTATCAAGAACCAGGAAATGAGAGCCAACTCTCTATAGAATTTATATTTTTGCACCAAGCCACCTCATCATCTCATTGCGGCCGCCTTGCGCAAGGTATAAATTCAAGAACCTTGAAATTAACTACCCATTCGCATAGTTCCAACACGGTGCGAAACTTATAGTAATTGGGTTGGTTGCCTTGAGGAAATGTAGGGCGCATCAAGATATGCATTCTTGCTTTGACGAGAATTTGCTTATGGCTTAATAGGAAGTGTTGCGACATTATCTACAATAGAACAATAACATATAGTTGTTGCAAAGTCAACTTCAGAGGCAATATGTTTGTGAAGCATTTTTAAGGATATTGAATGGCAACGAGTATCAGAATAGCATTATGATATGGCAATAAATCAATCATAGCAATAAGCAACAATATAATCAATCATGAGTGAACCAAGCATATTGTAATGATATGAGAAACCATTGAAAAAGCCAACATTTTCCTAAGGCATGTGTCAAAGACAGAAGGACTAACTGACATTTTACAAAAGCATTGCCAAAAGTAAAATTAATAAGAGTTGTAAAGGAAAGTGATTAAGAGGAGGTGTTGAAGACTAATTTACTTTCTGTAGTGATTTAGAATGTGTTCGTTTTGGACATTCTATGAGCTAAGCATAAAACTTTATCTCTTAGTAGTTTTTAGTATTTAAAACTCATGCATGTATACTGGCATTTGAGAATATTCTAGAGATATGTTAAGCATAATAAAAGGACTATAGATCTCCTATAAATAGGGGTCAGACTCTCCTTATTTGTATAACAACACATCTAGTGTTCATGAAATGTTAGTAAAGTTTAGAAGAGTTTAGTATCTTTAACTCATGCACATCTAGTGGGATTTGGAAATATTATGGAGATATAATGAGCATAATAAAAGTTGTGGAGATCACTTATATATAAGTTTGGGACTCTCCTCATTTGTATCACAACATATCATGGGTTTATGAAATGTTAGTATAGTTTTTTTTTTCTTTACCGGTTCTTTCCTCTTCCCTTTTCCTTCTGTTCTTAAGCTCCTTACGCCAAGTCATTTCCCATCCCCTCCTAGGTATTGACCACTTCCCGATTATCTAACAGACCCTTGATCGTACTAGAGAAAATCAAGTAACAATGGATATCTCAAGGAAAAAAAAAGACAAAACTTAAAAAAAAAAAAAAAAAAAAAATTAAAAACATGAAGATCGGATTATGAATCAACAAATGAGAAAAATATAAAAATTGCTCAAATGCTGCACCTTGAACCGAAAGCAAGAACGCCAATTATAAAACTTAGCCGGAGTTCAACTCTTGCACCAAAATCAAACATTAAGGAACAAAGGATAAAAACCCGACAAAGAAAGCCCTTCAAAGATCTCAGCTTTTCGCAGAGAAAGGCAAAATACGTAAAAGATAACAAAACTAGGCGAGTCACTTTCGAAATTTGAAAATTAGAAAGCTCTTCAAAGATCTCAGCTTTTATACCGATTCAAGGAGATTTAGGGCTTCGTTTGTGGCTTGCCGCTCCCTTCCGCCATCACAAGTGATGAAGAAACCCTGCACTCCTGGGCGAAGCGGATACAACCCCTTCTTAACGGGTTTCTGTAGAATTCAAAGTAAGATTTGACTGAGAAAATTCTACTTCGAATGAAGAATAGCAGTTGCGAAGAAAACAAACAAAGAGAGCATTACACCGTGAGGCAAAAATTTTCTCTTTTTGCCTTTGTTGTTGTTGTTGGAGCCGGGCTGGTTTTCTGCCGCCATTGCTATCGATCCCACCGCTTACTGGCTTGCTGAAAATCACTTCTAAATAAGAGAAACTGACGTGAAGTATGTTGGCATTGCGGTTTATTTTTGCTAAAGTTTACCCCCCAAAATTTTTTTTTTCCAAAGGTATTTAATTTAAAAATATATGCATGAGGATGAACATTAAGCACGAGTTTTAAACCCTGCTTTTCAATTAAATAAATATAATCCTCTATAGAATTACTTTTAATTACAAAATTAATCATAAGATACATTTCTTAATCATAAAATGAATTACTTTATATTTATATTATTCTTTTAATGATTTTATTAAATTCTACACATAGGTCTTAAGTTCAAAATTGTCCATTAATCCCACACAACTATAACGAGAATACTTTAAAAAATATATTTATATAATAGAAAAAAAAAAAGAAATAGTAAGGTTTTGTTTGTGATGGCTTTTTTTATGCTTAATTTTTGTGCTAAAAAGTTAATTTAAGAAGGAACGAAAAAGCCGTCCCAAATGAAGCCTAAGATTTTTGTAAAAATATACATAATTATATAATGAATACAGCTACTAGGTAATACAAATACAATATGACAAATAACGACAAGAAAAAGCTTTCCTTAGATGATGAGGCTGTAGAAACTCATACTCTAATTCTTGAGGAGAAAGCAGAGAACGAATGATGAAGAAGAACAGTAAAGAGAAACTTTATTTTCTTGTATCTTGCTTTTCATTACAGAGCCTATGACTATATATAATAGCTATGGTTAAGCTTTACACGTGTACACTAGTTATTGGAGGACAAGAAGAGAATAAGTAATACATGACTTAAGTATTCTAACATTCCCCCTCAAACTGACAATTGGGTCCAATTGTCAGTTTGGATCGAAGAATTTTGAACCTGGGTGTAGAGAGTGGTTTTGTGAGAATATCCGCAAGCTGATCTTCACTACTGATAGGCAGAAGACGAATGATCTTGTTTTGAATGTGATCCCGAACAAAGCGTTGATCAATTTCGATATGCTTTGTTCGAGCGTGAAATACAGGATTATTCGCTAATGCAATGGTAGAGGTATTGTCACAAAATAGATCAACTGGATTAGAATGATCAATGAGAAAATCTGCAAGTAGTTTCTTGATCCAGATTGTATCCGCTGTTGCTGAAGCTAACGCCCGGTACTCCGATTCTGTTGATGAACGGGAGACAGTTGCTTGCTTCTTAACTGTCCAGGAGACCAGTGTTTCACCAAGAAAAGTACAAAATCCAGTTGTGGATTTACGCGTGATCGGGTCCGACGCCCAGTCTGCGTCTGAGAAGGTTCGGAGCGTGAGGTTTGAACGGGTGATGGGAAGACCGAATGCCAACGTGCCTTGTATATAGCGAAGCAGCTTCTTGAGCATAGCCGTGTGTTGAACTTCTGGACTGTGCATATGTTGGGATAGCATGTTAACTGCATAAGCTATGTCCGGTCGTGTTAAGGTAAGATATTGAAGGGAGCCAATGATACGCCTGTAGGAGCTGGCTGAGAAGCACGATTGATCGGTGGGAGAGACACCTGGTAATTTTGTTGACAAGGGATTAGCTACCGAGTTGCATTTTTGCAGCTCGGCAAGTTTTAGAATGGATTGGGCATAAATAGTTTGAGATAGAAAGTAATCTGGAGATGAGTCGATCTTTATGCCGAGGAAGTGATGCGCATTTCCCAAGTTTTTCATTGTAAATTTCGATTGAAGCTGTGCTATCAGGGTCTTTATGGCTGTGGGATCGTTGCCGGTTAGTAGTATGTCGTCGACATATACTAGCAGGTAAATGTGAATATGTTTGCGATGAAGACTAAGCAGGGATGGATCGGCCTGGCTGTGTTTGAAGCCGAGTTGTAGAAAATAGGGCGTAAAAGTTGTATACCACTGGCGAAGAGCCTGACGTAATCCATAGATTGCTTTCCTCAAACAACAGACGTGATCGGGATTGGAAGAATCTTCGAATCCTCTGGGTTGTTTCATATAAACTATTTCGTTGATGTCACCGTGTAAGAAGGCATTGGCCACGTCGAGTTGTTGTATTGGCCATTTGTAGAAAAGTGCGATAGTGAACAGGATACGAATGGTTGGTAGCTTGGCTACCGGACTAAATGTTTCCTGGTAGTCGAGACCAAATTCTTGTTGATTTCCTTGGGCTACAAGCCTTGCTTTGTGACGGGCAACCGAACCATCTGCGTTACGTTTTGTTTGGTATGTCCATTTTGAACCCAGAATGGAGCTATTTGGCGGAGGCGCTACCAAGTCCCACGTACCCTGTTTTTGTAGAGCGAAGAATTCTTCAGCCATTGCGCGTCTCCACTTGAAGTGTTTGTTTGCTTCAGTAAACGTCGTGGGATCTGTATTATTCATTTCAGCATGTAATAAGTTAAGTTTAGTTACTGGCTTGAGTGAACCTGTGCGAGTGCGAGTGATCATGTGGTGCGTATGTTCTGTTGCAGGGGCCCTCACTGGTGCCACATTGTGATCATTTCCAGATGGTTCGGGTATTGGTGAACCAGAAATCTGAGGCTGAGACGACATCAGCTGGAGAGCTGGGAGCTGAACCGAATTATTGCTGGGTTTTGTAGAATTGGAAATTGAATGAGGTATAAGTAGAGACGGTGGTGTGAAGTCTGAGGGTTGAGATGCTGGCTCGGACCTGTGCTTAAACGGAAAATTAGATTCGTGAAATTTGACATTCCGAGAGATAATAATTTGATGAGTTTGGGTGTTTAAACACCGGTAACCTTTCGTTGTATCTGCATATCCAAGAAATACACATTGTGGGGATGTTGTTGTGAGTTTAGTACGTTGAGTGGGTGGTAACAAAGGATAGCATTCACATCCAAACGTACGCATGTCGTTGTAGGACGGAGGAGTGTTAAACATTCGTTGAAAAGGAGATGTATTGCCTGTGGTTGCAGACGGAAGGCGATTGATGAGATAAGTAGCGGTAGTTGCTGCATCAAGCCAGTACGACAGCGGTAGCCCTGCTGTGTGAAGAAGCGTTCGTGTAGTAGTTATAATGTGGCGATGTTTTCTTTCCGCAATTCCGTTCTGCTCGGGCGTATAAGGGCATGTAGTTTGGTGAATGATGCCAGCCTTGCGGGTAAAATCCTTAAATTGATTGTTGAGGAATTCACCGCCACAATCTGTCCGAATGACTTTCAATTTTCGATTTGTTTGGCGTTCAATTAAAGAAACAAATTGAATAAAAGTACTAGTAACTTCGGATTTAAGCATGAGCGGGAAAAACCATATAAAACGAGAATAGTCATCTACGAATATTACATAGTATTTGAAACCTTGGTGAGAGGAGACCGGTGATGGTCCCCAAACATCCGAGTGAATCAAATCTAACGGTGCAGAAGTTTTGCTCAAAGAATTTTCAAATGTCAGCTTATGACCTTTACACGAAGCGCAAAAATTGCAAAAAGACTTAGCAAAAGAAATGTTAAGAGAGGGGTTTGAATGAGAGATTAGCCGCGGGACTTGTTGATGAGGATGCCCAAGCCGAAGGTGCCAGTCCGGTTGAGGCGGAACATCCACCGAGAGAGCTTTAGTATGAGAGCTGAGCTGATCTGGGACGGTGTACAGACCCTCTTTACACGGTCCCTGGAGGATAGGTAGACCTGTCATCCGATCCTTAAAGACAAAACCATTGGCGTCAAATGTAATTGAGATTGGATTATCTTTAACAAGTTTAGATATAAAAAGTAAATTATATGATAAAGATGGAACATGAAGAAGAAGAAGTCGAGATAAAAGAAGCGTACTAGACGGGGTAGGAAGGATGCCCGTTCCAGAGTGAGCAATTGGTATAGACCTTCCATCCCCTATGGTCACAGAATCTTGGCCGAGGTAGTTACTTGCGGTTGCAAGATTTTTAAAGTTATTAGTCATATGTGAGGAAGCCCCGGAATCGATATACCAGTCTGTTGAGTTGTTGTTGTCGTAATTGGCGAGCAGAGCAGACTGATTTTTGGAAGAAGTTTGATTCGGTACATAGTTAGGATTGAGGCGATGCCAACACGCATCGGCTTGATGACCTTTCTTTTTGCATATTTGACACGTGATGTTGGATGCTTGGGAAGACTTGTTGGTAGTAGCATTGTCAGTCGTTGATCTGCCTCGACCGCGTCTTCCACGTCCTCTGTATGTGTAGAGGGCTGTTTGAGCATCTGATATCTTAGGAAGCTTTAGCGTCGCTGCTTTGAGGTGGATTTCCTCACTCATAAGAAGCGCGTACAGTTGGTCGAGGGAAAGAGAGGTCTGCATCGTGCGAATGGTTGTAGTAAACGACTGATACTCAGGAGGCAATCCGTTTAGAATGTAGATCATTACATCTTTGGAATCCACAGACGAACCGGCGGACGATATTTGGTCCACGATCTTTTTGACTTCAGTGAGATACTGAGTCATTGACATAGATTGCATAGCAATATTGTGGAGCTCATTCTTGAGCTGTATAACCTTGGATCGGTTAGACGATTGGAACCGCGTGTGTAACGTTGTCCATATGTCCGACGTAGATTCAAGAGTGATGACATAGGGTAGTACGGTAGGAGATATCGTAGAACACATGGCGGTGGCCAGATTTTGATCAATGACA